ATAAATTAATTACTCTTCAGCTCATTAGCAATACTCCTTGTTATAATAATATAGCAAAAGTATTAAGTTATGAGTAACCCCACATTTTTTTTCACCAATTTCATCCCTCTAAAATTGAGTGTCCTTTATATAAGGTCGTTGACGATATTACAGTATTTATCACCAATATTGTGTGCCTCATTTCAGGCATAGGATTGAACAAGGAATGACCAATATAATTTCTTCCATCACACAGTTCGTTTTTACTATCACGCTCAATTCTCTTGTGTGCCATGAATTATTATTAGTACCAATTCTGCAAATAAAATGTGACTCTTGTCGAATGACCGGAAAGTATACATAAAAATTCTTTCTAACTTTTTTTTCCCCGTCGGTTCTCTTTTCTCCTCGTCGTCGCACAACCACAAAAGTGAGAAAGAAAAGAACGTCATATTCGCGAATATGTGCGAGCATTTAACCAGTGTAATTGAGGATAGAGAGACTCGCCACAGTGTATATATGATGAATTGTACAAGAGAGTTTATATATTTCCTCGGAATTACAACCATACACAAGAGATGAGGTCATCGTACACGCAAACACTCAATACTTTTCAAGGTATGGCATTAGAGAAAGAAGTTCTCCATTGTACCAATTCATAGTACAGATGGTTATGCTATTTCTCTTCACTTCATCTTCTTCTGTTCTACCTCAACTTCACCCTGTAGAAATACTTGGGTATTTGATGAAGAGATTTCTTCCTCTCTTTTGCGGATTTTCTTATTAGCACAGTAAAAAAAGAGAGAGAGAAAAGAAGAAGAAGAACAGTCTAATAGTGGAACCGTAACAACGTCTGTTTTATAGTGGTGCATTTCACAGCTATAGATCTGTAAAAGATCTCTCTCTCTCTTTCTCTCTCCATCTCCTCTTTGTCTTTCGCTTCAGTTTCCACGACAGACAAATTTGTCACCTTCAACTTGACCACCTGATGGAGTTTTATCAATTAATCCGAATCACCTCATCTTCTGCAACCCCCGCAAACCAATCATGAATGCCCAATCGCTGAGCGATCCCAAAATAGCCAAATTGCCCAAATATTTGTATTGGAGTGGCAAAATATTCCAGCCAGTGGCTTTTGCGAGGGTGGCACCCAGAAAACTTTTCCCTTATCATCCACCAATTCGCTCTTTCTCTCTCACTCCCTCACTTTCGCGATGCCAAACTTTAGAGGAGCTTTGGTGTGCCTCTCGTCCAACACACTCAGCAGCAGGCGAGCGCGCGCGATTGTGGCCTCTTATCAATGTCAATGCAATTAGATAGTCGTGCGGCGTACATGTCATATACATAATAGATTATAATTGTCATGTATTAGGAATAAGCAGCAGACATGCGGGAGGAAGGCCACTGCTGACGATCGATGCCGAGAGTGGGCCTCCCTCAATGTCATCCAACAAACACCGCCACACTTTCTTCTCTCCCTTTCGTCAGTTCCAGCGTAAAGTGCTCGAGAAGCCAGTGGCTTAAGCTGAGAGGTGACTTAAGCTCGCTCAAAGTCAAACTAAACGAAACTTAGCAACCAATTTCATGACTCAAATGGAAATGACACAGAAATGTGACTTGAGTCGGAACTTGCGAAATTGTAGGGGAAATTCCTCTTGAATTCAGCGTCGTCTTCAGAGAATATGAGACTGTGTCTGACTATAAACAGGCTGAATTAACCTCTTAATACTTAAATCACGTCTTTGTCAAGCTTCTAATGAAAATCCCACCCTTTCCCACCACCTCAAATCATGGATAAAAGAAGACACATATACCCATAATGGGATCAAATTACCAGTATTTCACCGACTTCTTCTCTTCATTATTGCTTATAAAACTCACTCTTGAAATGAAAATGAGACAAATTTTCCTCTAGGGCTGAAAGACGAAACCCCAATGAATGGATTTAGCCGAGCACGAGGAGAAATTCAACTGGAAAATTCCCATAATGCGCACACACATACGAAAAAGAGGTTTCCAATTACATCACATTTTCATTCAGAGAATTATAAATCTACAACTTCTTTTACTCTTTCAGAATTTCCAACATACACACTTCTTTTTCTGCTGAATTGAAAGAATCAATATGAAAGGGAATAAAAGAACTATTTGACCTCCAGCAACATTGTAAGCTTTCCCAACGAAACATCCTCCAGATCTGTCACGACAAGGCGCGCTCACATCCCTCGTTATATGAAGAAAATTGCCCTGGAGTCATATTGCAAAGTGTGTTATATAGAAAATTCCCAGCATTGCTGTGTCCGTGGAGCTTAGTGAAAAGCCCACACTCCCTCGCACTTCCACTCTCTCTCTAAAATCTCTCTTGACAAATGATTTTAGGCCGATAGCGACAGGCAAGAAAATGGCCCATTTCTTTTTGCATATACACAACACACAACATTAACGGCATGGGAAGACGATGCAGCTTTTTGTCAAGTGTATTCTTAAGCCATAATTCACGATAATGACTCCATCAAATTCCTTACACACACACACTCACACACCGAGTTGGAGTGTGAGAGAGTACTGGGAAATGGATTACATATCTTTTCCATTTTTTCCCTAGCCTTCACTCATGGGCAAATCTCTATGGCAAGCAAATCATTGATTGTCAGATTATCGCCATTCCCTCCAAGTCTGCACTTCTCCATCGACACACCGACCATGAGCGCTTGTTTAGTGTAGTGTGAAACACAAGCGCTGAGATTGTGTGAGTTCCTCCATGAATCACTGCAGAGAAAATGATTTTTTCGAGTGCCATGAAACACCGCGTCGATTGAGGTATAAATTAGAAATTAAAGAGAGAAAGAAAAGTCCATTTCCAAATATTGCCCGCACTTTTCAATAATGCAGTGCGTGTGTGTACTCAATAAATTCTCTCCTCACATCTCAACACACCCTCAAGGACTCCCCGAGTTCGATCCTAGAAGACGACTCTTCGCCTATTTTAGCTCTGTATGCGCGCGCCAACAGGTGATGATGAATCACGATCACGCTCTCCATGATCATCCGCAGCATACAATCTCGGCGGCTCATTTACACAAAATACCAATAATTCGTAACTGAATCCGCACCACTTGACTTTCTTCATCACAGTCATTTGTAATTCAATCTGCCAACTGATGGATCAAGTGGCTTCATCAATATGTTGACCTGTAATTTACGCAATTGCCTTCTCAATGCACTTTACATAACACCCCACCTCTAATGTCCACCAATTGCCTCTTCACAGAAGCTCCCATTGAAATCCCAGCGATGAAAAAAACTGATTCATCAGCTTTGCATTGCTTCAAAGCATAAAATTTGTGTAATTCGCATGTGTAGAAATTTCATTATCGATCGATTTTTGCTGTGAGTTCCGGTCAAATTACATTTTCTACCCGGAAAGCAATTTCAGGATATTATATATTTTCCAATAAGAATAAGGATCTTCCTTTCCGACAATTTTTACCTATTGGAGATGAGTTTCTATCTTATCTCTATGTACAGAAAGTAGGTGAGTTTTCTCCATATGAATCATAGGAAATTATGAGATAAGCGAAATGTTTTTCAATGCACAATTTTTTATGAATTTTTCCCGGAATTTTTACCATGGAATTCTCTCTTAAAGATATTTAATTTTCTAGAAAACCCACGAAGATCTTTATCAAATCAATACTTCATAATTTTTCATACAATAAAACATCAAACTCTTCAATTTCTCACAAAGATTCCATGGTCAATTTGCATTCTAAACTTCCCCTATTTTTCATTGCTCTAATAAATAACCCTGGAATGTCAATTTCGCCCGCAATGGCGCCACTAACGATCCTTTCGAAAAAACAGAAACCAGCGATTCCTGCAAATCAACTCAATTTGCCGTGTCGATTTCATCTCGCGGAAAACCGGTCAGAAAAGGCGCACGATTTATCACCTCGTCACGTGATAAGACGTGGCCAGATCTCGCCAGATTGCTCAAGAACGCGGACTCGCGGCACGAGCCTCAGCAGCGCCTTATCTTAGGGCCCGCTCTCTGGCCAGGTGAGCTGGGAAACGTGCCTTTCGGCCAGAGCGCGACAAGTGTGCGAGCGAGAGGGCCTGCGGACATTCCAGAATCGTGGGTGTTGCGACCTGGCCGCCGAGTGAGAGGGAGACGCGCTCTCGATGCCCTGGGGCCAATCCGCCGTCTCACGCCGCGCAGTATTGAGTGTTAATTTCATTACGCGGCCCCATAGATTCAATTCACAAGTGGCCTAAGCACGGTGGCGCAAAAAACCTCCGGAATTACTAATGCGAGCGAGGCGAGAGCGAGAGAGTCGGAAATGGCCGGAGGTGAGAGAGAAAGAGTCACCGCAATTTGGCGAGTCTCCGCGCGATCCGGAGGGCAAATCGCCATCGGAGGCGCACCACTCGGGTGAGATGTGATGAATTGCCCACTGAAATGTGCTGTGACAAATTGCAATTTCTCATTGCGCGGCCCCCCGGCCGTCCGGGCGGCTGGAAGCCCGGGTGCGAGAGCGAGATGCACGAGGGAGCCACGAAGGCCGCCCGAGCGAGAGGGGAGATGGAAAAAACGCCAAGACCGGGATCGATAATTTCTCCTCCCTCTCGGACCGTGTCGCCCATGGGGGCGGCTTCGCCACTCCAACGCCCCCGGTGTCCCGTGGCCGGAAGACGCGAGGGGCGCGCTCCGCCGGAAGACACCGGAGTGCCGAAATGGCAGAGCAATGACGCATCGATCAAACTCAACAATCTCCATTTTTGCACACTTTTCCCCATTTGCGGCGTCTCTGCGCGCCCGCAGGGGCACCAGAGGAGCCCACTGAGCCCCCCTGAGCAGCATTTGGCCACCTCAGTGGCCCACTTGTACCGCCATTTGGCGAAAACAGCGGCGTCGTCCCCGGTCTTCGCGGCACCTCCATCGCGCAAAAGGGTCACTAGCATTTTTTCCCGAGGCTTTTTCACCATCATCCATCGCTCTAAATCCCAATATCAACACTCACCATCGTAGCGCTCAGCCTGCTCGGCCAGCTTCGCCTTGTAAACGTTATTTTCGCGTTCAGCCATTTTCGATGATTTGGGATTTCGGAACACAAAACACACTGAACACCTCTAACACAAATTAATCAATATGGCCGCGCCCGCCGACTCGATTCTCGCACTTGGTGGTTACTGTGACGACTGGCTACGACGACTGAGCGATGGCGCGTTCTCCGAGAGATTTCATCGACGCGTCGATGGGGAAGTCTTCTTCTTCCCCGCGGCGGCGTCACGCGCTCGCCCCTCGTCGAACGCGCCGCGGAATTATCCGCGGAAACCGCGGAAGTGTCTGCAGACAACGTAACATTGATAAATGCTGGGCTTTATTTCACGTTTCCGCCTCAATTTTGTCATTATCATTCTCCCCATCGTAGAACTCATTCTTCGGCTCTACCATCCTGTCCTCATCCGCCTGGCTGATGCGCACATCCGGATCGCTCTCGTCCTTGATCTTCCCGTCTTCCGGCAGGGCGTCTTCTGGGATGTTGAACATCTGCACACTGGGCGCGTGCTGGCACATCTTCAGATTATCGTAGACGTGCCGCACGATGAGGTCCAGGTATTGCTTGCTGTTCGCATTGTCCTGCCGCGTTACAATCTCCGGATGGAGAGTGAAGTCCGGTGCGAAGAACCCGAGATAGTCATTCATTGGGATGTCATTGGAGATGGTCTCGTCAATCAGAAGAGACGTCTCGTATGTCCAGCAGCGCGCCACGTTCCTCAGCGTGTATCTGAAATGGGATTAGCGTTAAAAACTCAGTTCAGACTCTGGAGTCTGCCTGAGAATTTACTCACCCTCCTCCGCCAACCACGAGAGTGGGCACATTGAGCTCCTTGACAAACTTCACGCACTCTCCGTGCCCTTTGGTGCTCAGCGAGAAGCACCCCAGGCGATCGCCAGCCAGGGAATCCGCCCCGCACTGCAGCACAATTGCCGTGGGTCGATAGAACTCCATCACGTGGGAAATGATGGGATTGAAGACCTGCACGTAGCTCTGGTCGTCGATGCCTTCCTTCAGGGGCACATTCACTGAGTAGTAGCGCCCGGACTCAGCCCCGATCTCGTACATGTCGCCCGTGCCAGGGAAGAAGTAGTTGCCATACTTGTGGAAAGACACCGTCATCACGCGATCAGTGAGGTAGAACGCCTCCTGCACGCCGTCGCCGTGGTGTACGTCGATGTCGATGTACAGCACGCGCGGGTGGTACTTGAGCAGCTCCAGGATGCCAATCACAATGTCGTTGACGTAGCAGAAGCCCGAGGCCTCGAACTTCTTGGCGTGGTGCAAACCTCCGGACCAATTGATGCAGATCTCGCTGAGATTGTGGTTGAGCTTCTGGGCGCCCTCGAGCGAAGCGCCTGTGTACATGGCGCAGAACTCAAAGAGGCCGTCAAAGACGGGACAATCGTCGCCCACGTTGAAGTGGGAGAGGTACTTGGTGTAGCCCTGGATGTTCTGCGGCGTCACGCGCTGCAGGAACTCGATGTATTCCTCGCTGTGGAAGCGACACATATCGTGCGCGCTGGCCTTGTACGGCCTGTAGATCTGCATCTTCTTGTGCAGCTGATAGTTCATCACCAGGCTGTGGATCACCGACAGCCGGTGGGGCTTCATTGGGTGACCCGGACCATAGTGGAAGTTGCCCACGTCCGGATTGTAGAAGTATGAGACCTTCCGTGTCATGGTCAGAGGTCGTAATCCTCATAAAAGTACTTCTTCACGGTGTACACCACGAGCAGGACGAACACGATGAACAGGAGGCGCCTGGTTGCTGTGAAATCCAACTGGACTTCCTCAGGCATCACGCAATCCGCCTTTTCACGCCGGAAGCCATTGGATTCACCGTGTTCTCGCTTCAACTCCACTGCGGGGCGGTATGTAGACTCTCCAGAAACTGCCGGTGGCCCCGAAAACTGCCCAAATAGTGCGGAAAAGCGAGGAAAACACTGCGGCAAGTGCGGATGTTTGTACACAAAGTGACAGCTGGTGACGTCATTGCGGCGTTGCACTTTTCGACGAGTTCGCCGCGCGTCAAAACCGCGATATAAACACTGCGTGGGAGCATCTTTTGCGGAAAAATGAGTGATCCTGAGGATATAGACATGGTGAGTGGCAAAATCTGGGCTGCAAGAGGACCTTTAATCTCTTTTCTTGCGTATTTCGTGCAGGAATCTTCCTCATCTTCTGGGGATTCGGAGGAAAATGAGGCCGATTGTGATCAATGGTTTGACACCAACTCGTTTTCATGGTAAGTTTTGTGTAAAATCATTGTTTATTCCTATATTTCTCTAACTTTTCTATGGCTGATGCATTCCAGTGCACTAGACGGAGGCTACCGACCGGATTTGACCAGCAAGAGTGCGGAATATATGGAGGAAAACACACATTTGCTGGGAATGTTTATGGAAGCCGAAGATCCGGACAAAGTGGTGACATTCAAGAAAGACTACCAAAATCTGATGGAATTGGCATTGTGAGTGGAGAATCTCAGTCAGTGATTTCTAAGGCACTAATCTAGCAATACTTTCAGTTACCTGGACAATCTGGAGATGATTAGGAAGTGCTGCAAGACGGCGTTTGCCAAATTTGGCTATGATGACTTCAAGCTGCTGGTTTGGCTGTACAGGGAATTGCGAGAGTGGGAGACCACGAAGAATGACTCAATCCTCGAGTGCATCTATAACATCTTCAAGGAAGCGCTGTCGCAGAAGTACTCCTCAATCATCGTGTACAAATTCATCCACTTCGCGCCATATTCTGCACACAAGGAGGAGATTTGGAGGAAGATTCTGGACGTGTACTTGTACGATTTTACCGCCACGGCAAAGTACGTGAGCTTCTGGAAGGATTTCTATCTGGAAGATCCGCCGGACAATGTTGAGAAGTGCCAGAAAGTCATTGATGTGTACACAAAAGCTCTCTCAATACCACATCTAGACAGCGAGGGGACATTGAGGGACTTTCAGGAGCTCTGCAGCGAGAGTCCGGAGCAGTATCGCGTGGATTGGGAAGCAATTGCGGAGAAGCATCGCGTGGCAAGTGCAAAGTTCCAGTCAATCGCGCCACATGAGAGTGCAGTGATTGACGCTGCGGACGTGGAGAAGCCACGGATGTTCAGAAAGTACCTGGAAGCGCCTGAAACGGCGTCCTTCGATAGGAAGTGGGTGCAGTTCATCTACGAGCGCATGGTTGGTGAATGTGCGCTGATTCCTGGCTGCTGGATCGCCTATGTTCGCTATCGCCAGGACTTGGACGACGTGACAGACTCTTCGGGACAGTTCTTCAACCAATCCGCCCTGGAGATCATAAACAGAGCGCTGATCTTCACGAAGACCAGCGAAGATCTCTTCTCAATTAAGATGGAATTGGTGGAGAGCAACAATTTCACCGTCACGCCACTGCTTACCGTTATGGATGACGCCTTGCGGGCGCCTTTTTCGTCTCCGGATCCACACACAAATCTCTGGATAGAGTATCTCACAATCCTAAGGCGTCACACGAGCACAGATTCGGAGGAGGGAAGGCAGCTGTTGAGGAGGAACTTCGAAAATGCCTGGGAATCGCTGAGTCAACAGTGGGGAAACTTGGCCGATCAGAATGGAGAGATTCTGAAGATGTGGGCAAATCTGGAGTACACAGACTTGGGCGATCCGGCAAAAGGGAAATCGCTGTGGCAGGAAGTGATGAGTTTTGGGGACAATTCCACCAGATCGGCCACTTGGCTGGAGTTTATTCTGCTGGAGAAGCAGAAGAATCCCCCAGGAGCGCGAAAGATTTTCAAGAAGGCCATAAAATTGCCAGAATTGATGGATTCTGATGTTCTGGCCAATGCCTGGGTGAGATTTGAGAGACTGCACGGCTCCAGGGAGAATTTGCAGTACTGCCAAACGCTGACAGAGGAAATCATGGCGGAGAGGGAGAAGAACGAGCGAGAAGAGGAGAATCGGAGGAAGAAGAAAGTCAAGGATCTCAAGAGAAAGCCCAAGGAGAGTCCTGGAAGAGAATCGGCGCCAGTGAAGAAGCCGAAAGTCGAGGTGAAGCAGCCAGAAGTGCCACAAAATGTCACGCCGTCTTCCTCCACGCGAGATCCCACCAAGGACAACGTGACCATCTTCATGAGCAATCTGGACTACAGCGTCACTGAGGATGAGATTAAGACGGCATTCCCGGAGCTCAGTGCGGTGAAAATTGACATGGTAAGGAGCTCGAGTGGGAAGAATCGGGGATTTTGTTACATCGAATTGGAGACTGCGGAGAAAGTGCAGGAAGCGCTGAAGTTCGACAGGCGGCCGATCAATGGGCGTCCTGCCTACATCTCTGGGTGTCTCAGGGAGCGCGGGCAGCGCGAGAAGATCTTCAAGTACTCCGAACAACTGGAGCCGACGAAGCTGTTCATTAAGGGCTGCGGTGGCGCCACGAAAGAGGAGCTGGAAGAGATTTTCAAGCCTTACGGAGAACTCAAGGATGTGCGCGTGGTGTTTCACAAGTAAGCCATCTCCTGCAAGCTATGAATCACTTCTAATTGACCCCTCTTCCTCACCAGGAACGGCAATCCCAAGGGCATCGCATATGTGGAGTTCGTGGAAGAAACGGCAGCGAGTGCAGCTCTGCTGAAGGTCGATCAGTATCAGCTGGGAAAGAACACTCTCAGCGTCTCCATCTCGGCTCCGCCGCAGCGCGGCCAGCCCAGGAATGTGCAGAAGGTGGAGAGCCTGGGAGCGGCCAAGCGCCTTCTCCATCCGGGCGAGATGCGGCCACGGATGGCCTTCATTCCGCGCTCAGTGCAGCAGAAGAGCACCAAAAACGGCCAATAATGTCACAGAGTTTATTGAAATAACACTTATCGGATCTTGATAGACTTCCGGACAGTTGCTTTGATACCCGAATGCTCGCCTGTGTAGCGCTTCTCCTCTTTGCGCACCGTCCTGACGGCGCCCTTGCGTCTGACCAGGGCTTTCTTGTACTTGAGACGATGCTTCACTCGAGGATTTCGCAGTTCCTTCTTTCTGTGCGGAATCAAGCCCTTGTTCTTAGACATTTGATAAGTAATGGCTCGCTTATCGGTATCATCTTCTTCTTCTTCATCGGGTTGCTCCTCTTCAGAGGCAGAAACTGCGTCTTCTTCTTCGGATACCTGAACTTCCTTCACCTTCTCAGGGATTTTCTTCAGAATACCAAGCATTTTCCTGGGTTTCTCCGCTTCCTGAACCCTTGGCGGCGCCACAATCTTGCCAGATCTAATATCCAGCAGCACTTTCTCCATCGCTGTCTGTGCCTCGTCCTGGTATTTTTCCTCCAGTTGCTGCAGAAGTTCCCGGAACTGAGCGATTCTCTTCATCACCGGATGATTCTTCACCGACACTCTCTTGTGTTTCAGCATGAGATAGAAACTGAGATTTGTGGCGTAGTGAAGAGACAACTTGTTCCTCGTGTCGATGAACTCAAATATGGGCAAAACCGTCAGATTCTGACTCTTCAGCTCGTCCAGGAAAGGCTGCATGATGTTCGCACTCTCGTCCAGCTTGCCAAGCAACTCATCAACCAGAGCATCGAATTCTGGGGACTCCTTCTTGAACTGGACGAGCTCCTGATGCTTCGAGGGACCAGCGTCAGCGTCATCCTTCTTTTGAGCTTCTTTGTCGCTGCCCAGGAACACATCCAGTGAGAATTGGGCATCGCTCAGCTGTTTCGTCAGACGCTGCTGAAGCTTTCTGGTCTCCTGCTCCTCCAGCAGCGCCAATTCCTCCTCCCTGGCCGTGTACGTGTCATAATCCTGGTCCACGAAGTCTGTGTTGTAGAATGTGCTCTTCTTCTTGCCCCACGCTCTGTCGTCCGGAATATCGTCATCCTCCTCAGACATGACATCACTGTCCGCCTCGAACTTCTCCGCCCGCGTCTTGTCCTCAAAGTCAGAGTCATCCTCCATGGAATCATCCTCGGGCAGGCCAAAAACGCCCTCCTCTTCACTCTCAGAAGCTGACGCTTGAGCATCGCGGTATTTCTTCAGCAGCTGTTTCTCTCTCGCACCGTACTCATCGTCCGACTCCGCCAAGTCATAGCCATCACCTCCTCCGCGGGAATCGAGCAGTATTTTATCACCCATTCCACGATTTTCCTCACTTTCCCCGGGAAAACACTTCACCACGTGCCGATGTTTATATTTCCTACGACTCGTCTAAATTTCGCCGCGTTCGCCTCGTGTTGTCTTCGGCAATCGCCGAGTCCATTCTAACCTCAAATTTGAGTGCGGCCACATTGTTTTGTTTTGTGCACAGAAATCGCGGATATTTTCCCGAAAATCGTGATATATTAGTGCTTTCTCGCCAAAATGGGCAAGTTCAGGTCAAAGTTGAAGAGTCACAGTAAAGGAAAACGATGGGCGTCGGGACATTCAGCGGTTACCAACCCGGAAAACTTCAAGCATCGCAGCAAGGCAAAGTCACGATTCTTCCAGCCTAATTTGAGCCTTGGTAATTTTAGGGCGCGCTTTTGCACACTTCAAATTGTGAAATGTATGTGAATGTTTGATTTGCAGCTCCCAAGGATGCTGCACAAAGTGGCCTGACACTGAATGCAGTGATGCAGCACGAAGCCAGGGAGATGTACGCTTCCGGACAAGCGGATCCCACAGTCAAGGATATTGCGTTGAGCATGAAGTCCGTGAGCTTGGACGACATGATGACAGAGTCCGCGGGAAAGACTTTCAAGACATTCGCATCGAACTATACGGACTGCACGAATGTCAGCTTTAGCAAGTGAGTATTCCGGGCTCTTATCATCTCTTGGATTGAATTTGATGGACGTTTCTCAACTTCCAGACTCTTGACGCGCTTCCGGGCAGATTCTAGCCAACACAAGGATATGCTGGCTGTCTTGGCGGCTATCACAGATGTTATAAACGACAAGAATGGCACTCAATCCTCCACAGAATACTTCATAGCGCTGCTGGAAGTGCTGGGCACGGTGAAGGAGGATAATCACATGACAGCAGCTCTGTCTCTCCTCGCCATGGGGATAAAATCCGTACCTCAGGCGGTGCTGAGGAAGAAGTTCTCCGAAACCGGTGAGTTGCTGTTCAATATTATGCACGAGTTCGCTGAGAAGGAGGATCAGAGCGTGTGGAGAAACGTCCTGGGATGCATGAGTGTGCTGCTGAGGAGTCAAGAGTATGCTCTGTGGACACTCAGCTCCACAACAAAGTATTTTGAATCTGTGCTGGCGTTCACAATTCATTCCCGCGCGAAGATCCGCAAAGCTGCCCAGCACGGCGTGACGAGCATCATGATGGGTAGTCACTTCATGGTGGAATCCGAGACAGCAGTGCACGCGCATCCGGCCAGTGGGATCGTGCGAAAGTTCTGCGTGATGCAGTTCAACTCGGAGAAGGTGAGCAACTCGCAGACGTTGGTTCTGCACACGCTGGGGCTGCTTCAAGGTGTGATTGGCGTGCTGAAGGAGGAGGACGTGAAGGTGATCTGCGAGAACATCCTCTCCATCATGACGGCTTCGAATATTCTGGTGAGGACAACAGGATTCCAGACTCTGCACGCACTCTTCGCCAGCAAATTGCCCAATGCGAGTGCAGAACTCACTGGAAAGCTGATCTCTGCGCTTTATGAGTACCGTCCGGATCGCCTAGACGTGCGGCAGACAATTGTATGGGTGACAGTGCTGAAGGAGGGACTCCTAAGCCTGGGCAGGAAGGATTTATCACTGTGCAGCAAAGCCTTGCCGAGGTTTGTGGATATTTGCACATCTGATCTCTGGATGAGTGAGAAACTGGAGATTGTCTCAGCCACATCGAATGCTCTGAAGGAAGTTCTTCAGGATTGCGTTCAGCCGTGCTGTGAGACAGCGCAAGAAGCCACCAGACATGCGGGATCTCTGCAGAAAGTCATCAAGTCCATCAGCAAAGCTTTGACTGGAAGTCCTTTTGGTCATGTCGCGAAGCAGGTCTTTGTCATCCTCAAAGCGACTTTTGACGCGTGTGGAAACCACCTTGGAGATGCTCTTCAGGACACTGTGGCCACTGTTGGACGTCTGTATGACACAGAGAGTGCTGTGAGGGTGCAAATTGAGCACTGTCTTGTGTCGGCGATTGATAAAATGGGTCCGGAGAGAATTCTGAAAGCCATTCCACTGACTGAAGACAATGGCGTTGTGTCACTCAATCGCAGCTGGATTCTACCGCTCCTCCGCGAATCCATTCGCCACTCGAGCCTCAGTTTCTTCATCAATCACATCCTCAGCCTGGCAGATCAGTGTCGCAACAAGTGGCGGAAGTACGAAGAGGAGAAGAACACTCCTGTTGCTCACACATATGAATTGTTGTGTTGCCAACTTTGGGGCCTCTTTCCGGGTTTCTGTCGACAGCCTATCGATCCGGAGAACTTCCAGAGTGTGGCAAGAACTCTTGGCAGTGTTTTGACCAATAATCCGGAACTAAGAACGCCAGTTCTCGACGGATTGAAGGAATTGTGTACGAATCCAACGGATGCCTGCAAGAAGGAATTGGAGCGATTCGCCAAGAACTTCATGCCGATCTTCTTCAACATCTACACGACGAAACCGGCGACGACTTATGCTGCTGAACAGCGCGAACTGACACTGGAAGTGATTCAAATGTATCTGGAAGTGACGCCAGAAGCTGTTCGAGAACAATTGTACGAAAAAGCCTTGGAACAGTTGAAAGACAATGCGCCAGGGAAGTTCACGAGTGAATCTCTCTTCGCTCTGGTGAGGATTTTAGCGCTTTACATGAACGAAGAGAAGCTGAGCGTACTTTATGATAAATTCGTGAGTCCAATTTTGGAGAGGAAGAAGAAAAATGCTATTGTGGTGAAAGAAGAGGACAGAATTGGACAGCAACAGAAGAAAACGTACAAATTTCTGGAGACGATACTTCGCAGTGAAAATCAGGGATGCAGAGATTTTGTGGCGAAACGCAAGACGGACATTCGTGATATGCTTCTATCGACATTCAGCAAAACCACCGCTCAGTGCCAAGGATCGAGACTCACGTGTCTGTCTGTGATGTTTGAGCACGCCAAGAAGCTCAACAGTGAGTCGATGCTGGTGAAGAAGACCATCCCAGAACTTATCTTGGCCTACGGAAGCTTCCATGGCACAAAAGACACTGTGGCCGATGATCTGCTGAGGAGAATTGCGGATCTGCATGAGAAGGACGACAAGCTGAATGATATGATAGACTCATTGTCAGCTGGACTGGCTGGAGATCAAGTTCTGGTGACAAACACAATTCTGGCACTCAAGTTCCTCTTCCAGCACTTTGCTGAAAATCTCAGAGTGACCACAATTGAGTTCGTGCTGCAGCAAATCCTGAGTTACAGTACAGGAAAGCAGAGACCAATTGTGGCGTCTTGTGTGGGATTTCTGCTGGTGTTTGTGCGTGTGATTCCTGTGCCGCTGGTGGCGAATCACTTGACTGTGATCATCAAGAATCTCTCCGGAATGGTGCCGGACACGAAGCGCTACTGCAGGAAGCAGTTGGGCTTCCTCTACAGGCGCCTCTGCCGGAGATTCACCGCTGAGGAGATCATTAAACTAGTGCCGGGCAATGATGAAGTGACGCACAAGAGACTGAAGAACATCAAGAAGGAGCAGGCGAGGAAGAAGCGTCAGGAAGCGGAGAAGGGTCACCAGAAGGGGGATTCCGATGAGGAGGCTGAAGAGGAGATGCTAGAACGGAAGATAGACACAATTGACGATGTGCTGGCAGACTCGGATGAAGAGTTTGATGAGGAGGAGAAGGAGGAAAAGCCCCAGAAGAAGAGCAGGAAGGCGAAGGAGAGCTTCATCAAGGAAGACGCTGAGACAATTGTCGATTTGGCGGATGTGAATGCCATTGGGAAGATCACAACTTCGCGGCCACAGACTGAAACGGTGCTGGTGAAGAGGCCCAAGGAGGCGAATCGTGGCTTTAAAGTGGCGTCAGATGGTCGGCTGGTGATTGAGGAGCCGAAGCGTGGTCACGCGGCTGAGGAGGAGTCTGATGATGAGGAAGATGCAGAGGAAAGACCATCGAAGAAGAACCGATTGATGGAGGATTCAAGCAGTGACGAGGAGCTCGTTGAGACGGCGCCAAAATCCAGGAAGCGCAAGGCTGAGGATGCACTGAGCGCTGCGTCTGGTCACACGGGATATCGGCCTGGCGGAAGAGGTATTCATCGAGCATTGTCTGCGTACTCTGGACAGTCGGGCAAGACATCGATGTCGCGCGTCTCCAAGGCTTCGACGAAGACTTCAGGAGCGACATTTGGGCAAGAGTACAAGGCCAAGAAGGGTCGCGGTGACGTGAAGAAGAAGGGCAAGTTCGATCCCTACGCTTACATCCCGCTAGACAAGAGCACGCTCAACAAGAGGTGAGAATTCCATGGCATTTCCCAAAGACACTCAATCTAACTTTAATGCGAAATGTTGCAGGAAACGTGCCAAGAGTGCTGGTCAGTTTAAAAGCATCGTGAAGGGAGCGAGAAAGGGCGCTGCTGCTGGCTCCAAGAATCGCCTGGTCAAGAAGTAATCCCGCACACGCAAGGCAAGTGTTTTCTTTATTATGAATTCCCCCATGAAATATACGAACACGTTGACATCATAGCTGTTGTTGAATGTGCGTGTGCTTCCACTCGCCATCGGGATCTGTTCCCACCATGGTCTCCTCGTGGAAATCCATCCGGTTCTGTGCGTCTATCAAGATCACAGTCCGCGTGCGACTTCCGTAGCCCTCGGCGGGCATTTTCACACACACCGAACTCAGTTTCTCCGCCCAGTTGGGCGCTCTGCGGCTCAGCTCTGCGTCTGGCCAGTGCTTCTCGTCGTCCTTGAGGAATTCCATCAATTCGCGCACTAGATTCTCCCTTCCGGCCGACTTGACCACCTGTCGGAACTTCTCTTTGCCGTGAAGCACCTTCCGCAGGGGAATTGTGTGCGGACTGTTGCCAAAGCCGAGAATCTCACCGCCGGGGAATTCCTCAATTCCCGGTGGTGCGTTGCTGGTGTGAAGAATTGAGGCACTTGAGTCGCTGAAATATTACATATTTCATTAATTATCAAATTGGCGGGAGAAATTAGACATTAATTTCTTCTGTAAAGTAACGGATAAACTCTTCTTTTCTACGTGATTAAACAAATAGTGATATTCTTACTCAAATTCAATAGAAACCAGATTGAAAGAGTTGTAAATCTCATGCTGTTCCACCAATTGTTCAGAGTATTTGCGATTTGAAAGGTTTCCTGAGACGTAATTACTCACGATTGGTCCTCTTCCTGGAGAAAAAATTAATATTAGTCAAGAATTTGATAGATATTGAAGAGAGAAACTCACCCAAAGCATTGGGATTTCTCTTCTCGCCTGTGATGTTTAGCAGAGCGCCTATCTTCGTCACGCCGTTTTTGGAGCCAAGAGCCAGCCAAGTTCCTCCTTCTCGGCCTGGTTCCATGTCGCGTCCTTTGGGAAGGTGAACACTTGATTAACCTTAGAGATCAAGAGTCTAAAAAACCTTAATTTTCACCTCCGAAGACGTGAGGATGAGTGTCAGTCCATGCTGAGGCTGGAAGTGCTGGTCGCGCGTAGGCTTCATCTCGATTCGCGGCCAGAATGAGTTTGTAGCCATTGCGAGATGGATTGGCAGTTGCAACGAAGAAGAGAATGCACATGTTTTCACTGCTTAAAGTAAAAGTTGCGTGAGAGATTAAATGCTGTCTTGTTCAGATGGAGATTGTGTGGGTTTTTTCTGTCTATAATTCGTTGTTGAGATGACATCACTTCCAACAGGCAGAATTAAATATTTTAGATGATGGCAAATCACTGGCAAATTTTTGGGGGTGTTTTTGGCATCAAAACAATTCACTTTTGCTGAAGAGTGAGTAATTGGTAAATGGTGAAGACGCTTTTCTCACCCGCAATCGTTCCAAGACGTGAACTTTGATCAACTTTGAGACACTAATACCTCGCACTCGAGTCCCGACCTTTAATCCAGAAATATTCCACCGAGTGGCGGAGTGAAATCGAGTTATTGAAGAAGTTTCACGAGTAGTTCCTTCTTTGGAATGCCACAATTTGTAATAGTTGGGTGTGATATACACAGTCAGCAGCAGACAGAGAATATTTGACTATGTGTGGTGAAACAATGAAGGAGTGATTAAAAGTTTTCGTCACACTGATAAATTTTGTTTGTCTCGCCCGCACTTTTTCCCCTCCTGTTCGCTCCCTTTCTTTCACTCCGTGCAGTGCGACTAATGAGGAGATTAATTTGTCAAGTCAGCAACGCGCGAGTCTTTCGTGTGAAATACACTTGAGCGGCGATTTACAGGCCACTATCAATGGACAGAGACTTTTGGCATTGATAGGGAGAAAGAAAGCGAGACAGCGTTGCATAAGATGCCAATTGCTGACAAATCCCACCGCATGGGAACGACCGCTCGCGAGGGGCGATAAAAAGAAGAGGGGGTCAAGAAACTTTTCGCATAAATACACATTTGTCTCTCTCCAAATTCTATAATGTGCAGAATGTGACTAAATCGCTGTTTTCCTCTGCGAAGTACGTAAAAACTACACCCACACTTTTCACAGGTTCTTGTAACCTATTTAAATTGCCATTGTTTGCCTTGCTATTCACATCCTGTTTACCTATTTTTTTGAAGTTCATTGGCAAGCGCGCGTTATCATGGGAAGGGCGATTTATTCTGTAATATCTTCGCCTCACGATAAGACTCAGTGAGACAACGCGGGAGAATGGAATCATATTAGGCGCCATCAGTGAATAACGAAGTTTTTAAATTCTCATTTCTTCGCAATTTCATGTGCATGATAGAAAATTCGCAGAACTGGAAGATTGCAGAAGGAAGAGTAAATGCTATTTCCTCCTTTCAATAGAATGCACCGCGCATTGATAGAATTAGACTCACAGATGCAAGAAAAATTGTGGAAAAGTAATCGACACATGAGACTTATTTACTCCTGAATTGCGGCAAATGCGTTGTAAAGCATTTTTCAAGATGTCAGAAGAGATTGAACCGCGTATTTTTTAGTTACTTGATATTGATACATTTAGAACTGCATAATTTAATTCTTTTAAATCCGGACGACACACAAGAAACCCTAGCAATGTGATTGATTATGAAGAAAATAATTGGAATATTTTTATACAAGATTTTGCATTGAAAAATAATAGTCAATTCATGCTAATGGGTGGAGCTTTCAAGTAGGCGTGGCTTCTTAAATACCCAAATTTTAACAAAGACTAGAATTGCAGGTGGAAAAAGTCTAGTTAATTGAGTAAAACATCGAGAATCTGACTACGAGAAGCAAGACAGCGTTCAAGTTCTGTGTTTGATCAACGTACAAATCACCATACTTGCTGCGGCACAATATTCATAACGATCTTATGTACAGAGATCGCGTTACAAGGTCGCGCAACTATTTCCTCTTCCACACACGCGCGCGCTCGCCTCCAATTGCTCTCGGGTTGCATTGTGCAAATTGATTTTAGATGACGGATCTAGAGAGATGCGCAATCTGGCGGGTTAACGACCTGCCTGAATGCTGAGAACGTGTGCGAATAGTTTGCTGGAAAATTAATCAGTATCTGAGTTCAAGGTGGGCATGCTATCGGTCGTCTTGGGCGCAATTGAGCGTGTCACGTTGAACAGAGACCACGTGGTTGCTGGGCTGAGCGTGTATTGGACGCGCTGAACTGACCCAATTTTCATGATGTATCATCTAACACATTCTGCATTGTTCCCATTGACCGATAACGAGCGATCTTGACCTTCGCGAGAGCGCTTTTTGAGGAAAAACCAAGTCCAAGTTCGTTCACACGCGCGCACACCTTTGCTTGGCTGTTGCAATGTCACAATCTCGATTAGATTCTGGCGTAGATCAATATTTGATAGCGACACAGAAATAAATAGAATTGAAGTTATTGAATTGGGAAATGATAATATTTTCCTCAAGTGTCGACGATCTAGATTTTGCTATATTTTTGCAATATACAAATAATAATTGTGAGGAAATGCGAACGACTTAAAGTTGCAATTGGGCAGAAAATTGAGCGAAAAAGTGGAACATGACAAACGGAACATCAATTGATATACTGATAGAATTGTAATCCAGATAATGGGCGACAAATACTCGATCTGCAGAAGAGTTCAAGGACTGCCAGAAATGTATGGCCACTGGATTGGTGTTGGAAATCCTCAAATACTCGCCATTCTGTGATGTGATCTGATCGAGAAAGGAATTCGTGTATGCGATAAGGTGTTGTTTTGTAGTTTCGTGTGAGCATTTTTATCTGGGTCACAAAAGTGAATTTTATCAGGGCGCGCAAAGGTGTATTTGAGGAAAAAAAACGCGCGCGCGCCAAAAGCTGAGTCTGTGTGTCCAGGAAGAGGCAAAATTTGAGGTGGAAACTTGGAAAATTTTTCATCGCCATACCGATAAAGGGTGTTGGACACATACACAGACTGTGTGGAATCTATCGATTGACAGAGCAAATCACAAATGGACAGACTTTTGCGCTGCGGATATAAATGCAATAGGAGTGGAGGTCAGGCGTTAGTAAATTACTGGCCGGTGTGCCATAGACGTCCAATTTTGTGGAGAGAATCCAGCCTTTTCCCGCGCTTTGCTGTCCCCTTTCCAATTGCCATTGCCGCTGTGCATTCGTTAAGTGTGTCTTCTCTGTTGAAACCGAAAAAAATGGCCGACAACGCCGGGAATATTGAACTGCCCCAGTATGTTATCGACGAGATCAAGCAATTAGCCGAGAGTGTGGATATGGTGAAGCCCATCCTCAGGGTGTCCCAAGGCTCGAGGAGCGGTGATAACTTTTCTGGGGACGTGTTTCGAGTCATAGCGGTGTCTGAGGATGGAACAATGCCAGATGAAGCGTCCAAAGACAGGTTTGTCCAGCAATTCCCTCGACAATTGTGCCTCCTTTCTCATGCCCACATCTCATCCACAGGCTGATCTACCAGAAGGAGCTGCACCTGTTCGTGAAACTGGCACCACGGACCGACATGAGGCGCAAATTGTACAAATCTGTGTTGTGTTTTGAGCGCGAAAGATATATGTATGACGTCATTCTCCCGCGCTTTCAAGTGTTCGAGCGCAAGTACCTGAAGAGCGCCGACAGATTCCACAACTATCCGCAAATGGTGATGTGCAACCTACAGGAGAACCAGGAATACCTCGTCCTGAACGATTTGCGGCGCGAAGGCTACTGGAGTCCCAAACGCTCCACGCCACTAAATATCCATCAGTGTCGCCTTGTTCTGGGCACAATGGCCAAATTCCATGCCATCTCTTATGCCTTCAAGGATCAGCATCCCGAGGAGTTCACCATCTTGACCTCAAAACTCATTGAAACTATGTTTGCCACGCCAATTACGACGGACATGCTGACGTTCCTCTCCAAGAAGATCGAATATGGCCTCAGCACTCTCACTGAGCCCGATGATGGCGAGTACAAGCGGCGCTTGGAGAAGTTCGGGGAGAGCTTCACCGAGAACATGATTTCCTGCGTGCACGTGAAAGATTACGGCGCCATCGTTCACGGCGATTCCTGGATCAGCAACCTGATATTCCGCTTCAAGGTGAGAGATTGATAACATCACGCTGTAATTGCAAGGGGGAGATAATATGATCTGAAGCGGTGTACACAGCTACTTAATCAAATGTTTCTTTCCTAACAAATTACATCGATTGAGCAGAATTGAGAAAGTGTCAAGAAAAATGGTGTACGAATTTAACCCATAAAATCTCCCTTTTGTGTAATTATTTTCTCAACACTCTGTTTTTGCCACAGAACAACGTGGAGGAGGAGGTGAAACTGCTGGACTGGCAATTGAGTCGGCACACAACTCCTGTCCTGGACTTGGCGTACTTCATCTTCTGCTGCACCGATGAGGATGTGCGAATCCACTTGCCCGAGCTCCTGGATCAGTACTACGACCAGCTAATCCGTCGCATCGACCGATTGGGCAGCAGAGGAACTGATCTCTATCCCAAGGGCGTCTTCGATGATCACTGCAAGCGCTACATGAAGTATGGACTCGGTAAGACAACTTCAAAGCCTCCAATCTTTCCTCAAATCCTAATTCTCTCCATTGCAATCTTCCAGGCCTGGCTCTGATGACGCTGCACTCCGTTACCAACGATTCCGAGAATATGCCAGACGTGGTGCCGATACTTGAGAATGCGAATTTCGCAGAGATGGAAAGTATCGCAGGCGATCTGGCCAAGAGTCCCGCCTACATCAGCCGCATGTCCAAAGTGATTCGGGACGCTGTGAGGTTTGGATACATCTAACGCGTTATTTTACCCACTGAAAATGTATTATTCGATTTTACCCCCCAATGTACAGCTTTCATTATAAAAATAGATTCTCTATGCATGTAAGAATAGATAGTTTTTCATAAACTTAAGGATACACTTTCTCAAAGGGATTTGTTTCTGAATTGCTAGATAAAATTTTTGTATAGTTTAAATGCCTCTACATTCAGTCCGAAGCCGGAAAGCATGTAAACACTTTGTTGGAGTTTTTCCATAGAAATCACAGCTATTGTGAGTGAATCCTTGACGTTGTCTGACGCTTTATTTACCCAGGAAAGTCAGAGTAGGAATATTCAGATGTTTTTTTTGCCTTTTTGCATAAATGCCTTGACAACAAGAATGATTATTCAGTACTGTGTTGCATTTGAAAATTCCCTCCAAAATTATTTACAACATAAAGAAAGCAAAGGTACGAATGAAAAAGCCTCCTTGAAGTTCCCCAAAACCAATAGGAGAGCCTAAGCAACCCTTTCTGACTGTGCTTCCCTTTGGCAGTGTAAGGAATCAGCATTCCTGCAAGCGTGCCAGATTGCCACGCGATGTTCTGTCTCATGTGCGCGAGCGAGAGGACTGTTCGCTGCCTCGGAGACTAGTTGACTCATGTGGACACGCACACAGGCGCAGGCCGTTCATGACCAGCTGCGCACAAAACCCACTACAATTATCGCGACGCGCTGCCTATGCAAAAAGTGATGATGCATCATTCTCTCTCTCATGATTACCCCCACCCGCTGACCCTTGTTTATCACGTACGCCATGCTGATGCGCGAGAAAGGGTGGGAGGCATTGGCTGGCACAGGACAGGCTTCTGGGTGGTGTGACTTGGATGCGGCTGAGGCGAGTGCAACAGTCAAAGATGGTGTTTACTGCCTCAGAATGACCACGTATGGAGCGCGTGGGGAGAGGGGAAACGCGAGCTTTTCACACGCGATGCCACTATAGTCGTCTCGCTCAGTGTCGCCATCTCTGTCGCTCCGCGAAACGCAAGCCGACGAAATGGCACGGAGTCAGCTTCGTGGGCTATAATGTGACTATTCGGTCCGAGTGTGTGGTAAGGTTGGAAGTTGAACAAGTGAAGTGTCTTCAACTGGTTAGCATTTCTCCTGTGTGAACTCAGTGTTGGTCTCAAAGGTTTTTCCGCTAAAGAAGCGTACTATATATGGTGCCTGGAACACTTGAGTCCTAGACAGAGATCCTTCGTTTTAGTGTGTTTCTCTCGCCCAGGTTAGTGAATGATGAAATATATTGAGCTTTTTCTCCCTCTCACTCTCGCACTCTTGAAATTATTTACACGTCACTGTATTGTTTTGATGGAGAAAAAAATCGTGATTTCATTCTCAGCACAGCGTGATCCAAAAGCCGATGTCCAATTGGGCCGTTTTGGATCAGCCGTGAGAGTGTTTACTTACAAGAAAACGGACTCGCCGATGAGTCAATTTGGTGAGCGCGATTGGTAATCTCCACACAACTTCCTACTTATTTGGCACTGAACTATCCTGTCGCTTTGTGAAAGTCTCGCTGGCGCGCTGAGGCCTCTCTGTGTGGATGTGTTTGGCAACCTCGGCGCTTCATTGCGCCCCACAGTCAGGCATGGCCGAATGTAGCGTTCTGTGTGGGGAAATTACTAATTACACGTACTTAGTCGCTCTCCCCAGTGAGATTGCCACCTAGAATTGTACTAATTTCCATGCTGGCAAGTGTGTGCGCCACCCAGTGCGCCTCCATGATTGGTAACTGATTCCCCAAATACATGTGATCATATGAGCACGCGTGACATGGTGATTTCACGGTGTAGGTCCGCGCTGCATGTGTGTTGGGGCACGTTGTATGCGTCAGTTCGGTCTGGGGTTCCACCGAACACATCGGCAGACACTGAATGTGACCGGGCATATCAGCAAGGCAATGCCGCAGAGATAGAGAGAGCAGGGAGCAAGCGAGAGGTCCCAAGACATTCTGGAGAGAGAATTGCTCCTTGTAAGAATACGAATTCTTTTTTCCACCATGAAATCTCGGGAAGTATCATGTGAGAGTCAGTGTACTCCAAGGGTCTACCCACACTCTCAATGGCGAACCGCTGCCGCGAAAAGCAACCCGACAAACACCCATGCGACGTTGTGACAAAGAAGCTTGCGAAGAAGAAAAATCAATTTGCCAACATATAAACGCAATTGGTTGAACGGCAAAAAAGGCCGAGACAAACAGAAATATCAAGTGAAATTCGCAACAAGGTAAGTGGAACTTTCCACGGTCTCACAGGTCGCGCGTTCATTTTGATATGGGGGAAAACCGTGCACCAGTGAAAGGTGGGAAATGCGAGCGGAAAATATATGCTCTCGAAGATATCCAGATAGTCTAGCCATGTTTGGTATGATATTATAGTTGTGTGGAGAGCAGAGAGAGAAAAAAGGGATGGTTTGTTTGCATTTGGCACAAACCTGTGTTGTGAACGTGTTTCTCCAACACCACCAAAGCGCATTGGGATGCTCCGCAACAAACGTGGTGTGCCTAAAATAAGACCAGCAACAACTATAGAGTTGTCTCAAGTCACTGGCTTGATCAAAGTTGGGATTGTACATAAGAGAGCCTCTCCATGCGAGGCTCTTGGCGTTTTACAGACATTTTTATCAAACTCTTACACTCTTGGGCAATCGAGTCCCACACTTTTTTCGCCTCTCTCTCTCGCGATGCGCGAGAGAGGCCGGCTCGGACCCGACCATACCGAATGAAAGTGTAAATTGTTGCACTTCAATTCAATCCACCATGTCTGATTGAGTTGGATGAGTTCCTATAGTCGCGCTATCATACGCTATGTACATGGGCTTCGCCTATATGCTGCGATATGTACGCTATATGCACAATATAGCATCATTATACTGTGGCGTCAGTTTAGTGCTTTGTTGAATCAGATCCCGTGTATGTGGTACTTTGTATCTTATATGGCACATAACCATCCATTTCACACACATAACGAAATGTGAAATGCCTACCAAACCACCAACCCACGTCCTCTCTGCCTGCAAAATGCGCCCGGTTTCAGCCGCTCTATCAAGGGTCTGTGCTGACCTGCAGGCGACCTATCTTTCCCCCGAAATTGTCTATCGCACACCTGATAAAAGTGCGAAGAGAGTGGCCCAAAAAATGCATGGAGTGTGTGTGTTTTTTTTTCTTAACAGTACTCAGCAATTTACGGGGAGTTACTCCAGATTAGGCCGCGAGAAGAAAACAGAGAACAAACAGTAGAAGAATGGAATAGAAGTACTCGCGAGGCGCATCGCTCCCCGCACCTCCGACGACCTTCCATTGGCGGTCTAGGGCCAGATAATGTGGCTAAAAACTGTACATTTCGTGACAGATCCAAAAACTAAACTTTGAAGATTCTTGATTCTGTCAATAATCACTGACTTAAACATAATAATTGATGTGTTGGACTGCTAACTCTGCTCTAGATCCATCTAAAATTCGTCATATAATCTAAAAAAAACTGCTACTAACTACTGCAACTTTAATCCAACGTTAAGCCTTAAGTTAATCCAATTCAGGGAATTTACCTGCGTGCTCTGTCCTGGTAAACTCCATTAACCCATTTGACTTTCTCAATAGGACTCTTTCTAGCTCCTGAGGTCACTTTCCGGTTGATATGATTGTCCAAACTTATGTATGCACACTCCGATATATTCAGATATGTACTATGCTGGGCGCTTTTCCTCTTCCCCTTCCCTAAAGCAGTGCATATGGTGTGCGGGATCGCGATAGTGCGGCCCGGCCGGGGGGTGGATGGGGTCTGAGGGCGCCAGTGGCTGGAGGAATGGTTTTCATGGTGAATAATTCCGAAAGGACATGCCAATTGGATAGTTAATTGCAATATTTGCAGGCAAATGCCAAGTCCTCAGTCGTGTGTTTCCCCACCGAAGCCACTCAACTCGAGCGAGAGCGACGCGCTCTCTTTCGCACATTGAGCTCTCCAAGGCTCAGAAAAACAATCAGCAACGTGACGCATGCATGCTGGATGTGTGTGTCAATATTCATACTTTTCTCCCATACCTCAAGTACACACTCTCCGACACTCTCTCGGTGTGCTTTTTGGCATGGCGCGCGAGCGGGACGGCACGATGTGCGCTGGATGGTTGGAAGTTATTTTGTAAGCTTGACTGAGTAATTTTCTGTTACGACGCCCGCCATTGGTTGGGGATGACCTGGCTGTGGACACGTGAGCAACATCGAGCATGTGTTCGCTGTGCGTCGTAGCAAAACACAGGTCAGTGAGGAGACGGTCGTCTCGCTCTGGCCGCGGTGTGGCGTCCAATGTGGTGATCACACTATTCACTTCTCTTTTGCACGTGACTCGGCTTGTCACAGCGCGAGAGCGAGAGCCTGCGCTATTTGGCGAGTAGTTGTGAGTTCGGCTGCCACAGTGTGGATTTTCCATCCCGTTGCTCGAAAAGAGTGTGTGCTGACGAAAATATTTCCATTCTGCCCAGTGTCTGATTCAGTTTCACTCCATACGTTCCCACTCCCGTGTGGTCTCGAAGAAGTGGTAAGTTGGGTAGTGGCCTAGCCTGTGCGACCTAGCTCAGCCCGGGGCAGCGCCGCGTATCCTTGGCCAAGGGGGGCTCCTTCGGGTGAAAGTGAAATCATACTTTTTTCCGCTCCTCGCGATTGGACAAAAAATGTAGGTGGCGTTGCGCAAAAACTGGTGATGTGTTTTAAAGCATAAAAAAGAGAACACTAAGCGTGTGTTCAGCATACATATTTCAATGCGTGGTGTGCTATCGAAAGTCAGGGCTTGCGATAGGTGTATGGGTGTTTTTTCTTCTTCGAGAAGTGCGACGGAGAGAGAGAGGAGGATTAATTTATTGGTGATGCCATAGGCGTGTGTAGAAATTTTGTGCAATATCACACATATTGGTGGTTCCCATTGAGATTTACGTGCTAATTGGGGCTGGTTTCTCAACGCCACGCCACAGTGTGTGCGGTGTGGGGGGCGCTTTTGCCTTTTTTTTCTCCACTGTTATCTAGCTAAGGATAACGACTTGTTTTCACAGCATTGCCTGGGAATAGCGTAACGCGCATTTATAGTTGGGGCGCCTCAGTATGCGGGCATGAACACTATGGTTGTGTGGCGTGTAACAACAAGACGGGCGCGCCCCGCGTGCGTGCCGCCCTCCCCTCCACCTTCCCCTCGCCGTACCACATGCAAAAGCTGTGTGCCGTGATGCCATATCCCGGTTCTGGCCGCTGCGACTGTGGTCGTGGGCAAACGGAACCTGAGTGCCACCGGGTTGGGCTTTTGGGCGAAATCGTGTATGCGCGAACGTCTCTCTCTCTTTCTCTCTCCTCGCCCAAGCTGGGGTGTGTGTTGGTGCGATGGCATTAACTCAGTGTGCGGAGGAAAGGGTCAGTAGTTTGAAAGAAAAAGGCGCTATTAGCCTGGAATTGTGGGGGGGGGGGAGGGGACTACCTCTGAGGCCTAACTCGCCTAGGGTGTGTATATGGCCAAATCCGGAAGCCGAAAACCCAAATGCTCATGAGATTGACGACGAACCGCAATCGCTAAACCGTCTCCGGGCGTCCAGGGTGAGAACATGAGCTCAGCAAAAGCAATAGGCATAAGTGAGCATAATTTATTTTACAGAAGAAGTGAAGAAAAAATGGAGAGAAGTACCTAATTACATTCAATACTGGGGGAATGGCTGTTTATTCACAAAGTCTCTAGTTCTTTTTTCCACTGTGTCGAGGCATGTATGCGAGGGTACTACATGAAAATGAGTAGATACGTATCAAGCACGCATACAATCAATAAAACTTTCACACTGTCGTATCGTTTGGCATTGTGTGATGTACTGTGTGAGAAAAGTCTCCTGAAAGTATTGATGTTACTCGGTTTTTGGGCTGGAGGGACAGAAGAGGCGAGGGCAAGTAGAGGAGACTATTCCAAGTGGGCAGGGAATCAGATGAACTCCTTCGAAATAGGCAATGAGGTCTAGGGATATGGAATATTCATTAAGAAAGGAACAAGTGCTGTGCGGGCAGTAAATACAAATTAATTGTGAGCCACTGCTGAAAATGTGCACTTCTGTCGCACTCCAGCGTGCATATATAGTGTCGAACACAATGATGTGTATGGTTGTGGGGCATGGAGAGTGTAATGAGGCCCACATAGCATGCACATGAGCACAGCAGAGCACATGACAGTGACGGTAGTCGAGCGAAGCACCGCTCAGGAGTGGGTCGGGAGGGACGAAGGGTAGGCCAAAGCCTGGGCGCTGATGTGAAGGTGTAAGACCGGGATCTCGACACTTGAAAGAATATTCCTCTGCACACCCCTTGAGGGGGGCGCCACCTTGAAACGCCGTGAAAGGCTCGGTGTTTTTGCACAGTAATTATGAGAGGTACAATTTAGGGGTGGCGAAGAGAGATTAACAATAAACCCAGCACACGCTAAATGGGTAGTAAAAACGCAGTCTTTTCAGCACAAAATCACTTACACAAGCTGAATTTTCCGTCCTCCGCCCTGGGGGGTGCTATGAAATTTTCAGAGAACCTCCAGCAGGGCGTCAGTCCGATTGATTGAAGTCATGCTAGTGCCGCGCTGCAAGGTTGATTCTTTCAAAATTTGCCTATTTAACAAACATGTCTCTCCATCCGCCATTTTAAAGGGCCACAGAAATGTTCTTTTTATCAAATACTTCGGATTTTGCCGGTAGAATTAGACTAGGATTTTAATATATTGCAGCTTAAATGAAGATCTGTCCAATAATACTCAGCGAGACTTTTTTATTTGGATGAAATGCCAATCAATAGACAAATCTTCCTCCTGACATGAACCTTATGTACTTCTGCTTGGCAGCAATTCAATTTCCTGCGTGATGGTCTGCACTGAGGGAGAAAAAAAAGAGATTCGGGGAGCGAGCGAAAAAAAAGCGTACATAGCATGGGAATATGTAAATTTTCCGATATCACCCTAAATGGTTATCCATCATTTATAATTTACAAGTGATGTATTATCTCGGTTTGGCGAAATAGTTTGGTTTGCTTGTCGAGCGGCTGAGTGACGTCACGGAGGGCAAAAAATTAGGGGCTCCTAGAGTGTAGCGCCTGGGAAAACAGGTGTAGAGAGGGAGAGGGAAGAGTGTGTGGCGGAGTCCTAGAGCCTGGGTGTGAAGCGGCGCGGCGTCATATTTTGTGTTGATTGATTAAAACACTAAAGCCGTATAACACACGCTTACGAATTTACGGACACTAGAGAATGTGAGCGTCAGATATGTACAATGGCAGATGTATATATGCTCTGCTGGATGGGATGTAAGAGAAGGCCTAAGAATTGTCTGCTGGCGTGGCGTCACTCTCTATGGTTGGAAAATGCGTACGTGCGACTTTCTTTGTTTCGGCATCGGTGCGTTTTTTGTTGTCATCAACACACCATTTGACGGTGTGATGCCGAAGAGAGCAATTGCGACTCGGTGTGTGCAAGTCTCGCTGTCAATAATGGATGTGTACCTACATAGGAGTCACACAGTGGGGTTTATAGATTGGCGCATCGCTTGATTAAGAAATTAATACCTTATGAGAAATGTGTGCCCATAACTGCCTACCTCATACGCATGAGCATACAATATTCTGGGTGACAAGCACATTATACACACGACTTTGTCAGCGATAGTGGGAAAAATCTGGGAGGAAATTGGTGAGACAACTGTTAACAAGACTCCAATGCTATATTACGAAAGTTGCCTCGTAGCGAATGCTACACAAAGAATGGAACGTGTTTGGGAAGTAGAGAGCGGCTTCTGGGGTTGGAAGATGTGCTCAAGATTTCATACTTGATCATGCATAAATGATAAATAGGAGTTTACTTCTGTGCAATTGCAGGGTGGGTGTTGCACCCTACAATGTCAGGAGAATTGTGGAGGAAGTATTGAGGCATTTGGGGAAGAAGCAAAAGGAGGAAAAAAAAAACACAAGAACCAAATCTCTGGCTCTCATGTCATTTCCAGGGAATTTTACAATCAGCGCGAGGGAGAGGTCGAGCAGCATGCCTCGTGGGTTAGACAGAGAGCACTGGCTGTTGAGTGTTGAGCATACATATGCACTTGGGAGCGCACACGGACGCGAGAAAGTGGAATAAATAATAAAAATAATCCAGCGCATGGTCTGATATCCCCGGGAAAACGTGTTTTCAGCGAATTCATGCACTCGGTCGCGTTCGGCTGGCGTCGGTGACCTTGTCATTCATATGTTTTGTCATTGTGCCGAGAGAGACGGCGCGATGTGCACGCGAGAGGGACGGCGCGGTTGTGCAACACAGTCTCAGGTTGTTGAATAGAGCACGCGTGCTTGTATGCACTGAAGGAGCAATCGAAGGGGAGGGTTGGAGCAGTGCAGCCATAGGCGACTAGGAAAATTCCGAGAGAGACGACAGCGAGTCGGTGGGAGCGGAAAGAGGACGGATAGATGAGGGTGTTCAATGAATAAATGAGCGCGATGCAGCAAGAAGCGAAGGAGACAGAGTCAGTGATAGTGATTCCGCGAGAGAGACCATCGAGTGTGTCCTAGCGAAGGGGGGAGTGTTGATTGTGCAAAGTTGCGGGGGCGGTTGCGCATAGTGCCGGAATCGAGGATGAACGGGGCTTCGGCGTTTTTGCATACACAGTCAAGAGGGAAGTTGGAGGAGGCGAAAAAGGGAGCGCTTTCGCCGGACGGGAATTTTGGGAATTGTGATGGCTGAGTGCCGCCGCGCTCTCTGGATGGTTGGTTGTGATTTTTTGAACACTCCAGTTTGTTTGAATATCGCAGACGGAAAATTTCATGCTTGGGTGATGATATCTCTGTCCATACAAAATGTGTACATACATAATGTTGATTTTTTGCCTCCTCAAGAACACCGTGTACCACGCGATGCTAAATAGTGATACACACACACGCGCATGCACACATAAGTGGGTCTGTGTTGGTGCGAACGCGTCTTGATTTGAATATTTTGTGCTTTATTCGGATATTAGCACAAATTATAACTGTTAATGCTTGCTATCGTATTCACGAGGCGAATGAACATTCAGAAAAAAAAAAACATAATTTTGCAAAATAGGGAAAGACGTTCACACTTCCTTTTCATTTTTTTCAGATATTCTCTTTGTGGTAATATGACTTCAGCACTGGATACACTTTTGGAGGCGGCAAAATTCATAGAACAGCAGGAGGAATTGTCAAGACAACGATCCATATCATCAGCTTCTGGTCAAGCGACATACGCCACATCATTCCCACCTCTGTCCAGCACAGCTTCTGCAGTCACAGCGTCATCGCACATCTTGCAGAACAACACAAATCAACCGACGAACATTGTTCGCTATGTCCACAATCAACAGGCGGCGTCGCCACTGGGGAGTCCGGTTCTGAGCAGCAGCACCTCGACGGCGAGCAGTGGAAACATCCTGCTGCAGCAGAACCAGCAATTCCCCACTCTAATTCGCCTCGATGGCAACGGCACAGGTAAGAGGACTCCAATCACTCTGCCTCACGCAATTCCTACCAATCATCGCCAGAGTGACAGGGAAAGCTCGTGTTTTAGCTCGGAAAGTCCTTTCAATTCATCTTTGAAGATGATTTCGTAATAGAATTTAAGTCTCTTTTGGAAGTCCAGAATTGTCACAAATAATCGCCAGGAACACTCTGGAGTTTGAGAAGAAGGAGTTGACCTTCGAACATGACAAGTTCTGTAGAGTTGTAGGTCAGTTTGTGACCTTTTCAAAATATCATGCCTTCACCCAATCCATTAAAGGCAATTTTGCTATTATGATTTGCAGAGCAGTAAAGTTGTACTGAACACGATTTCAGTAATTAAAATTATTAAAATCTTCATGAGATCTTTCATGATATTAAATAGCTTGATTTTTCGTAAGAAAAATTTATATGAATTTTTGAATTTTCACTCTGAAAAATTGCGGTATCTTTACACTTGCGTTCTAGAAAATATTGAAATTGAAATTCAATCTACTTCTTTGCTGCAAATTCGCGATAGTTGCACCTTTAGTTTGATTTTTGGGGACAATTGAATGCACAGACAGAAATATGAATTTGGGCTAAGCGAATGCATTTGAGAGTTATCAAATGACGATAAAACGCGTGTATTGGAAAAATTCTCCAATCGAGCAACCAACCATAACAGCCGCGTCACGTGTACTGCCATCCATTAATGCTCACTATAGCACAAGTTGTATATAGATTCACTGTTTGATATGAAGTTCTTTTTTAATCACACTCTCGCCCAGTGTGAGCTTGCGGGGGGAAAGAGCGTGTGTTTGTGTGATAAAAATAGATGCATAGAAGCACTATTTGTGGCGATAAAATGGAAATTATACAGAAGAAGAAAAAAATCATACTTTCCTTCTAACTGCTTTTCTTGACAATTACAATTGGCGCTGAAGTGTGCGGGGAGAGGCGAAAAATTGCTAACTTACAGTAAAAGACACAGATCGTTTCACGTTTCTCGCCGCGTGCAGCTTACAAAGAACTTTTTTCGCCACATCTCTCAATATACACAGTGTTATAAGCGATGTGAGAATATGTCTATATTTTTCTTATTCGACGAATTTCCTTTCTTCTCCATATCGATAAAGCTCTCCTCACCAGAAAGACACACACTCTTTTATTGTTAGGCGTTTTTTACTCTTTGGTATATTTTGTGCGAGATAAAATGTGACAGAAAAAAAGTACGATAAACCCGTGGATATTATTCAAAGAGAAGCAGTTTGAGATGTGGCGAAAAAAGGGGTGAAAGAAGAGAAATATATACAAAGTAATGTATCTTGGAAATGCCGTCAGGCGAATTTAAATTAGAATATGGCAGAGAGGAGAGAAAAGAATGCTGCATCCTGTTAAAATTGCAAATAGGAGTGAATTTACACTTAGCAAAAATATTGACGATATGATAATGCATTTTGTCAGCGAGAAGAGTTGATTGGCATTTTCTCTCCAGAGGCCAAAGAGCTTTTTTCTCTCTCTTTCTCTCTCTCTTCTGTGCGAATTTGCGAACAAAGAATACAAGGGATATCGCATTTCGCGAGATATGAAATTCTAGTAAAAGTTGCTATGAAGATTTGATGCAACAATCAAAGGCAAATAATTGTATGTTCTCATAATGCAATTTGGTGAGATATCAAATTTATCACTGTGCCATTACATGAAGACTTTGGCTTTCCTGGGAGGGCGATTCTTGAGTGCAACAAAGCGACTGATATTGGGTTGAGCGAGAGAGTTTCCTGGTGAGCAGAGCGAGTGAATGAGTGAGTGATATTTGCGCTTGTGCATAGAAATATAGCGTAGAAACTCACATCGCGTCTTCTATAGAATTTCACACATTGAAATATATCGACAGCAGCGGTTTTTCCTCGCACAAAATGTCACTTTAAATAAGTGAAATCAGTCAATTGGTGCCATTTGATAAGTATGCATCGATAGAGCGCGCGAAGTGCAATTTTCTCGGGAATTTTCGCACAAAGTTTCTGAAGGGCCGTTTTGCTTTGAACACACTTTAATCATAGAGTTTTGGGCGCTGAGTATTTTTTTATTTAGTTCACTGATTCTTTTTGAGGGGTTTCCGAACGGAAGTGAGAAAGAAAAGGGGCGAAGATGCATAATGACAGCGGCGGGAGTTTCTGGAAGGGCCTGGAAATTTCAGGGTCAGGCTCTTCTGTGCGGGTCAATGAAGCACCTGAGACAATGTCGGAAGTGACATCACCATTCTACACGAGCACAGTAATAACTGATGTTGGAATTTGTGTCGGAATGCGAAATGTGAATCTGAATTGTGACAATTCGGTGTGTTTATATCCTCAGACGGCACGACACACCGTGACTAAAATACCGAACTGTTGCAATTTCGCCGTGTTCGCGAGTGATCAGATAAAGGCTGATGTGGCACAGAAGAGGGCAGATGGCGAGCTCTTGGCGGCCACTCAAGTCATCCGCAGGGACAACAGTGAGATCTCATGGCTCTACGCACAGGCGGAACGTATTGGCGCGTCCAGAGATTTGGCCATTGGCAAGACAATGTCCATGACGACAGCGGCAATTTTCAAGAACGCTCAACGCGGTGGCTGGAAAGGGCCCGAGAGCCCCATCAAGATCGCCCATGTGCAGAAACGCGATGCTCTGGCCACCATGAAGATGCTCAAACCAGCTCGCAGTGTTGCGCCGCCGAAGAAGAAGTGGATTCAGCACTACTTCAGGGGTTAGATTGCCTAGAAATAAATGCATTGATTCACGTGCGCCCTTACATCTTGCAATTGCACTGAGCGATTGACACAGATTCCTTCTCCACATGGCGTTGGCGTAGAATATTCGTTAAAATTACACACGGTCTCATTGCCAAGAGGCGCGCGGAAGGTGTGTGGGAGACAAATGTGTGGTGGTGTTGAGACGGGAAAGAATAGAATTGATTCTAGGCAGTGTTGATTTTGACCAGAGCCGCGTGTTGCCAGTTCACGTGTTGTGCTCTCTTGGCCTTTCGGCGGGGAAATGCCCGCTGAGTATCGCTGTGTGTGCACGCCTGGGGTGAAAAATTCACGGCGGCGCTCTGCTAGAGGCGTTCAGCGCAGTGGTGGAGTGAAATCATCCCTCTAGCTATCTTGATAAGATAAAGTACAATAATTAGACAATAAAACATTTAAAGTATTTTTATAAAAATTGAAGAAAAATAAGAGGAATACAAAAACAGTGTTCTTTCGTCGTCAGTTGTGATATTATCACAGAATGATTATGCTCACTACGCCTTTGTGCATTTTGCAGGGACTTTCATTTCCTGAAGTGAAGAAAGCCTTAGCATAATTGTCCATTATAGTAGGAATTTCGGGGCTATCATGCGAAATCCCGGGATTAAAGCAAAGATCTCTCATGTGTGCTATTGTCTCTTTGTTGCAGAAGAACCGCTCCTCAATGGGCACACAATCGCCACCCCACCGCTCGTGGTGTTCAGTCATCCGCCGCAGCAGCAGCACCACGTCCACAGCGGCAGCAGCACTCATTCCCCGTCGCCGCAGTCGTCGTTCGAGCTGTCGCGCAGCCGGAGCTCATCGGGCTCTAGCAACCACCCGGCGGCCGGCAGCAATGGCGCCGCCACGGCGCTGATCCACCACGTCCTCGTGGGCGGCGAGGATTCGTCGCAGTCGAGCCTGAATCTGAATGGCTCGAGTGGGTACTTGAGCGGCAGCAGCGGCACCTCAGTCACCGGCCTCAATCTCAGTGCGAACGGTGTCAACGCGGCCGCAGTGTCCGCCGTGGCGCTCAACGGCACGACCACAATGGAGCAGATCCAGTTGCAGGTCCAGCAGACGCCGACAGGACGCCGACGGACAACGAGTACAAACAGCAATGGGTAAGAGAAAGAGAGAGAGAGAGATTGTGGGCAGAGATCCTTAGCCGCAGGTCTGCGTGATGATGAATTTCTCGCCAGAATGCTCTTCATTGCATTAATAATGTGGTGTGCGGAATTCCAGCATGTCTCCAGAGTGACAGGGAATTCCTCTTGCTCTTGATTATTTAGAATTTAGAGAGAGAATATGTTATCATCACTCGGTCTGAGGTGCGGGATTTCAGTGACTGAATATAACTGGGGAACGGGGAATTGTGGTTCAACATTGGACATGTAGTTGCACAATTTGAGAGCAATCGGGTGTTTGGTGGGAATTAAAAGTATGTTGCCATGTGTGTGTCCAGTGGAATCCAACGTAGCCCATGCATTCTCAGGGCGGGAACGCGCGAGGTGCACAACAAGCTGGAGAAGAATCGGCGGGCGCATTTGAAGGAGTGCTTTGAGCAGCTGAAGAAGCAACTGCCGCAGATGCCGGAGGAGAAGAAGACGTCCAATCTCTCCATCCTGAGTGCGGCCATCCGATACATCCAGGTACAAATACTCACTTTGTGCGTAATGCAATGACTGATCCCTGTCTCTCGGCCATTCGGCTCTCAGCAGACACTGAAGAGGAAGGAGCGCGAGCTGGAGCACGAAATGGAGAGATTGGCCAAGGAGAAGATTTCATCGCAACAGAGAATTATTGTTCTGAAACGGGAATTGTCGTCACAATATGAGAATATTGACTTCTCTGCCATTCTGCCAGAGTCAGAAGTTCCAACAAACAGTATTCGTGAACGAGGTGAGTCAATCAATGTCCTCTTTGCAATGCTTTGCCACTATAGATAGCTGTGTTATCTTTGATATTGATACAATTATAATGAAGTTGTTGCTCATGAAAAGCAAATGCGAATTACTCGTGCATTGGCTCGTTTCTCATCGCAGCATAAATAATTTATGACAATAGCGACAATGCATTTGCGAGACGATGCAAATGAGCTTGTTTGTGCACCACAGACAATTCACTTCTCTCTTCTCTTTGATGGCAGAGTCATCGACTGAACCACCTTTGCCGCCAGGAACGCCCGTTCCAGTTCGCTACGGGTCGACATCCTCCCTGGCGAGCATCACGAACGCTGTGTCTCCGAGTCCTGGGCCTATTCAGGTGGCGAGCAGTCAGATAGGGTCTCCAGTGACAGCGTCGCCGACGAGAAAATCCACCGTTTCGCCACATCCAGCGATCTCTTCCACCGCCGTGGTGACAACGAAGCACCTCTTCTCCAGCACTTCGGCGCCTCTGGTCACGGACGCGAGCAGCGGTGGTGTGATGAAGATCGCCATGCCGGGCACCGCGACGTTCTCCAGTCCGCAGTCAATTGCCACAATCGGCGCCATCAACTTCACCACGGCCGACGGACTTACTCCTGGCATGCTGACGGCCACGAGCGCCACAATGCCGCTCAATCTCAACTCCAGCCATCATTCCCAGGGGCTACAGATTATCAGCTCGGCGGCCGTGGCGGCGAGTGGGAAGGACTTGATGGGGAAGAACGGCGTGCGGGCGCACGATCTGCGCGACACGTCGCCACCGAGTCTCGTGATCAATGGAAAGGAGCAACCGAAGCTGGATCTGCTCACGAGCGCCGCCGCCAGTGCCACAAAGCTGGACACAGAGCCGCCGACGAAGGTGATCAAACTGATCAACGGCAGTCTCGCGCTGGCGTCCATGGACAAGGAGAGCAAAATCATTCCATCCGGCCAGCTAACGCTGTCGCAAGTGATGGGTGGCAGCAGCCTGGTGGTGAGCCCGATTCCCTTCCTCACGCCGTCGCAGAGTCTCAGGGTGATCGGATCATCGCCCAACGGTTTGGCCACCATCGAGCTGAGCCCGGCCAGCGCGGCAACGCGGGCTCAGGCTCACCACACAGTTCCTCAAGCTGGCGGGGCGCAACTGCACAAGCTGCTGGCCACCGGACAAGCGCCCGGCGTCAGCACGGCTGCTGTCAGTGCCTCAGTGTCGTCCGTGACGCCAGAGTTGGCGCGCCTCCCCGGTGGCGCGGAGCTCAATATCCTGCCGGCGGGACCCAATGGAGCCATCTATCGCGGCCAGAGCGGCAAGCTGATCATGAACAATGGCATCACACTCAAAGGTGAGCATCCCGAAAGCACTAAACTGAGCCCATTCGCTCTAATTGACACTCTTTTTGGCACAGGAAGCGACACAACCAGTGCCAACAATCGAGCTGTCCATGTCGTCACGCCGATCCAGTCTAACTCCACGCCGCTGTCGGGTCTAACGCCAATTGTGGTGTCTCAGGGACAAGGCGCTGCCAATCTCGCTCACATCATAGCCTCGACCTCGCAACTGGCAGGAAAGGTGAGTGCTGAAGTAATCCTGCGCTTGAAGACTATTAATATTTTGGGTGGGAGATTCAAATATTTAATGTGAAACTACATTTTGAGAAAAATATTTGCCATGACAAACATCCGTTCTATTTCGGTTGGCATCTCAGTGGCACTTATCGCACTTTTCCTGATTTGCGTTAAGACTCTGTGACTAGACAATCCAGTGCTAGTCGAGCTGAACTGGAGATTTCTCAACTTCTTATTCTCAGACTATAAAATTTCATTCGAAGAAGTTCTTTTGCTAAACAACTTCATAATTTGTGGCATAAAAAGACAACAAGTACATAAATTACTGACTAGTTTATATATTTCCTGTTTTTTCGTTCGTTTTTCGATGACTCACGGTCAGTAAAGAATCATTCATTTCGACAATTTATGCCCAAAATATCAGTAACAGAGAACTCAACAAACAATAAATGTAACGAAAATTCATAAAAGAATCCTCTTATCGGCTTTTAATATCCAACTTTAGAATTGATTTCGTACGTTTGTAATAAAAGAAGCACATGACATGGAACTTAATATGTTTTGTTAACACGACCTAATTGTTGAGCGACGACCTTAGCCATCTTGGAATCACGACTTTCCCGATATAGGAAAAATTTGTTGAGATGTTTGATTTTCGTGCCTTATCAACTGCAAAATCATTAATGATGTTCGTGATTTGTATATTTCCGGCATTTTTACATTGGAAGTGTTACTAATGAAAAGGTGTTTGCTGTATTTTGGGCGGGGCAAACAAATGGGCGTAGCTTTGCACACTGAACCTAATATTTTCTCGCTCACTGCAGGTCGTGACAACGCCGCTATCCGTGAACGGACAGAGTCTGCCTCTGGTTCCGGGCACTCAGTACCTGAGCACGACCGTCATGAAGCCGATGGTCGTCGCCATGGCCAGCAGCAGCAGCAATCCGGCCAGCGGCGCCGCCACAGTGTCCACAACCACGCCCAGTGTCAACGGCCTCCCACCGAGCTCCTCGACCGTCGTGCTGCACCACGCGGCGCCCACGTCCATGGCCGCGAACGAGAACGGCGGCGCGTAATGCGGAAATCCTCACCAATTGCAACTCCTTGTTAGTAATCACAAATCACACGCTGCAAATGTAGAATGACTTTTCTGTGGGATTGCAGAGAGTAATTTCTCACATCAATTAGGCGTATTCTTTTGACACACAGACGCAAGCGATAGAGCCAATTTTTGGGCCGGCGAAGAGGTAATTCCATGGTGGAAAAGTGCAAAGAGAATGTGAATATTTTCACAGCTGATAGACACACAAAGGGGTGAGAGAGGAAAGTTGGGAAATTAGACAAAAAGCGTAGTCTTTCTGAGAAGCAGCCACACAGAAAAGTACATGTAAATAGATTTTAAAATGTATTTTGTACATTTAGCGACAAAGTGGAAAGCATACTATGAAGCATAAAGCATAGAGAATATTATGTCTAATAGTCACAATGAAGAAAAGAGAGAGAAAAACTATGGAGAGAAATTGTAGAAAATATTCCGTTTGTATTTTCAACATGAGAGAATAATTCTATCACACAAGAATATTTCTGTATGGTGCGTTTCTCATTATCCAAAAAAAAATATAAACCTGTAAATATCATATTTTTTAGAAGATACAATATATTTTTTGTACTTATATTTCTTATAGAAAAAAAACTATAAAAATGTGCAGTAAAAAATATTTCTACACTTTCATAACGTTTTAAATCCCCAGAATGGAAAAAAAATAAATTATTTTTACTTTGCTATTTTCAATGTTCTCGAGCAACAGCAAAATGTGGCTTCGTAGCAAAAATCTTGGCGGTTTCCAATTAATTACACTTGACACTGAAAAAATAGGGCACACAATTTATTTATCCTGATACTCAATAGCTTAACAAGAATGAGAAAAGTAAAATTTAATTATCGTATTAAATTTAATCTAGTCCAACATGTTATTATTAACAGATTTCTCTTTTCCTTTTGCCTTTCCACGGTTAATTTTTTTCAGTAAATCTACAATTTAACACTATAATTTACACAAAAAAAAACTTCTGTAACTCTTTTTTTTTACATAAAACACTATTTATATTCTCATTAGATGTTTTCGCTTACAAGGAGAAAAATGCATTTTACCACCTAAATTTTTTACATAGAATATTTTTACATTTACTTTTAAGTGTTTTAGTGCTTAGGCAGTTTTTCCCTTTTCGCGTGAAAGTGAGTATGACGGATTTGTAGCGAATAGCCAATAAATATTTTCGTTCTTGAAATATTGTTGTATAAAATATATTTAGCTCTTCTGGAGCGTGAGAAAATTGAACACAGATGGAAAAACAATGATTAGTCAAAAGAAAGCACGATCATCTCACTGAATTTTTGAAGAAGAAAAAAAAGTACTGTTGCAAAGAGTAAAGAATGCCAGAGTGGAAAGATCTTTCTATGAATATCCTAGGAATACACAAAAATTAGATCTTAACAATATTGCATGGACAGTGCGTGTGTGAATGCGTGAAGGAATGCATGAGAAGATGCAAAAAAATGTGTATATAATTTATCAGATGAAGGAACTTGAGAAAATATAAAATGATAGTACTACAATTATTGCATAAGAAGTGTGATAAGAATATAATTATTAATATGTAATACAGCAGATATTATAACAAGAAGAAAATCAACAAAAAACAGATTAAATAAAAAATAAAAATTATCAACCTGCGTTTCAATTGGTTCGCCAATGTCTGACTTTTGCGAACTTTCACTTCTCGATAGCAGAATTTTTCGCAAGTGTTTATCGCATTCTTGTTTATTTTTTCGTACAAATAATTGTTGAATTTTTTTTTTGCAGTGATAATATTTCAGATTTCTTCAAAACAAACTACGTTTCTAAGATCTCGTGATGTGAAAAGCATAAGAAAAATACGAACGCAGAATTGTATGAAAATACTTCACGTATTTTGATTCAAGTCATTCTTATCTGTATTTTGAAAAACAGTTTTGACTAGAATACATAATTATACTCGTATTTTGTATTCCCAGAGGCGTAGATTTCATATATTATTTGTTTTTTACCTTTCCAATTATTTTATTTGGTAGAAATTTCTCAAGAACTTTCCAACATCTTTAAACTGAATTCCTCAAAATATTGTCATCGGATCTGACTAATCTAACTTATTAAGGATAGAAAATTGCAAGCTTTATGATCGCGAAATTATGCATGGAAACCAATGAATTATTGATACGCTTGCAGAATAACTACACCACTGATAAATCCAATTATACACTTATAAATTCAGTGGCAAAAAGTACATTTTTTCGGATCTTCTATCTGATGTTCTTGACCTGAAACAAAACTTTATTTAAAAATACGAAAACTGGTCGTTATCAGTTCGTCTTTGACGGCTTAAAAATGTATAAATAGTCTGAGAATTTGCAGATCAATTCCAGTTTGGGATCCAAAGTGTGTTTGAAGAGTGAATTCAATCATGTCATCGTCGAAGTGTTAGTTTTCCTCATATTTTCCTACACTTGCGGAGAATTTATCTTCCTCTCCAATTCACAGTGATCAGACTGATTCTCGTTCAGCACAAAGTCGGTGATGTGAAGGAGGACAATGTGGCGCGCGCTGTGAGCATGGTCAAGAGCGCCGTGGCGAAGGAGAAGAAGTCCTCAGTACCGATTCTCGTCGTACTGCCGGAGTGCTTCAACTCGCCGTACGGCGTAAAGTTCTTCGACAAGTACGCCGAAACCATTCCCGATGGTTACACCAGCAAGGCGCTCTCGGGACTGGCCAAGGAGCTGGGAATTTACCTGGTGGCGGGATCTTTCCCCGAGAGAGACGCCCAGAATCCCAAGACGCTGTACAACGCTTGCACTGTGTGGAATCCCAAAGGAGAGCTGATCGCCAAGCACAGAAAAGTACATCTCTTCGACGTGGACATTCCCAATGGCATCACTTTCAAGGAGTCCGACGGATTCACACCCGGAAAGCAGTTCACGATTGTCGATGTTGGACCGGCGAGGATTGGAATTGGTGAGAATAGAAATCGCATTCTCTCTTAGTAAGACAATGTTCGCATTGATTAATGCTCTGCATCTTGTGTTCCATTTCTTGCTTTCAGGCATTTGCTATGACATTCAGTTCGAGGAATTCGCCAGAATCTATCGCAATGAGGGATGCAATCTCCTGATTTACCCAGCTTCCTTCTCCCTGACCACTGGTCCGCTGTCCTGGGAACTGTACCAGAGATCGCGCGCCAACGACACTCAGAGTTTCGTCACGATGGTGTCCAATGCCAGGGATTACGCCAATGATTACGTCGCCTGGGGACACACGATGCTCGTCGATCCTTGGGGACAAGTGGTCAAGTCTTTGAACGAGGATGAAGGCTTCATCGCTACGGACGTTGGTAAGCTCTCTGCAATTACAAATTACAAACCTTTTCTTCAAACCCTGCTTCTTCTGTCTTAGATTTCACAATCTGCGACCAAGTTCGAGAACAAATTCCGGTTATTAATCAACGTCGAACGGATTTGTATGACATTGTGGTGAAAATCCCCATTAAATAAGGCATTTTGTGAAGAAATATTTTGACTAATAAGAAGAGAATTACAATAAAATTGATAAACCCGAGAATTCTATCAATTTCTACCTCTTTATCGCATGTTCTCTGTCAACATTCGTTACCTTATCACTTTCTCCAGTAATTTTATTGACCATTAATTACTGAGAATTCGCTTTATTGCATTTTATCACAAGTTCACTTATGCAATGCACCGTCTGAAAATTTTCCAATGAAGAGCATTTAGGCAATCTCCAGCGCCAAAGAACTCCTCATGCGTTATCTAACGCCTTTTTCACGCAATTTCGGGGGCAAAGCAAGTCCACAAAAAAGCTGAGCACTCTTAAGACAACACAGCGTACAATTATTATCAGTGACTAATTTAAATTATGCTTGGCATCCAGAGATGTTGAGAAAAGAATGTGCGGGATGAGAAGAAGGCAAACACGAAAATAAAACAAACATTGCATAAGAGGTGCGATAAGCTTGTGATAGTCCAAATCTAATTCAGAGAGAATTCTTAAGTTGTGTGAAAACAAAAATAAATCATTTGTAGCGGCTTTGCGAAGATTATTCTCTCGTCCGGCAGCTATTTTTGAGAAGGTGTGCGCGGGATTTAGGCAGAGAAAAAGTGGCAGAAATTTAGCAAACATATCGCCTTGAATTCACTCGCAATACGGATAAACATGAACGCCGAGCTGGCGATTTGAGGTGGACTTCCAGGCCTGAAAGACGGGAGCTATTTTGCGCTTTCGGCGCTTCCTCTTCATGCAGTGCGGCCGCATGGTTATGTAGTAGACAATCTCGATGAGCGACACCACGCTGAAGCCCATGAACAGGCCCAAAAGTCCTCCGGTGCTGGCTGCGCAGGAGGAAAGCATTGAGTTGGAAAAGTAGTACGCAAGGTGAAAACAACTCACAGAGAAATTCAGTGAAGCCGATCAGCTCTCCTTTCGTGAAGCTGTGAATTGAGTTGTCCACGAAGAAAATGTGAACGACAGCAATATTTTCTCTAGAAGTAAGATGAACTATCGGTTATTGGCTGGTTTATTTCATTAAAAATGTTGAAAAATAGAATATCTCATTCAAAAATTCATTTCAAAATATTTAGGGCGTGATTTTGAATTTTTAAAAATTCATATGAAATATTCAATGTAACATGAATATTTCCAAACCATATGATGAAATATTAGATTGTAAAATGTGCGTGAAATCAGAAGAAATCTCTACAGCTGTTGTTTAATTGAGAGAATAAAATGGGCAGGGCATTTCAATGGGCGGAGTTTTTATTAAAATTAATTTCCACTTACTTCAGGAACTGGCGCGGATATTTGCTGAGAAAGCGATCCTTTATAAGGAAGTTTCCAAGACCCAAAGGAGTGGTCGATGATCGTCTTTCGTAGGAGATCTCAAAGCACGCCGGAAGGCAGCTGCACGTCAACGTACCATTAATCTTCATCGCGGTCTTGAGAGGTTCATAACAGTCGGCGTCGTCAAGACTGCAGATCTGCGCATCCGCCGTGGTTTTGGGCATGTAGTAGAGAATGCAGCCACAGTGTTCAGCGATGATCTTGGATTCGCACTCCATTTCGCAATTCTTCTGCGTGTAAGTCCTGAAGTAGAAGAGCTTATACTCATTGGCGAAGACGCACTGACGCTGACGCTGATCAACTCTCCTGATCATTTCTGACGCTTCATTGATCGTTGGCGAGACGACGACTCTGGTCTCCGTTCCTGGTGCCACGTAGAAGCCATAGTTGGTGATTTTGGGAGTCTCTATCGGAGCGTGGAGGAGGACCTTGAAGCCTGCGCTGTTCGTGGAGGAGCAGTAGTAATTCCCAACCTCACAGTTCATCGCCACAGTGAGTCCGACGTTCTTTCCTGCTCCTGGAATGGGTCGCGGGAAGGAATTCGGTGGCAATTTCTTCGGATATCCAGTCTCGGGTGTCCAATTGATGGCCACACCTTTGGAACTGTTCTTTTCATCGCTATCCCACTTGTTTTCAGTCCTGGAACCAGAAATATCTTCAAGTATGATTTGTCAGTGCTCACAAGAGTGCTGTTGTCATCTTACAGCGGTCCGTGGAACATGAAGTCAGGATGGACGGTGTTGAAAGTGCAGCAGAGACCGTCATCCGTGAGGGAACTCCAGAAGATGTCCATGCAGTTCTGCTTCTTGGCCGCGAAGCGACACATCACCATCATTTCGCTGCACGGCTGCGAGGAGTTGAGCAGGAACTTGCGAAAGTGTATCCACTTGCCGGAAATGGTATTTTCCGTGCGGAACTCCTTGTCAAAGCCACACGTGCTGTCCAGCAGAGAGTCCTCCAGGCTACCTTTGGCGATCTTCTGGGCGCTACTGAGGCGCGCCTGATTCATATTGCAGATTGTTACGGCGGGAAAGGGAATGGAATTCAGGGAAACTCCCATGGGATTGACGCTGATGATGACAGGATACTTGCTCCACTTCTGCCACACGTTGGAGATGAAGTAGCCCGAGAGCAGGGATACGGTGATGAAGGCCAGGACGAAGAAGAACCTCTCGAAGAGCGTGATGCCCTTATCCCCAATGTACTTGAGACCGTGCAGAGAACTATTCATTAAATAGTGGTGAAAGTTGTCCATGGCAGATGCTTTTTCCTCTTTCTCCTTCTGAGGAAAGGAAATTGTCTTCACGGGACGAAGCATTTCCAGGTGAGTCTTCAGAGGCGGGAAAAGTGCAACTGAATGCTCTTCAACTTGATATTGACTTAGTGCAAATATATCCTTGAAATGAGGCTTCAATATTTCAATTTTATATCAGGAAAATTGTTTTGATACTAGAAAGGCTAGAAAGCTTATTTAATATTTCGTAAAGACTGATAAGAAATGAGAAAACCAGAAATTTGTGTAAGGTCACAGCTGTGAATAACAAAATGATAAGTGAAAGTGCTCTTGCAATGACTTTTTGGGTGAAAAGTCCTGAAATTTTCACACTTTTCATTCTTCAGCGCTCAACGTTAAATTCCTTAGCATTAATGCGACTCTGACATGATTGTGGGTGAGTGCAAATAAATTCTCTACATGAGCAAATATTTGCCCCTTTTTCCACCCCAGCATTGTGTGCAAACGGAATGTTTGCTTTCACACAAAAAATCTAATTAAGATTTTTTCCCAGTGTGACGGAAGGAAAATAGAGTAAAGGAAAATGCCTCATTAAGATTCATATTTTTAATTGAAATCAAAATGCTACTATCACTCCTCTGATAAGAAGTGACCCAGGGAACACGAAAATCTCTCCGGAGAGGCACATGATTAACGGTCGACGAGGCGGTGAAAAGGTATAAAACCTTTGGCGAGACAGTGCAGCTCTGCCAGTCATTCTCAATCCGCTCTCGGAAAGTGATCCTCAGTCGTGTGTAAGCAGTGCTCATTGGAAAATGTCGAAAAGTGCGTCCAGCATCGCGATGATTGCCAAGCAGCGTCCTTAACGGCTGTCTTTCTCTCCGCAGATCTGCGTCTCATCCTCATTCAGCACCGCACCGCCGGTGATGTGAAGGAGGACAACGTGCAATATGTCCTGGGCAAGATCCGCGCCGCCGTGGCGGACGAGAAGCGCACGTCCGTGCCGATCCTCGTCGTGCTGCCCGAGCTCTTCAACTCGCCCTACGGCCCGTCCTTCTTCGACAAGTACGCCGAGGCCATTCCCGAGGGCTACACCAGCAAGGCGCTGTCAGCCGTGGCCAAGGAGCTGGGCATCTTCATCATCGGCGGATCCTATCCGGAGCGCGATGCACAGAACCCCAAGACGCTATACAACACGTGCACCGTGTGGAATCCCAAGGGCGAAATGATCGGGAAGCACAGGAAGGTGCACCTGTACGACATTGAGGTGCCCGGAAAGGTGACGTTCAAGGAGTCCAGCGCCATGACGCCCGGCAAGAACTTCACCATCGTTGAGATTGGCCCGGCCAAAATCGGAATCGGTGAGTGGGACAATGCAGATTAACGGGTCAAAGGCAATTGTGTTTCGCTATCAATTTATTGCTACTCTTCAACTACAATTAGATAACGCTTTTCTACGAATAATGGAAATTTACTATCACGCTTTCTAATATTCTGTAAATGAGTGAGAAATTCAAATATTTCCTTTGGTAAATTAATGCACCAAAGATGAGCAAAATATCATTACGACCCTGACTATTCACTATTCCTACGCTATAAATTCTAGAATAGCGATTATACCTGTTTTTCCACACTCAGAGAAATCAGTAGTTCGCAAGAAAATTCGTTATGAACTAATTTCAACTATTTTTACGATATTTATTGCGGTTTGATTTGCTTTTGAGGCCGTAACTTTGTCAAATTCCATTTCTATTCTAAGAATATCCCCTTCTTAAAATCAATCTCACTCTATTTCCTAAACTACTAACTTGACTACTAACAAAAATTTCACTATATCTCTGAGCGTATTTCACGTACAATTTATTAAACTATATCTGAAATTCAGTTGGAACTTGAAATATTATTATCAAGAGAATTTTCATTCTTCGAGAATCATTCAGCCTTCAGTTTAGTGTTAATTGAATATGTTTCCTAATAGAGAAAGTAACAAGAACCTCTCAAGCACCCTCAGTAAATCACACTTAATATCATCTAATGGAGATAATGAAGTCAACAGGAAGGCAAGACTATTAAAATTCTCACCCGTTCGCCAGGCATTTGCTTCGACATTGAGTTCGACGAGTTCGCGCGTGTGTACAGGAACGAGGGCTGCAACTTCCTCGTCTACCCGGCCGCCTTCCCCATCTACACCGGCGAGCTGCACTGGGAGCTGTACCAGCGGGCGCGCGCCGCCGACACGCAGAGCTACGTGACGATGGTGTCCGCGTCGCGTGACTACACGAACCCCTTCGTCAACTGGGGCTACACCATGCTGGTGGACCCGTGGGCGCGCGTGGTGAAGAAGGCCGGCGAGGAGGAGGAGATCATCAAGGCGGATCTCGGTGAGTGTGGGCAAGAGTTGGGCGTGATTTCAGCTAATTGTGCGGCGTTTTGCAGACTTCTCCATCGCGGATTCGGCTCGTGAGCAGCTGCCGTGCTTCAGGAAGCGCAGGACTGACATGTACGAAGTGGTGGCCAAAGTGCCGCTCAAATAAGTCTGCAGGAGTGTCGAGATTCGGCCCAGGCACTATTTGATGTACACGCGATACGTTTTCTCCATCAGAGCGTCCACGAAGTTGTCAATTGGATGGATAATCACTGTAAAATAGGCGGCAAATGAATAAATTGAGAGATCTTTAAATCGAGTGTCTTTTTTACCAGGGATTGACACTAATCCCACGCAAGTTGGCACCCATTTCTTGATCAGTCCCTTCTGATGAGCCATCTTCAGCAGCTTTCCAGTTCCCCAGCAAATCCTGCAAATGAAGAAATCATTGTGAGTTCCTGAACGACTTCATTGGACTGAATCTTGCCTGTTTATCGTGAATCCGGGAATGATAACGGAGGCGAGCATTTGCCACAGGAACACATCTCCGGCAGCAACTGCGGCAGCTTTGGCACCTCCGGAAGGCCTCTGAAAAAGTCACTCATTATCATTAATCCCCTTTTCACTATCATGAGACTCTGAAACCTTGTAAACTTTGTAGGATTTGTCACAAACATCGGCACAAACGTAACTCACGGCGATGCCATAAGAGAGATGAACGAAGATCTTCTTGATGAGTGGTCGGAAAGATTCCCCAACCTAAGAAAACAGGGAAAGATTCCACACTTATCCTCATGTCGGAAACCTTATCAGTCAATCAGCATCGGAATTACCTCGTTTGAGTACCCTAGGGAGGAAATGAGGCGTATTAGATATAAACAAACTTACATAATAGCTTTTGCAATAAATGTACCTAAATAGCGAAGAGGCGTGTCACGATAGAGATCCTTGTCACTCGCGAAGGATTCCTTGACCTTCTTTTGAAGACCCTCGAGAGTCATTTTGCACTGCTTTGGGGGTGAAACACTTGATTTTCCGGGGGAAAACGGGAGCACGTGAATCGCGAGAGCGTGACATTCGAGCACTGACTTTCGCGCCTCGTCACAGATATTGTAATTCACAAGCAACAGAAAACCGATGAGAATCGAGTGAGACGAGAATGTGATGGGAAATGTTTTATTTTCATTGCTGCAACCACAATTTGGAAAGAGTGCAATTAGTCCAGGTCGTTGAGAGAGACCGTGGCGGAGGAAGAGGGCTCGTCTTCCAGGCCCTGGAAGAGTTGGTTGAACAGATCCCCGAAGAGGCCGTGATGCGAGCGCGGCTGCGGAGCCGGAGCGCCGAAGTAGATTGTCCCAATCTTCTGCAGATACTTCTCATATGAGGGATCGCGGTCAGTGGAGGGCTTGTAGAGGTCGCAGAGGGCCTTGAAGCTCTCCAGAGTGCCACTCTTGACCAGCTTGAGGAGGAAGGTGAGGAAGTTCAGCAGCGGCAGGTAGAAGTATGGCTGCTCGAGCAGAATGTCCGGATGGAGCTTCGTGTAGGCGCTGAAAGTCTGCTGCGCCGTGGAAGTCTCCTTGAGGCACAGCTGCTGCAGGATGACTTGCGCGATGATGAGGTCCTTCTCACCCTGGTAGGCCTTTGTGATGCTCATCTGGATCAGCATCTGGGCGAATCCCTCGCCGTCCTTGGACAGGAGGAAGTGGTGCTTCGCCTGCTCCACATTGTTCTCCTGCCACATTATCTGGCCAACGATTTTGTGCACCAGCGGATGACCGAGTCTTCCTCCGTTCACGATGCTGCTCCACTTGATGATCTTCGCCTGGAAGGCAAAACAGACCAATCACTAAACCCGGCCGAGCAGACAAATCATCCGCAAAACACTCACCAGAAGCGTCTCTCTCTCCACAATCGGGCCCATTTCTTTCAGAATCTCGCCCAGTCTCTTGATCCACTCCTCTTGATCCGCCCGAGGCGTCGTCTTCTCCAGCACGTCCACAATCAGCGATGCCAGATCTGCCACGATGGTCTTCTGGCTGTGGTCGATGAAGTACAGGACACCCTTGTGGAGAAGCGCCAGCAATTCCTCATAGTTCTTCTGTGCAGTGTATCTGTAGAAGATGGATCGCAAAATCTGGTGTGCCTCGTAGAAATTCTGCGCTTCCAGAGCGCTGTCCAGCTTCTTCACTATCCGCGAAACCCCGCGGATGCTTTTTGGTTCAGACATCCTGCAAAATATGCTCCAATTTTGCAGGAAGAACCAGAATCTGAGAAATCCACGGTGTTTTAAGGTTAGCAGAAACTGTGCTCTATTCGGGCTGTTTCGTGGACATCTGATGTGTCACGAGCAGCCGAAGCTGAGACACACTTTTTGGGTGGATTTCCATGAACGCCACTAATCGGAGAGTAGTGGAAGGGTGAGCGCGCGAAGAATGATTCTGTGAGAGAGCAAAGGTATTAACTGTGTGCTTGATATTGGATGAAAGAAAAATGTTAAGTTACATGTTAAGGACAAGACAAGCATTCATTGCTTAGCCAATGAAAGTATGGATTCGTGGAACTAACATGAAATGCAATAAGAAATTATTTTTACTTAGAAAATGTGGGCTGAATCTCGTAAATCTTACTTGCAACTTTAGCGCCTTGAGCGGTCATCAGATGAACTTTCTATGTTAAGAAGAGTTATTTTACCCTTAAAATCATTGTATTTATCAAAAGACTGTTCAATTGTTTGTTATTTGCATTTTTATTCATTAAGTAATAAATTTATGACTTTACAATCGTCATCAAGCAACTTCCATTGCAATCATATCGAACTTCCAGTGAGTTTTAGTGCCGCTGAAGGCGAGAAATTGGTCAAGAGTGTGGAAAAAAGCCTCCAAGTAGCACGAAGTCGTCTCCTGAGTGATCGCGGCATTTGAAATAATTGCTACCATTATCACTGTTATCTTGGCTCGTGTGTAATTTTTGTCTCTCTGCGACAAGCTCCCACACTTGTACTTATCGCACATTTTAGCAGTCAATATTGTCCTCTAAAATACCCATTTAATCTCCCCACACTCCGCCAATCAAATCCATGTCTCTTTTTCGTGTGGAATTCTCGCACTAGCCAGAGAAGAAGAGAAGGAAAAACCTCTAAACTCCACATCATTCGGCTCATAAACACGTTGAAAGGGTGTGATACTTTTTTATGGGAACGCGCTCTTTTCTCTATGCACATATTCTTTATTATCTCTGGTATTTGCTTTAAACATATTTTAAAAGGGACGACAATTGAAATAACACTTCATTTTTTAATGCAACACTTCGCCTACTGTTGCAAAAGAGTGCGCGGATTTTTTTCCAGGTCAAGACTTGTGTCAATATTTCGAGATTGTCGCGTCTTGGAAGCGCAATCATCCGCAATTTTGTTGTGAAAGATTGTGTCAATAGATAAAAGGCATTGAGTGGGAAATTTCTGATAAAACTGATGCGGAATCGGCAAAAAATCTCTTGAAATTCTGCTGAAAATCCATTCACAAAAAGATCTCTCTCAACACATTTTAGTGCCTCTTCAGTTGATTGCTACCTCAAATTCACTCAATGATCAATTAACATCTCTTGTGACTTATCAGGACGGCTATGAGTGCAATTGAGGCGATTTTGGAATGTCGCATTTATTGGCTTGGGAGCTTTTTTGGGAGGAGATTCGCTCCGATCATTGAACAGTAATATAAGCAATGGTGGTCATTACATAATCCTCACTATCAGAGAGTGGGGAAAAGGTAGCTTCTCTGGCGAATTGTGTCCCATTTGAAAGCAAATGGCAATTAATCTCAATTCTTTGACTCGACGATTTCGATCGCGCCACAATTCAAACATCAGATAATCTGCCTTTCTGATCACCTGTACCAGAGTCGCCTCGGTGAATGTGTTGAAAGCGCGGTCGCGGTGTGTATGAGACCTGTTCGGTTTTTATTTCTTCTGGCTGATAAGACAGCACGAAAGCCACACATCGATCGATATAGTCTTGTAGATTTGTTACAAATGCAATTGATGATAATATAAAAACGCCAATTACACATACATATTTGATCACGCAGGTATATTGCGATATTTCCCCACGATTTCACTCTGATAACGCGGCGTGTTGTGAACACGGGGGATCAGCCTGAGCAGGAGGGTTTCTTGCTGGTGAGTTATCACGCTGCAAAAATCACACACTGGACAACTAAGCCCTCGAAATCCCCCTCAATCCAACAAAATGCTCAACAACCCATGCAGGGAATTTGCTCAGATTTCCAATCAATCGCAGGGCAGTTTCCACTCTCCTCCGAAACATGATTCATAGCTTGGAGCCCAGAAATCGCGCTCAGCATTATCAATCGCCATGGCGAATATCTCGCTGAATGTGTGGGCTGAAAAGGAGAGACATTATCGGTGTATAAGGTGATATTTCTTCTTAGTGTTCCTCCCTCCAATATTGTCTCACGGCAGAAAAGGCAGTTAATATCCCGGTCAGGGTGTCCTGATCCCCACCAGGCGACGGTGTTTGTCTTAGAGAACTCCGGGAAGCGCGAGGAGTCGACATTGCATGGCGACGAGTGATAATTTTGTATGAAAAATACAGAAATTAAATATACAATACACATACCAGCGTTGAATATATAAATATAGGTATAGTTGAGCAAACAGATAGGAAATTATCACAGCTCGATAATGATAATATAACAGTACATCGTGTAGAAAAGATATATCAAACATATTCGATACTTTAATTTATAATACCCAGATCAGTTCGATTGTGATTAGTCGATGGAGTGAACAGGCCAATGCGCCTCGCGCTGGTAATCTTCCAATAAATTACGAATTACCTGAAAACGCAGGAGTTTTTCTTCGCACTTTTCACCTTTGCCATTTGAGAGAATGTCTCAAACACTGTGAATTTTTTGTCGCTTCTTTAACGCGAAGTGCGCGCCGTGAAGAGTGCTTTAAATATTGCGTAATTTTCGCGAGAAAAACAATATTTGCAATTTGCGTGAAGTTCGGAAAAGGCGCAAAATGTGCAGCAACAACATCGGTCACGGCGGCTATGCAACAGGATACGACGACTACTATGATTACTACAATCACATAATTCCTCCCACGGAATACGTGCCGAATCACGATCCGTGCAATCTAGAGTGAGTAGAAATTCTATCAATTATAGTGCTTTGCTCTCTCGCGAATCTGTGGCGAGTTCAGAAATGTTCTTCTGTGAGAATTCCTCAAATTCTTGGGGGATTTTCGGCAATCCTGTTAAATCGTCACCCCCACAAGTTAAACGAGGAATTAATGTGCGTGAAAAGACTGGAACTAATTCAAAAGGGTCTTTCGACAATCGTCTGCGGGTGAAATTGATTACGTGCGGTTGATTATTCGATAACTTCAAGAAATCTCTTTACACTCTGATCGCCTGTAAAGCCATATTTCCTGTGCGACAGACTTTGATTTTTATACGCGAGTTTTTTTTTATAATGAAAAATGCTGTTGACAACTTTCTCACAATGACCTGAAGATCGTCCCATAAAAATGGGAGGATTCCAGCTCTACAATTGCGCTCCGATTGCCCAATGTTGAAATGACACTCTTTTTCTGTGTCCCATCTATTGAAAAAGTCAAAATCAAACAAGCATCGGAGCTCCTGAAGTATAAAAGGACTCTTATATCAATTCAGGTACATCCGGCTCGATTTTATGGTCATTCTTTTGGGGATTGTTGGATATTCTCTCCCTCCTGAATAGGTGAACAGACACTCCTTTTCTCGTCCACCGGATATAAATGCAAACTTCCCATCGATGCCGAACGACATCACAAGATTTCGCCCAGAGAAAAGACGGACATACATCAATTTTCCCAAATCTTTGCAGTGCACGTGTTGCTGGGAAAAACCAGCACATGGACAGATGAAAGGGATCATCTGAGGATTCTCGGGTGCGCTGGAAAGTCCCAAGCAGCCCATCTCAATTCTTCAAGCGAAACATGGATGAGTCATTTAGAGGGAATTGCATATTTTATGGATATTACCTTGCGTTACATACAGTTGAACGCTTTGATACCTGAAAGTGTGTGCTTAAAAGATCAATTGACGCCAAAACTGCGAATAATTTTAATTAGAGAAACAAGTGTTTCACAGTCACGAAAGATATTCAAAATTCACGTGAAAAATTCAGACGTTAAAATGATTAAAATTCTCAATTAGAAGTGAAAAACGCATAAGAGGACAGTGTGTTCGCGAGTTTTAATTCGGTGTTTAAGGAATTCCTCTACAAACAAAATGCTCTCATAAAATTATTTGTTGCTCATATTGAAATGTTAAATTTGATGTCATTTTCTAAGTCTCTCTGAGCTTTCCTTCAGGATTAAATAAAGTCTGATGTGGGACTTTTCCTCACCTGAAATTCTTTGAATTTCAACACATTTTGCAGTGGATTATTCCCCAATTATATCCACAAGCCATCAGGAATTTTTATAGAAACCGCCTAAAAATTCGGGAACGTGTGAAAAGCATCACATCTCTATTATGAGATTATGGATTCTCTCTCGCTCTGGAATTTTTTCCGAGCCTCGATGGCAGTTTTTTTGGCCGGGACAAAGGAATCATTTGCCAGGAGGATGGATAACAAATAGGACGTGTCGGGATTTGGGCGTTGTGCTCAATAATTTGTTTACTGTTATCCGTATAATGGCTTTGGCTGAGCTTTAAGATGCCGCAGTGTGAGTAAATAGTAAATATCCGAATGAATAAATGGGATTTCACTTTTTGCCCAATCCTCCGCCAGAAAATCCATACATTTCCCACAATGTGATGGATGGCAGTGTTTGGTTTGTAGCCTTTTCACTCCACGAGATCCTCTATTTGCACACACGAACTACTGAAAAATGGTGAATGCGTGTGCAAAAGTTAAGCCAAACCGAAGGAATGAGTCAATCTCTGTCCTGTTGCAATCATTTGTGATCTTCATGCTGGCACGGCTGTTCATTGCATGCGGAAATGCTGCCAAAACAGAGTAAAAGACCTCAAAATCACGCTTCATTTGCAATAGCTGTGACTGTTTGCGAAGAGCAGTTGGCAGAAATTGTGTAAATAGGAAACGGAAATTGAAAATTTCTTCACAAGGAGACTTCTTACGGTCAGTTTGCTCTTGACAATGTCCTCAGGACGAAAAGCAATTTACTTCTGGGCTAAAGAACACCTCATAGTTTACCATGTCTTTCTGCATAATCTCATTAATAAAGTGCTGCAAGAATGCCATCAGCTTTTTCCACGCGTGGAAGATTATTGTTCGAGATTATTTACCAGTGTTTGCTATAGTGACACAGTGTTTAGCATTGCCAGGACGCAAGGGAAATGAGTTGTTTTGATATCGCGATCGCACATTTGAAGGGAGCGCGCAGTTCAATTGCCCAATTAGCAATTAGGCTGGCAATTCCGGGGGAGATTTCCAGAGAGAGTGAATAAATTGTGTGAAAAACACCAAATGCTTCCAGATGTGACCCATCGCGAGGGGGTGGGCTGTGAATCGCTCAAACAGCTCGCGTGGCTTTTGAACTTCGCCCAGGAAATGGCACAGTGACTAAATGCTGTGATTGCAACTAAATTACCCCCGCAATGGCAAACTAATTAACTACATGTTAATTGTAATGCCGCATCTCATCCTCTTCGGTCTTGTTCTCTGCGGCCCTCAATTGTGCGAGGGCGGAATGGGCAAATTGAGAGTGGTTTTTTCGAGGCGAAAAAGACGCGCTCGAGGAAAGTTATGACTTTGTTTGGTTAATAAAATGAGGGAGGGGAGAGAGAGAGAGAGTGGAAAAAATGTGAAACACACCATTCAAAGATGACAGGATAGTCCAAAAATAAAAATGACAGCTAATTTATAGCATTTTTCTACAATTACCATACGGAGACGATGGCTTCTTTCCCACCAGCACAAGGAGTTTTCCGCTCTCGCGCGTATTTTTTCCGTGGCACTTTTCGGGTGGACAGGAAGTGTGATTCAATTTCGGCATTTCTCGCAGACAACATAAATGTGGGTGTAAGAAGGAATTCTATTTTTTGGCTGGTTTCCGCACAGGGAAATTCATGAAGAAATGACTCTGACAAGCAGTCGTTTTGCCAAACTGATGAAAAAAAAGCGGGATTTTGGGGTCAATTATGAATGATGAAAGGGTTAAAAGACTCGATTCAAATTGGTAATTCAGGCTTAACTCTTAATTTCTAAATTATTAACTCAATTACATGAGAAAGATGAGAAAGGTGACAAAGAAAACATTTGTATATAAAATCTCATTAGAGATTTTCATTTCATCGTCATTTCTGAGGATTTTCTTCAAAGGAATTATTATGTGTCATTTCTTTTCGACGGAAAAGTGAATTGAACATTCTATTAATACACATTTCCTACGCCACTGTCGATGAAGTCGCGAAGAAAAGCCTGAGAAGCGGTGGAGTGGAGTGTGATATAAATTCCTCCATTGATTTTCCATTATCTCCGTCGACACGAGTATATTTCAGCGTTGTATTGATTCTGCGTGAATAACGCCGTGCTAATGACGCCTGAGATGGATGATCCTGCGGTCGAGGGGTGTCCTTCGCACGTCCTGATTGCGTGCCTCTCCTGCAGGAGCCTCGTTATGCAAGAGGATACGCTCGCAATGAGAAGGCACGCCAAATTGGCTGAGTGTACACTTTCCCGCTCTCCCTCCACTGTCGCCAGGCTCGAACGATCCTTGCGCCACAAGGATCTGCACTACGCAGAGCGTGCATGGAGAATGGGTGCGGCCGATGGCGGGAACGCCTCAGCCGCTCCTCGCCATTGGTCCTCGCTCGGCGTTGTCGCAGGGGTTGGTTGGCTGACGACCGAACAACCCTTGACTTTGGGGCACTTGTGAGTCCACTTATGTCTAGTGCCATGTACTTTTGTTACAGTTAAGAATTTGCTGTCGACAGCGTAACTTTATACTCTTAAAACCGTGTGAAGTGGTCGTCAAGAGGCTCAGAGGCAGCATTATAATAACAATAATTGAAGTTGCTGGCATTTTTTAGCCCTCTCGCCTAATATCTGCTCATTGAGTTATCCAAATGCGTGTCTCTCGGAATGAAGACACTTTCCAGTGATTTTAGTGAGACGCCGAGAACTTGTGTGGATTCACAGTGAAGAAGTGCGGAGAATTTAGTCCTGTGTTTCTTTTGGTTAAGTGAGGAAGTTTAAGGACTTGAAACTGGCTGTTCAGAAGAAACTCAGTACCGTGGCTGAGACAAGCAAGAAGAAGCGGTGCACCCCGTCTCCCACTGATTTCGGGTCCATCATGGCCCCATCAGCATCCTTCCTGACGTGGTCACCGATTTTCCTGCCGCCGTGGGGCCCAACTTTCCTCCCAGCGGCTTTCTATCCGGGAGCCCTCAGATCTGCTCTCCCAGGGTTTGTATTCCTCTGTTTGCCGAGTAGTTCAGTGGTGAATAATAGCAATTGCAAGTGCTCTCGAGCAGTCACTTCAGCACGAGCAGAAATTCTGAACGGAAAAAAGTCACTCAATCGTCACACTTAATCAGATTGTTGCAACTAACGTGACAATGTGACAAATTCTTGACAACAAAGGGCACATTTTCGACGATCAATTCGACATAAATCCTTTTCTTATTGACAGATTAATAAATTCCTTCCCACGAAAAGACCGTCTTCTGTGCAGACAGATCAGTATAGTTGGTCGAAATAATTACTTCAAATACCCTTAAGGATCAAATTAGCATAATTTCATAAGCCAAAACACCTGTGAGTTCTCTGGATTCTCTTTCATCTTCGTCGGAGGTTTGCTCTTCTCTCCCTTCCTTCTCCTTTTCGCATATAACAAATATGCTTCACAATCTATTGAAGTCACACAGGAAGAAGTGTTTTTTCAACGCAGTCCTTCTGCAAAAAACCATCTTACCTTTTATTGTTCAACACACGACGGTGTTCGTGAAGTGTTATTCTTTGGTCACGTCCCACACTCCAAGAACAGAGGCCACTCAAAATGTTACAACTCTCTCGAGTGCTGGAAAGTCGATAAATTTCCATGTGATAAATGCGTCTTGTGCCAAAAATACCAATCTCACTTCACCCTCGTTTTTTTCTGCCCTCAAATCTTGGGTGTGAAGTTAAAAAGAGAGTCAGAAACGGACGCTAATTGTAATTTATACCGATTAAAATTGATGATTTGTACATAATATCCATTAAATAATTGCCGGACGAAATAGAGCCATTTCACGGTTGAGTGTGGCATGATTTACGCACCCACTTTCATTGAATTTCCATATCCAAGCATCAGGAATATCATCGCGCGACGGGTGTTTCCGGCGATGAGCTTCCGATTGGTTCAACCCCTCGGAATCGCGTCGATTTCATAATACAAATCAATCGCTTGGATTTTTCTTCACTCTTTCGCCAAGGCAGAAGAGTCGTCTTGAAGTAATAAAATATTAGGAAATTCCCAAAGAGAGGTAGATGTTTAGCAAATTAGAGACTTCGGCACCGCTGTGAAGATAAGCCAAAACATTCTCCTTTTAGAGGCTGAGGACTGTAAAATTTACACGAGGTGTTCTTTTATGAAGGTTCTATACAATGCCAAATGACTTACAAGTCTTCGCAGAGATTTGAGGCACCATCTGGCTGGGGAATCCCGGCGGTTTGGCGATGCCAGAGTGTCTGGAAAGGTCGAAAGTAAAGGTATTTTATTGTTGCAGGATTCTGGATAGCATGAAAAATCGACCATCCTTCCAAATCAGTGACATTCTCGGCCTTCAGCCCAAGGATGGCATCACGGACTCAAATGGCAATCAAGCACCGCACCAGACAGCAGCCCTGCCGCCTCATCCGCACCACAATGGGCTGCTGGATCCTGTGCCAGGCACCTTCATCCCACCCGCAGCCAACGGCGCGCTCTTCGGCGAGTCTGGCCACTATCAGAACATGTTCCACGCCGCCACCCGCTCCTGGACCACCCCTCTAGACAGCAATAACGATCAATACGGTGAGTCAATTGTTGCCAAACCTCCCACGGCACTCGCCATTGATACACTTAATGCCGTGTGTGTCAAAATATTGCGAATTGTGGGAAGAATGGAGGCTTTCATGCCGCCCGGGAATGGCAGAAATCACACATCTGCTCAAGATCAATCCGGGCATTATGGTGTCGACAATTTGAACGCTTCGAAGGGATGAAATTTACCCCTTGAATACTCGAATCCCCAGTAATTGATGGTTGGGTGAGATTTCCGACGCTCTCTCTCAATTAATTCTCAACCACTGTGCTATTGAACCATGGAATCGGATGAGAAAATCTTCCCTCAACAGAATTGGCGAATTAAAATGGTGACAAACGCGGGGATTTACGTTGTACTGGATAGAGAGGAAAAAACGGCCATTTGTCACCATTTAAAAAATAAAAAAAGGATGATTAAAAATCCAGTGTAAAATAATATTGTTCAACTACACAGAGAGAAATAAGGCACAAATTCAAAATTATCAACGACATAATTAACTTCTACAAAGTTTCTTTCTTTATTCGGTTATTTACTCCAGATTAAAATATGAATTTTTCTTATCAATTCCTTAGTTTAGCTTTATCTCGTATCTTTTCCTCTCAGTGTAAAGAAACATTTATGCAACATTAGGGGTTAATAGGGTTGGTATTCATTGAATTTTATTAAACTTATTAACAGTTTAATGAATACTTATTTTATATAATAAGGAGTTAAATAATTTTATGCTTCATGTTTCACGTGTGTTTCACATTCTTTTCAAACTATCCCAACGGTCAATTTATCTCTTTTCTCTTCACTAAGGAAACTTTGTAGCCAATGAATTTATTAATCTTGTAGAACATCCCCGAACTATCCATTGCGGGGGGTTGAATGATGTCCGAAAATTGTGTCTGGTCTTTATTCAAACTTTCCAAAACTTTTCCCAGGGGAGAATTTCATTACGGGAGCGCACAGTGAAAATGGCACGGCTTCTGCAATAACCTCTGACACGTTAGTAAGGGTAAATTGCGGTGTACCGAACAAGGGTGGAATGGCAGGGGATGAATCCATCAGGGCGCTGGCTGGATTGCATGAGACAGAGGGAATAATGGGGCGGAGCAGAGGCGTGATTTCTCTCTCATCCTTCCAATATCGCCTTCGATTCATTGTGTGCAACTTTTGCACAATTGTTGCTGCCTTGTATCCTGTATCCGAAATCGATGAAGTATTAGCTTTCATGTGTGATCTATGACCCTATCGCCCGGGATCATTGTTCCTGTGTCCCTTTTCGCACTCTCTCTCTCTCTCTCTGATCGTGAAGCATCCTTTCTCAGCTGGATTTTTTTTCCTTCGCTCCTCAGGAGAGTGCTTTGTGTGACCACCTCTCTGACTTTTATGTTTCCGATAGTGAATGAGCGTCTGAGGGATATTAGAGGCATGTAGTTTACCTTTGTGCCATGGAAATTTGGCAATTTGTATTCACTTCCCCAGAGTGACACCTTTTTCATCCATGGCAAAATAAAATAATAAGCAATTGACTCTCTGGAGGAGTTACTTCCTCAACTTCTTCTGTACTCTATTGCCCATCTCTCGAGGCATTATCTCCGCCGGCGGAAATTGACTACAAAAGCATTGTGTAGAAACCAGCTGCATCATCTTCTTCACCTTCTTGCAGGCATTCCTCAGCAAGCCAGTCCAGACAGTACGTCTCCTGTCGCGTCGGAATTGTCCTACACACCTCTTGGGGCTTGCTCTAATTCATCGAATGTGGCCGACTCGTCCAACAACAGCAAAATCATCAATCTGGACGAGACGTCCCAGCAGCAGAATCACAACACCACAACTAGTCACATGACGGAGGAGTGCGGCGACGAGGAGATCCTCGACGATCACGAGGAGGTGGGCGATCTGATGGGCGCGCAGAACACCACGGGCGCCCTGAAGAAGCGGAAAAGGCGCGTGCTGTTCTCCAAGCAGCAGACATTCGAGCTGGAGCGACGGTTCAAGCAGCAACGATACCTCTCCGCGCCCGAGCGCGAGCACCTGGCCAGTCTGATTAGGCTGACGCCGACGCAGGTGAAGATCTGGTTCCAGAATCACAGGTACAAGACCAAGAGGGCGCAGAACGAGAAGGGCTCGCTGGACGGCTACCAGACGCACCCGCCCACCACCATGCAATCCCCACGGCGAGTGGCCGTGCCGGTGCTGGTGCGCGACGGCAAGCCGTGCCTAAATGGGGCGAAGCACCAGGAGCACCCCAGCGCGCACATGGTGCTGCCCCACGCCGGCTACCAGCATCCCACCCTCATCCCGCACGCCCAGAACCACGGCCGAGGCGTGTGGTGGTAGGCGCGCCCGCGGCATGGCCATCAACTCCACTTGGCGCCCGACTTAGGGAAGTAGACTAACTTCTAAGCCCTATCCCAACACATAATTTGTACATAGGAAACCAATTCAACCTTGTGTAATTACGTTGTAGTATAATTTCTTAGTTTAAACATCTGATTGACCACCCAAAATCATACTTTCAGTATTTAGCCAATAATTCAATCTTCTCTTGGGTACCAAACAATTGTAGTAAATCGAATTTCAACCCCTGCTCGAGTGACTGTAGCATGCGAAAGTACTTGTGAAGCACAATCCTGTATACAGAAAAAAAACATATTTCCTCAGTGTTTGCGTGTATTTGTGAGTCCACCCTCCAAATTTATGAATTTCCGCTCATCAATAATACCACTTTTCCGGTACTTTCGAGACACAGCACACTCACTTCTGGACAATTCCTCTCGTGGCATTGCTTGGGAGACGCGTTTCGTGGGGTGTATAATTGAGCAATGCAGGGATTGTGTCCCATTTCGAGAGATAATTTATCGTATTTCATATAAAAACTAGCGCATTCCAATTTTCGGCAATAGGCATTTTTCCATCCCAAATGATTAAGGAAAAAAAAACATTGTAAATTAACTGGAGAGTTTAAGGTTAAATATCACCTGTTTATTGTCTTTAGGTCCAACAGCTAGAAATATTTAATGTGAATAGATGATGTGAGAGAAAATAAAGAGAGAGAAAAAGGAATTATTTATTGCGATTTATTATATGAATTTAGAGCAAATATAAACGTGAAAAATTAATTCGATAGTTTCACTCTCTAAGCTTTTGCACTTGGTGTGTTTGCTTAATTGCGCTCTTATCAATTGTAGGAAAAGTCTTATCGTGCCTTTTAATCAATACTATCTGCTTTAGAACAAATAATTACATCCATTTGATTGTGTTGTTTGCCTCACGGCGCATTTTTCACCAACTGGAAAATCAAGATATTTCGTCACTGAGAAGGCATTTTCCGCTGTCAGCCGGCCAGAAAAACAATCATGAATATGGCGAACCTTCTCGATCATCAAATCGTAAATCTCAGATTCAGAGCGCGTCTCCTTCGCAGAATGTCCTCGTCATCTCGACCCTGATAAATTGTGTCTCTCTCTCGTGTTTTTTTTCTGGGCCAAAACATACAAAACGGAGCAGAAGAAATAAATATCATCGTGTGTGTACGCATATAAAAATTAGCCTCTCTGCCTTTCTGACGTCCATTCCGATGCCAACAATGGATGTGCAGTGAACAAAAAGGATGTCGAATGACCCTCTTCCATACAACATCCTTTTGTTGAAATTACAGTTTCCGGGATTATGAATAAAAAGCGGAGAGAGAGAGTGACTCTTGGACTGTCGGCGGACGACAAGCAGTTCACTAGACAGGGATTCGAAAAATAAAACTTGAGAGCCAAATAGACAGTCTCAATTGCCATAAATATCAATTTTATACCGTCAGCAAGTTTCGCTGTCCCGTGCAATAAAAGATGGTTTGCTGATTGAAGAAGAAGAAAAACGGAAATGTGGAGAATGTCTGGCCTTTTTAGCCTGAGTGACTAAAGTAGGGGAATGAGAGGCTGTCTTGGACCATTCATCAGTGATCGAAAATCGAATGTCAGCGCAGTAAATAAGCCAGTGTTATTAAATAGTCAATATTGTATTATGAATAATTGCAATACATGTAAAGACACTCTTTAAATGAAACCTTTAATCACTTAGCGAAAGTTCAGAGAACTTTCAATTGACTTTTAAGCCTCAAAAGTCACTCTTGTTTGAAGTTTAACCGTAACGTTCTGTTTGATTGTAGCTTTCAAACGTCGCATAAATCAAGTATTTTTTTTATTTTCTTTATAATGCATAAAAATAAATTTAAACGCGAAGAACATTCTACTCAGTGTTTCAGCTGTTTTGTCAGTAAAAAAAATGTTAATTTATCAGTTTGAAAATAATTTGCCACAAAACAAAACCCGAATGATTTCTGTTTACCACTATTTCTAATGAAATTAATTTTTCCCTGATAATTTTCTTTTATTTCTGAGCAGAATAAAGTTTATTGCCGACCAAATAGAATCAAATACTGATCAAACTAAAGCAGCTTTAAATTCGCAGTATGAGCATTTTTCCATTACAATGTTGTTGCGTGAAAAACCCCTGTTTTCCCCTACTTTTCTTCTTCAGAAATTGTATAGAAGGAGCAATAAAATGCCGATGGATCGCATGGTCACTTATCGACACTTCTTGTGAGGCGGCAGAGAGAAAAAACCGTGTGGTATCTTTACTAAAAGGCGCCCCTCGCTTTCCAAATTTGAGTGGCTATCAGTTGGCGTAAGCTACCTTTCCGCGCGAACCTACTGATCCACTGAATGGCAATCATAAATTGATGATGATGTTCACAGTGTGCACGAAATATTCTACATTTTATCTATACTTTCCACTCAAATGACCTCGGCCCAAAATGGACCACCAGATAAAGGTCATGCCGCATCGCCTGAAATATGTATCAATATTGTGCGTGTAACATTTGCCGAAGTTATGAATTATGACCCAGAGATTGTCGCTGCAATTATTGGAGAGAGAAATATTGGTCGGTGAGCAAATGGCCAAGCGCACAGATAAGATTGAGGAAGAGATAAATTGGTGAGTGTCTCTTGAAAATTTTACACACACCGCAAGGGGGAAAATTGTGAATGAATTCTGCGTGAAAAATCAGTGCTGACGCCCCTTCGATTTTCATCCGGATCATTAAGTAGCGGAAAGGAAAATGGTTTTATATTGACTTCAGACAATCTTCACTACTTTTTGCCGCATATTGTACTTTAAATTGGGCTTCACAATTCATTTCCAATGGCAGTTTAAAATCTTTCTGCTCACTTCCCTTCCTCTCTTTGCATGCTTTTAGGAACAAATAAATGTTTTTTCCTCCCCATTCCTCTTTGGCCTGTGCGAGCATCCGAAAGCCAAACCGCCGCCCTAAAGCAAGGGTGCGATTGTCTGCACAGTCGCTGAATGCACTGTTGATCTGTGGCAGAGCAAATTAAATTTTCTGCTCTGAAGAACTTTTTGCGATGCTGTGTGTCTGTGGAAGCGGAAGTGAGTGGGCGGGGGAATGAGCATTTTTGCAATACGTCGTAATGTGTCTGCAATAAAATTACGTCAATTGAACCATCATCCATTTGTTTATTAAAAAACTTTCGTCATTCCGTTGAATCAGCGCCAGTGAGAGAAACTTCCCAAGAAGGGGTTCAACAATGTGTCAAGAGACAAGGCGACGCCTCGGTCAATACGAGTTGAATGGACTTTATTTGAAGTTTAAATTAAGGGATTTTTAAGGCAGTTGAAAGTGTCGCTATAAATACTCAAGTATAGGCAATTAAACTTATCATTCATTATTACTTTCGAGATAGTACAAGTAATAGAAGGCATATTGCTCTGGCCAAATAGAAAATCAAGCGCTTTCCTGTCCAATTTCCTACAATAACAGTTTTCTCAGCTACATCACTCGCTGACTCAGTGTGTCTTTCCCCGATGTTTCCACTCACTGATGTTTTTTCCTCGAAGCGAGAGGAAAATTAATTTTCGTCCTCAGTCTCTTCGTGATGGGAAAAAAATATTTATATCTCAGAAGATTTTCGCGTGTGTCATTGGCCAAAACAACGTTGGGATGAAGAGGAGAGAAGACCTCGATTATCACATCGTTTATTTTTACTTCATTGACATGTCTTGTGTGCGCGTCTCCAAATCGCTGCTCGCCCAAGAACAACATCCATTACACCCTCGTTTTGGCTCTCCTTTTTGTGCTGAGGGCACGTCCGTGTGCCAAGTCTCCACCGACATGGAACAATTGAGCGAGGAGATTGGCTCATGTCCGCTTCCTCTGCCTCCATATCCGGTGGGTGGGGCGCCTCGCTATCAAGTGACGCGCCACGGGGAGATTGATTGTCCTCGAGATGAGGAAGACACAATGAGCGGAGAAACAATAAAGCTGTTAAAAGGCGAGAAAGCAAATCATTCAATTGTCTCCTGGGATTTCTGCGTGTGTTCGCCAGCGCGCGGTGATTGAAATTGATGAATCCATCGAGAAAATCTCTGGTCGACAGTTAAATGACTTGTACATTGACTTTTTATATCCCTCACCGCGCCCCCGCTCGAGGAGTATCCCTTGCTCGGTGGTGTGTTTGTGCAAAAGGATCATCAAACAAGGGCAATATGCGAGAGTGGAGGAGAAGAAACATATTGAATTTGATGTTAACGAGGGTGGAACACCCCAACTGTAAACAATATTATATACGAATTTGATGTTCTCACCCAAAAAGAACACTCGCACGAAATGAAAATGCTGCTCGAGGGCGAGGGTGATTCGCAGAGAGACTCACTTTTGGGCCATTTAAGTGCGCTATGAATACTGATGAATGCACCAGATAATTTGTATCAATTAGGTTTGGCATACAAAGGTGTGGGTGGAACTGACTTGCACTTTTGCGCCGGACGCACCGAAAACACACCGTTCAAATAAATTGAGGCATGACGATCCCAAGTGCGCGCTTCGCACTTATTGTGACAATGCCGCAACGCGCCCAAATCATTTCATGTCTTTCTCGCCTGGAGAGTCTGTAGATGGCGAAAAGGTGTCCCGCTGCTGTCGAGGGAAAATAAAGGTGAGTCCTGAGAAGACGTGACGAGGGAAAGTGGCTTTTCCACAGCTGGAAAACACAGTCGAAATTGTCTTTCACCCTCAGACCGTTCAATTTTCACAGCAATTGACTGTAAAACCTACCCTTGATTTCTGTTTTCACGGTGAGATCGACAGAGTTGATAACGCATTGTGCAAAGATGAAATATATCAGGAGAGTCTGTTTTATATTTAGGATAATTAATTCAATTTTGGCACTAATATAAGATGAAGGTCAGAAGATTTAAAGTAATTTGTATTTTGATATACATCATTAGTGAATTTTGATGATTAACCAACGCTATTTCCAACTGGTTGAGCCTTGATTTACTGGTAAGTTTAATTTATAGTTTTTGCTATAATTCATAGAAATTTTGCCGTGAGATTTTACAAAATAAGTGTAGAAAAGCTTCCCAAAATCTTCAATCTCAAATCATCTCAACTCAGTATTTTAATCACATGTGAAATCTCTCGTGAGGATTTTAGGAAGGCAATTTTGACTCCTCACAAGAAAGGAATCAATCTAATGAAATTGCTTAATAAATGACAACCCAATACTATTATGAAGCAATCTCAAATACAAATGGGGTGTGAGATTGAGGGTGCTAATCCACGTGTCTCATGCAGTTTAGTACAGCGAATCGCTTTGTTTTCCGGGGTGAAACCCCATCAGAGGGACGATGAGATTGTGAAGGTGCGTCCGTTTCCGAGAATAATTTTGGCGAAATGTAATAAAAATTGGTTTAAGCCAGACGACAGAGTGATTGATGGCAATAATTGTATGCATTGGGACATGTTAAGTTGCCGGCGAGGATTTTAATATCACCCTCCATGCGGTGATGGGATCTGCGATGTCGTGGCAGGAAGAGGGCCGAAGGAGTGCGGATGAATATGCAAATGATAAGCGATATATCTCAATGTGCTTATTGCCGTTCGTGAGTGCGAGAGGGGACAAAATGGCATGTGTGCTCTCCAGGAAAATCATCCAACGATTGGCTGCTGGCGTTTCTCCCTCGATGGAGCCCAAGTACCGCCCAACTTGCCGACTTACATCATCATTTAGTGCCCGCCTCGAAAATTTAATTTTCCCCAAGGATGAAGGAGTGTGTGTGCGCTGGGCGAGCGGAAAAAATGCATAATGATGTCATAAAGAGGGCGCACATCATTAATATCTGGGTGGGCGAGAGTGAGAAGAGGCCATTGTGGGGCATTAAAAGTCACCATCGGTGATACAATATTGAGCCACCGCGTGGAATTACCAGAAGGGGTGGTTATTAAAAAGCGCCACGTGAACTTCATCTAATGGAACATCGCTCGCCAAGAGTCCATTGAGGGGTTGATGAGAAAAAAGGCGCTGAACAATGTTTGCGCGAACCGCCAGTGATTTGTATCATCGGAAGAAGTCAATGTAAAATATCAAATTGAGCAGCACAATGGCATCAATTGTGGCCGTAAAATATTTAACAGCACGCAATCGACTCTTTAGGCCTCGGGCGCATTTAGGGGTCGCCTCAAGGGTTGTGAGAATGTGGAATATTCACCCGTCTCATGACACCTCCACATGTGGAAGCGTGTCAATTGCATCGACCATTTCATGTCCTCCATGAATTCCACGTGGAATTGAAAAAGTTTCTCCAAACAGACACTAAGTGTAGGTGTCAATTGAAGAGATTCGAAGGAAGATAGGGAAAGACGGGGCAATTTGAGATAATAAGAAGATTTTGGGTATTTTATATGATATTTGCTTTCACTGTTGCTTAGAGTTTTGCACTCTCACAATTGACCAAATATCTTCCCATTGGTTTTGTCTGCTTCACATTCTTCCACATTTAGCCTGATGAACACAATTTTGCAATGAAAATAGTCAATTTGCCAATTTTTGAGGAGATCAACAAGCAAAGAATGTTCATTTCATGCCACGTGAGTTCCTTTTCGGGACACTTTTGGATATAATAGAGTAAAGTGATTTGTGCTAAATTTGGTGTGGCAAAAGCGATTGCTGTAATATGTTTATTTGACAGTGGAGCAGCATTGAAAGGACACGGTGGATTGTTGTCAGCTTGGCGGGACACCAAATTGGACACCGTCCACCTCGGATTGCCACTGCTAAAGGTAAGGAGTGCGAGAGACAAGGAGGAGTGGCTCAGCTGTACATTAGAGAGCTGAGATAGAAATTGCAAGTTGGTGTGCTCAAAATCCCAATATATAAATTCTCTGGCAACCATTTATGTCTCATCTGCGCTCGGATGTGAGAAAGATGAAATGCAGGATCGCGCCTTCTGCCAAATTGCCAACAGGTAGTGCGTCGCCTTGATGATCTTCAGCATTGCTGTCTTGTCATCTGGTCAAATAATTGGAGTTGCTCGCATGACGCGAGAGTGCTGAAGAGACATATTTTTTCCTGCGTGATTCGCACACGTCCAAATGACCCCGAAGCATTGACCTAAAATTATTGAAAAATCTTTCGTTCGACGGTCAAGACGCCAAATCGCAATCCTATGACGCGAATGGTCGATGAAAACCCGGATCTTTCACTGGGTTTATTTCTGGATTTGCACATTTTCTTCCTTTTTCTACATCTGCGACGTCAATTTTTCATACAATAAATGGCAATGGCGGATGAATGGCGCGCAATGGAGTGTGCGTCTGAAAAAAACATACATCGCGATTTTGTGTTTTGGACATCACAAACTTCCTGTCGTCATCATTAGCTGTACTTCTTGCGAAGATACATGTGTATATTATGTATAATACATATATGATCTCCTTCTACTCACCACCCAGACATTCGCCTCAAGATTTCGGACCAAGCAGTACATTCTGTGATTTCAAGTAGCGTTAGTAGTTTGCCATAGTTCAACGGATAACAACGTTCTATTCTAAAGCTCTCCTCAATCAAATTAAGTAATTATCTCTACAATTCCTCATCCAGTTTCTACTCTCTTTGCAATAGTTTTTTTTTCTTTAAATCAATTCTTGAGGCACGACAGTGTTTTAGAGCGAGTTTTTGAGAGTGAAGTGCAATTTCTGTGTCTTAAATTCAGGGATTTTCTTAGGTCTTTTCCCTTTAGTAAATCACCACAAATTCATATTGATATTAATTTCCATTTGGGAAATCCCTATGAGAAGCAGTGTGAAAAGCCACGATTTATCGGAATGTGTTCGTTCGTACTATTTTCACTTTCCACCCGCGCTCTTTTCACGGTCTGTTCCAGATTTTATTTAATTTTAAAGCAAGGTCAAGGCTTCGATTTCACAGTGAAAAATAAATTGTCAAAGCAGATTAAGAGCATGAAATAGGACTCGCCCTCGCGAATATAGTGTTACATCTTTATTTTGAGCATAAGTGAAATAATAATTGCCAAGCAAAAAGACTAAATTTATTCAATGAGAAGAACTCAGAATTGTGTAATTCTATCCCGAATCGCCCACTCAGTTTGGGCGCTTCGCCAATAGATTTTTTTGCCTATCTCAACGTGCCGAAGAATTCTTTCTTCAATTCGCGTGAAAAGCCACAATGGACGTGATCAGCGTCATTTTCGGAATCGGCTACATGAAGACACCCACATTCGCATGCGCTAGGCCAGCCTAGGCCAGCATCCAAAGTGACTCGCGCGAGAATCTCGAGGATAAATCGTGAATGAATTTATGAAGAATATTTGGCTAGATGCGCGTCACTTTGATGGTGATAAACATAATAAATTATGAGATAATGTGCCGTGCACATGAATTTTGAGGTGACTCCCGAATTTTCCGCTAATTTATGGGGATGGTTTTTATGGGTTTTGGGTGGTCAGAGTATGATGCATGATCTCTAAATTGCATTGTATGCGAGCAATAGGCTAAATTCATCTCGTGACTTATTAGCAAATAATTGCAAATTACAGACATTTTCCAATACACAGCGAAATCCCACCTCAAGTCATGTATTCTCACGAAATTCTCAGGCAACAAACACAAACTTGGCGAGTCGTGTGTTAAAATTACGTTATAATTAAAAATAGATCAGTCTCTGTAGTGATCAATTTAGGCATTTTGAGTTTAGAATGACCGTAGTCCCGAAAAAACTTTCGACCAGACCAGTTATAACTCCATCTTATATAAGTAAGACAAGTTCTTTTTTGAAGGATTTTTCCCTGAATGCAAGTGATTTTTATAACGCAATAATCGAAGCGGTTTTAGTGTGATTTATCTGGGGAATTTTTGCATCGAGAAATTCCTCAAACTTGCAGTGCGTCTGGAAAAGAAGTTTCAAGTGCCTATTTTTGCCCTGATCTATTTTTATGTGTTCTCAATACTTAATTCAACTCTCAGTCAATCCATCATTGAGATGGCGCATTTTTTGCGGGAGGAAAAATATCAGTCTGAATTGCAAATAATTCAGATTATGATGCCATTGCGAAGTCTCACGAGATGAGTCTTTTGGTTGAAGGCGATCGCCGAAGATGTGCGCGGTGCTTCTATTTTGAGCAACTAAAAATAAATTTTGTGTGAAAATACACGATATTTGCCCACAAATGCTACATCTATGAATGGTTTGGGGTGGGAAATGTGTAGAGAAATTGGCGAATCAGCTAAAATTGTACGACTCGCGCGCGCGATCCTCGAGAATTGATTGCCTCTCACTGAGTTTTTCGTATAAACATTTTTCCACGGGTTATTTTTCTCACATTGAATTCCTTTTTCGTGACCTTCCAGCGAACGAGACACATTAGCACAAAGCCGCAAAAATGTTCAAAAACCACTTAGAAATGATTGGGAGGAATGAGACGGCCAGCAAGAAGGCAAAGTTCTGGCAGTCCTACATCCGATCCTTGAAAGGTTAATCCAACGGGACTCTCTTGATTGGACGGGGATTGATTGGTGGTGTTTCTTGTGCAGGATCCGAGGACATCCGCGCTCAGGAGTCGCCACGCACACGCGCCTACAGACCCCTGAGCTTCGGCGGCGAACTGCCACACCACTTCAGGAGTATCTACGACGATCTTGCCGCCCCGGCGGAGCGCATCTCCGGTCCTGGATATCGCTACCTTCCGGTCCACCGCGAGACGTACGGATACTCGCCCAGACCCATCTACACCAGCAACTACAGACCAAGTAAGTGCGAATTCCATCTCAGCCTATTTATATCTCGCCAAGGTTATCTCTTTCGCACTCTTTCTCTGCAATTGATGCTTTTCCTCCGACGATCATATCATAAATTCTCCTCACATTCCTCTCCCATCTCATTGCTGGCTTCCCTATACATCTCTCTAGCCATTCAATATCTCTCAGGGTGGAATTTTTATGTAGAGGAATTCTTTTTTATGTGTCCTAATACCATGAGAAATTTTCGCCACTTAATTCTATCACTTTGTACGGCTTGTATTGGCTTTGAGAAAACAGTGTATCAGTTTACAAATGTTTCTACACTCCCTTGCAAAATTGATGAGTCCAAAGCAAAAACCCACACCGCAGATCCAGAGCTGTAATAGAGAAAAGAATCCCTCGTGCGCAATTCATGATGATATTTGGGTGTGTCAGGTGGTAATAAATGATTTTTGTCTAAATATTTCAGAATAAAATGTCAGCCAAATGAACGCCAATCTTCTAAATAGGCCACGAGATTGCTTGGCTGCGACTTATCACTCAAAAGCCGCTCTCATTTTAATAACTATCGTGTTTTTTTTGGATTAACTCTGTAACGCAGATACTCTCTATTTACTTACTTTTCTCTCGTCGTAGAATTCACATTATTCCTGGGGATAGAGTTAGATTAGAAATGGCAATGCGCTCGAGCTGTTGAGAAAACCTGAATCAGGATTTTCAAAATTATGTCCTAGAGAAAAAGTCTATAAATAGGGTGTCATATGTCTTATCATACGAGCCACTCTATTTATAGAAGTATAATACTTTTTTACGGGATTTAGAGAACAATATCGTACTCTAGAAAGTCGCTATAGTAATCTCGGCAATTTAGAAAACATTTAGACAATATTGATTTTTTTTGAAATGCTTTATATTTTCTGCCAGTAACATGAAAAAAAACACACACATAGCAAAATGGCATTTTTTCCAATTGACGCGCCAGTCATAGAGATGTTATATTTTTGAACAACAACTTTGAGGGTTAAAATTGCTTCTGCGACATTTTCTTAATTTAAGATATATGCAAATGAGGTCAAGTCGAAAGTGGATGCGCATTGCAGTTTGTGTATTTTAAAGAGAAATTCTTCATTTCATTTCTTTTGCACTTTTGCGACACACACACACATCACGAACACGCGCGAAAGAGTTGCAAAGTGTCTGTCATAACGTTCAGTAATTATCTCTATTTTAATTTTCACATTTAAGAATGTAAAACTATCATTTGTAATATCAACAGCTGTTATTTCACTGTAAATTTGAAATAAAAATTTAGAAAAACTACAATTATGTATTATGTAGAAAAGTGAGAATTTGTTGCGCTAAGAGCTTTAATGGTGTCGTTTGATTTTTTGAATTTTTGAGGTAAGCTTTCGCTTTTTTTGTCAATATTATTGTCTCTTTTTTTGTCTATCTCACAACACCATTTTCTTTGCTTTTTGTCCGAAATTACTTTTTTGTCCAAAGTGTTTGTATTTTTCACCCACACACTGTGATGTTTTGATGTACAGGCAACATTAGTCATCTGTAACATCTCCCTCATCACATACTAATTTTTACGATGGATTTTTCTTGAATTATGTACTGTTAAAAATATCAATTTTGTTCGACCTTTTTGTCGATTTGCTCACGAAATATATTTTTTTTTTACATCACTGGAGAAGTAGAACAATTTTGTAATTGAGAACGGTTTTGATTTAGGCTATGAACCAAGACACTACGATCCAGAGAAGGCTTGGAATGATCATCTCGATCGCATGGCTGAACTCGAGAGGAGGTAATAAAACGTCTTTCAACTGTCTCAATTTTCATTCACAGATTTCTTGTCAGACACTGTAAAGCTTGGATCTCAATTTCACCATAACTCTGTTTATCTCCTCCACAGATATCCATCACGCTATGGATTGTACTTAAAAGACAAACCCAGTTTTGCTCTTGGTCCACTCGAATATGAACCAGAAACGAAGCCGTCTGGTAAGGAATAGATTGATTTCCTAATGAACAAAATGCCGATCACACTTATAACATTAAAAGCAACTTAAGCCATTCATTGGATATTGATTAAGAACTTGAGAAATACCATCATGAATAAAAACAAAACCCATAAAAGGAGTGCTTTAGAATTGGTCACATTGCAATTTAATGATTATAGTAAATAATAAAGTGTCTCAATCTTTCAAAATATTATCAAAATAATCGTGAACATCATAGAAGATACTGCTAATAAAATATTAGATAAATTTCGCGGCTTTTCGGGCAAATAAAAGAAAAAAAAAACAAACACCATCTTAAGACCATCATGTAAGAACGAACGCTGAGTATCTCAATGTGTTAGAGCAATTCTTCATGCAAGAGGAAGAACTTATATTTATAAAATACGGTATATTAAATGTATGTAAATTGCATAGAGAAGAACATATGGAAACTTACTCACTTACCATCAAACGAAATTGATCTTCCGGGCATTTACAAAAAGAAAATTTATGAAATAACATTTAAGACTATGACCAGAATGTACAAGTCACCTAAGATCCTAATTTCTACTTGCAATATACCTTATTTTATATCTTAATAAAATTACCACCAAATAAATCAAATGAATAAGTGAAGAATGAAGGAAAAAAAACATCCATAGAAAAAATGTGTGAGAAAGAGAGATGAAAAGGAAGATTGTTAAATGGAATATTTAAAAGGAAAAAATCTATATATAAACTAACAAAAGTGGTTTTTGAATAAAACATTTTTGAATACATCTATTTTTGTGTTTTTGACCGTTTTTTTCGCACCTACCGCTAATAACCCCACAAAATGTCCTTCATAGTTGTTTTGTTAATGTTCCTTTGAATTTGCGCTGTTTCTTTATGTTCTGTGAGAGCAGTAAGAGCGTGGTCTTTCACTTTTTATTACCTTTACCATTTAAACCACATCACTTCATGGTTTCTGCCTGATTCGCATTGCCTAAATATTTGGATTAAAATCTTCAATAGAAACTTTGCAGTCAATGACAAGCGAAATTCCATCGTTAGCTTCTCTATTGGCTTGTAAAGGTGCAAAATTACAAATTTTACTCTCTCTATTTAGGCTTTGACCTCACAGATTGACCTTACCTCGCTATTAGAAGCATCACAAGTAAATCTCATGTAGTTGAAAGGTTATACTGAATCTCTTTACTGATGTGTTTGATCCCCGTGCGAGAGGAGTGAGATGGACGTTGATTTTTGAATACGCGCGAACATTTTCGCGTGAGAGTGATCGATCAGGTGTATTCAAATATCAAGGAATGAGGAGGGATGACTGATGACCCCACCAAAATGATTTTTGACAGAAGAAAGTCAACGAGCAAGAATAATTTTGTCCCAGGAAATCGCGCCTCTAGCGTGCCGCCGCCATCGTTCAGGGCCGGAAGTGTGCCACCGCTACGCGCTGGCAGCCCGTTTCGCGAACTGAGTGTGCCGCGTGGTCTGCGCGCCAGTTCCGTGGATCCTCTGGACAATTTGCTGGACAATTTGCGCTTGCCACTCTACTCCACCGGAAGATCGCCAACGCCCGTGAAGGCGGGACGTTGGGCACCACGTCCTTCCGAAATCGCCTATGACTCTGATGGTGAGTTCTGCAACAGTGCTAGAATAAATTTAGACAATTCTTTGAACAGTTTTCTCATGTTAATCAGTAAATATTTAGTTGATTGACATTTTGCACAATACCGCCTTTGCAGGTCTGCCAATCTTTACGCGTGGTGGCCTGACACCCGAAACGTTCGATCGCCTGAGGAATCCTAGCCCGGCGATGCCGCTGTCGGCAATCACGAGGGATCCCTGGTGGTGGGATCTGGGAGACCTCCGACCGGCCTACTACCCATTCAACCGCTCGCCGTCGCTGCTGAGGGACTCCTTCTTGTCGCCCGTGAAGCGCCGCTACTTGTGGACAAAGCACCCCATTCGCCCCTTCGGTTGGTGTTATTACTTTTGATTTACCTTCCGCAGCAGCCCTTATTATACGAAACTTTATTATTATTCAGATGACTTACTCTTAGACTTCTAAATATCACTACCCTTGTTTCAAGTTTTCTTGGTAAGGATTGACTTAGCGTTGGTTATTTGCACTCTCTCCCTGTCTATTCTGTCCACTCAAGACGGTAATATTCCTACATACTCCGAATTTACCTGATCACAATAACTGTTTGGGCACAGTTGAGCGAGTATCACAGATCATCTTCATCTATCTCTCTTCCCTCCTTGTTTGGTATACTTTAATAATCACTGCGTAGAAAGTTCCCAAGTAGGAATGAATGATATGCTATGGCTAGAATCTGTTTCAGGATATGTGAATGCCGAAAAATGTGTGATTATCAAGTTTGCTTTTCCTTGCAGCCCATGTGGATCGCTATTGGTAACTGGTTTGATGATGATGGAGAAAAAGTGTTTTCTCGACAAAATTGCTGCCTAATCAAATCGAAATTTGTGCAAAAATCTACTAAAAACACATGATCACCTTTTTCGCCCTACTTTTTCTATTGATTTTCTCTCAAAAAAATGTAAATCATTTCTCGTTATAAAAATAAATAAAACACACCACCAGAGAAAATACGTGAGTTGTTTCACTTGAGCCGTACAACGTTTTGGAATCAAAAGAATTTCACTTTTCTTTTTGTTAATGCTTGAACGTTTATTTAATATCCTTTTTATAATAATATAATTTTTCATAGACTTCGGAATATATGAGAAACATACCAGAAATAAAGAACACGGCCTTATTTGATAAGTCCATAATGTGGTTTTTCCAAACAAAAGGCAAAGAAAATCTCTTTAATATTCATCGCCATATTTCTTTGTCAACAATAATTACTTCATATTCTCGTTCACTTTGTCTTCCGCTCCAATGTCTGGAGTTCCTTGCTTTCTCAGTGGTGGGAAAGGTAAGTCAACAATCCAATAGATACTTAAATATTTTCGTAAATATATCAATTCTTCTCAACAATGTACACAGAATAAATGAAATGGTAAATATTACTTATTTTCTTTTGAAATGTTACATTACGCAGTTTATTATTTCTCTTACAATGCTACAATTTATCTCATTAATATGCTTATTTTTATTGTTTATTACTTTCAAGATCAAAAACCACATTGTAGATTTCTTATGTTGTCTTCACAATATATGAATGAGTAATTCTTTTTTAAATTAATAATATTCCCAATGACTCCCAACTGTTTATCCTCTTTTATACCTTATGTACATCTAATTAGTTTCCGATTCTGTTGCTTTAATGCTTCTTTTTGACTTCATTGATCCTTATCGACTGGATTATGTTAGCAATAGGCGCGAAATTTGGACAGTTTTCTTCGTCTCTCAACATCCTTAACAGTTTTGTGTACACATTTTAAATGCGACCTCCATATTCGAATTATCTTTATATCAATAAGTAAATATAATTTTTTTTCTTTCTCTCAATAAAACTGATAAATTCCCGAAGAGTTTCTCCATGATATTCTTGTTTTCTCTTTAAGTAATTTTTTTTTTTACTTTAACCTTCGTGTTTCAACAGGCACTATTCTTTCAAAAAATTCACCTCAATTTATATTATATTACTTTCTTTTGTGTTAATTCACTTTCATTGTAAACTCCTTTTCCACACAAGGGCATTTTTTTTCTTTAGTAACACTTTTTATTATGAAAAATGAAAATGCAGAGAAATATATGAAAATTCGCAATGACACAGTAAATTATTTTGGTGTATAATACAGTAAATGCATGAAATATTATCCTTTTATGCTCACCAGTTATCATTATTTAGAGTGTGACAACATTAACAATTAGTACACTGAAGAGTTTCAAAGCGAATGCAAAAAATACATATTCTTGTAAATATCATGAGTCAAAGATATCGATATTAAATATGGAAATCGAGGTACATAATCGTGTTTCATATGTTTGCTGTACATTTTCTTCAATAAAAGGAAGTTTTCTCTTTGTCATTCCATGTAGAATAGGTGGTTTTGTGTGATTCAGTATATTTTACATATACCTTTGTAAAATTGTCACTAAAGCTCATCGATTTAAAGTAATAGAAAAATCCTAACTAAAATATATTCCTCTCACGTCTTCTTCGGCTAAATAAGAGAAAAAGTATTTCTTGTCTTGTACGATATGTAATTCATGATGATTTGTTAACAATTGTTTATATGTAATATATTTGCTCTCTCTCGTTACCTCAATATAGGTAAAAAGGGGTAAAAGTATGTATAACAAATAAATATCATGGAATGTTATGGACAAAATATCTATTCGAGGAAGATAACATGTTTCATTTTCGGTCTTGAACGATTTTCTCTACAATATCATCTTGATTCTTCTCGGTTATGTCAACTTTGGAAAATATCGTGTGTTATTGCATAAGTAGCTTAAATGATTTCCTTAGTATGACACATTGGTAGCAATTTAAATGGACATTGATAGATTAATTACACATGACATCAATATTTTATATTAGGTTAATATACAATTAGAAGTTACGTTTTTTTTTCTCCATTCTATTTGAAATCAGTTATTTTTTTCATCTGTAATCTCTCTTCTTTGCTTTCTCATCTTACTTATACGATAAAGTCTGGAAAAAATATATACCAAGAAATGGAATATCCATACTAGAATTCTCGCTTGCTTAAATATTAATTATTGCATACAAGATAAAGAGACTTTTCAGCGTGACATCATATCATCAATGAAAATATCCCACAAAACAGACTTTCATTCACAGAGAATGCGTGTAAAAATGGTTAGTAAGGAAATTAAATGGGTAATTTGGACACAATGAAGAGGTGAGAAATTGACACAGAACTGAATGAATCCCCTTCGGCAAAAATCTCTCTGAAATTGTAGTATTACAGCTGCCAGCAGTAAATAGGGTATACATTATATCGAAATTACAGTGAGGAACACAACTTATCCTTACGAATTTCTTCGCGTGTGTTTTTCTGAACTGAGCAAGCGTCAATAGCACAGAAATTTATGATTTGTTCATACAGTATTGGTAAAGTTTTTCTTGATTATTCATCCTGCTGCAAAATGTAATAATATATGTTGAAGACCCCTAGATCCATTCAAATACACCATATCAAATAAAATATCATCTCTAAGTCTATTATATATCCTATTATACATACTAAATGAGCAAGGATAACAGACATTATCCATGTATTTAATCCCATGTTTTAGGTTTTACACAAACACTTCACCTGCCGATTATATCTTGCGAAATGGGTAATTATCAGGACATTGTGAATTTGTGACAGTGAAGCATGATTGCAATTCACGACTTTTAATTATTTTTTCTCGCAAATTCACAAGGTCACAGACTTTATTGTCTAATCTAAATTTAAAGAAAAGTGTAGCATGTTTAAAAGGGGGCTTTAAAGCTAATTATCTAGCCTAAATCACGATCTGATGTCAAAATTTGATAACTCTTTCCACTAGCATAGTTGTCAGAAAAGAGTGCTCCTCACTGTAAGTGCGTTCCTCTTAGTAAATAAGGGTTGAACAATAGTGTGTGTTTCAGTATCAAACTTGTTGGTGACGATAAATGAGAATCGGGGAGAGAAACTATCACATCACTACAATATATAGACTTTTTTTTCTCCTCTACGAATTGCCTAAAAAGATATATAACATTCTATCTGTGTATATATAAATTTGTTACTCTTTCCTTCCTTTGATCCTTCTCATAGCTCCATTGCGATAGGGGGTAGTTTTGAGTTTTTTCCTCAATATTTCAGTAGTGAAATCTCGGTAAATATATGTGTATGTATATATACTATAGGATATCTGCTCTCTGTTGTGTTCTCTGCCATGTATATTGCAATAAAGTGGTTCTATTCAATCCTCTTTGGCATATTTAATAAGATTATTCTTGTAATATTTCCTCTCTCTCTCTGTCCACTCTTGCGAGCTAAATCTTCTTAAATGTTCTTAAAAGTAAACATTTAAAAGTATAATTCCTAACTATTATTTATATTTACTAAAATGTACTTTAGCTACTTCATGTCTCTCTCTTCACACTTGAACTTTCCCCTCAACAATTTGCGGGTGGCACTTCTGTGCCAAGCGCCGAGTTCTCTTTACACTTATCTTAAATTCTAGCAATGTTTACTAACAATATTTGATATGTGTGTGAGTGTTAAAATAAACATTCTGCGCGAAGTGATGATCTCCAGGATGAGATGGTTGGTCGACGGGCGTCCATCTTAGTCCTCCCACGACGGGAACTGCGTCTCGTCGATGAAGAGACCGAAGCCATCCTTTTTCGCTTCGTTGCTGGATTGCGCCGGCGGGTGCGGAGACACCGGGACGCGGGAATGCTGTCCTCGCTGCGGCGCTGGCGCCGGCTTCCTGCTGCTAGCCTGCTGCCGATTGCCAGGCACGCTATTGCTGTTGGTGCTCCACACGCTATTCTGATCCGGCCAGTACGCGTTGCTCTGCGACCACTGATCCTCCGCCATCTTGTTCTCATACCCATGGCGATCCCACACGGCCGTCTGTTCGCAGATCTGCGGCGGCGTGACGTAGGTCTTGTCCACGGCCAACTCGAACTCCTCCTGCGGATTCTCCAGCGTGCTGTGCGTGATGCCATAGTAGAAGTACATGATTAAACCTAGCGTCATCCACACGGTGAATCTGACCAGTGTCAGAATGCTGAGCTTAAATATTAGGTAGACGTTCACGGTAATGGCAATGGTAGGAATAAATGGAAGTCCAGGAGTGAGAAATGCCAGGGCATATCTGGAAAGACAAGCAAATCGACACTAATTACTATGGATTTAATTTAAAAGGCCAGCGCTGCAACTTTTGCCTATGATGAATATAACTTTAGACAAGATGCGGTTTGATGTCATAAAGCTTAATTGACTATTAACTTTAGATATGGCAAGAAGACCGAGTTGAGATAATTGGGTGTGAGGGAAAGTCATTAACTTTCATGAGTAGGAGTGAAATTAGAAATTTAGTCATAATTCCAGAAAACAGTCTCAAATGGAATTTCTCATTAATTTTGCAGTACAACCTTTTTCACACATTTCCTCCACTGTCTTCGGCTTTGCTCAGCAGTGAATAAATCATTACTTCCTGCAGAGCTCATTTAAAATTGAGAGGCTGTATAAATCATTTGGCCTCTTCCGAGCATGTCCTTTTAGCCATCATCAAAGGCGAAATGTGAATTTGTTGTGAAATCTCGTCTAAACCCTTTAAACCATGCCATTTTAGAAGTATTAATAACAATGATGAATTATTCATTGCACGTTAGAAAGCCCACATCTGCAATATTCATTACTACAACTTCCGCTCGAACTCACCTATTCTGAGGTTGTCGGGATATAATCAATAGTATCACAATTATTCCTATCACCAAACATGTTATCACTAATCCGGCCAGTGTTCCACTCCATCCGATTGCCGTGAACAAGTCGAGGAAGAAGATGAGTGCGTACATCACGCCCACCAGCTTCGTCACGTACATCCCGCTCTCGCTGGTGGCCGGGCCGGGATTGACCCAGGGAAACATGCCCGGGCACAGGTAGCCGTACTCCGCCAGCTTGCGCCCGATCAGCCCCAGGCCGAGTGTGTCGAAGGGCGTGGGCTGTCCGGTGGGGGCGCCATGCACGCTGCCGTAGAATTTGTTCTCCGACCTGTCGGACACGAGGAACTGGTCATCGCGGCCCAGGAAACCACCCTCGGGGCTGTCGTCGATGAAAGAGTCATCAGAGTCTGGAGAGCCGCGTGTCACGCGACGCACCGTCACGCTCTGCTGCTTGACTTTGCTCTTGGCGCCGTCGGCCTGGAGAACTGTGGTCGCATGAGCGGGATCTGGAGTGCCTGGTGGCTGAGGAGTGCGCAGCTGGGCGGGCAGGAGGTCCACCAGAGAGCTGCTGTGGGGTTGATAGCGGAGCACAAGGACGCACGTGGAGACCAGAGTGTAAGCGAGGAGAGTGCCAATGGACATCATCTCGACAAGGATCTCCAGGCGGACAGTGAGGGAGACAATCCCAGCCGCCAATCCGCTGCCAATTGTGGCGATTCCCGGCGCATTGGTGCGCTGCCACAAGTGCGAGAGTTGCTTAAAGATGAGTCCGTCCTGGGCCATGGCGTAAATCACCCTCGGCATGGGGAACATGGAGCCGAACATGGCCACAGAGAGTCCCGCCGTGGCGCCAATTGCCACGATTGCTCGACACTTGGGCGCTCCTACATAAGTCCACATCTGGACTAGAGCAGACTCGCCGTCCACATGGTCGAAGGGAACAATCAGGGTCAGGATCAAACTGGTCGTGACGTACGCAATCAGCACGATGATCAGAGATCCCACAATAGCCTGGAAAATAAGGAAACATTTATTAAATTGACTTTCATGGTCGCCTGATTGTCTTTCCACCTTCGGGATGCTCTTCTGGGGTGAGTGGGCTTCCTCTCCAGTCGTGGCGATGATGTCAAAGCCAATGAATGCGTAGAAGCACGTGGCGGCGCCAGTGAAGACGCCACTCCAGCCGAAGGGAAGAAAGCCCTGGTGCTCATTCCAGGTGTCCGTGTCCACGTAGAAGAGTCCGGCGGTCATGATGAAAACCCAGGAGGCGATGTTGACGGCGTTGAGGGTGTTGTTGAAGATGACAGACTTGCTGGCGCCCAGAGCCAGCACGAAGGTCATGAAGAGCGTGATCGCGAATGCCACAAAGTCAGGCGGGCGGCCGAATATCGTTCCCACGGATTCAGCAATGCTGCGACTGATGGAACCGCCCGCCAAGGAGTCGAAGCTCGCTGACAAGGCGCACGCACATGCACTCGTGCCTGCGGAAGGATGGGAACATCAACAAATCCGAACCGGCAGAGAGATTCCAGGCGATTAGCACGCAATGTGAGAATTTGTGTGGGCGAGATAAAGGTATATAATTGCAATCTGATCCTTTTTCGACATATATTTGCACTTACTTGAGTCACTGTTTTGGTCTTTTAGGTGCTTTAAAAGGGTTAGAATAGAGTTTGAAAAATGTCTAATTTTAGCCATGAATTTCTATCTCAAGTAATATTTCAATTTTCCTAAGTTCAAACTCGCAATCCTCTAGAGACTTCTGACCTTCCTCAGGTCACATTCTAACTCGGAGGAGACTGAAAGTCTCAGGAGGAAATTTGAGAATTCCAAGTAAAGCTTTCACTTTAGAAAATCAATAGCAAAGGTTTATCATGTTTCAGATTTCTTGACAAATAAACTTAGATGAAAACAAATAACATATCAAATTTCAATTATATGTAGGAAATATAGAAAAGGACATTGACAGAGCACCCACTTTTCTTGGTTTGTGAGATGCTGAGCTCTTGCCGATTTTTGAATGCAAATTACGTAAAATCAAATACATTTAAATATTTACTACAATCAATTCAGTAAAATCTCTTTAAGTGCAATTGCTCGGGAAAAAATATAAGGCTTATCGTAGTTCTCCAATTCTGAGGCAATGATTTTCCTGCGCGACCACATAAGAAAGCTGAGCTTTCACCCTGCTTTATTCCATCTGAAGTGCCCTCAGTGTCAATGACGAAGCACTTGGAGGGCTTTCAATGAAAATTAGATCAGCAATTTTGTGCTTTTTAGCCCACATCAAAAAATCGTCGAAAATAATAATGTGCGAAGTGACTCTTGGGTTTCATTTGCGGATAATGATGCGTGAAGGGGTTGCGAAGAGCGCGCCGCAGTTTGTTTGAAATCCACAAATTGGTGTAATTGAATTAGTCCCTCGTGGGTGTCTCCTTATTTACCTATCAAATATTCTAAAATCATGTTCCATCCTATCACGAATGCCACGAACTCGCCCACCGACACATACGAGTACATGTACGCCGAGCCGGAGGTGTGGGGCACCCGCACGCCGAACTCCGCGTAACAAGCACCTGCGAACGGGAGAGATGAAATGTTGAGCGCTCTCGTGTTCACTTGTCAGCCCATAAATTGATTCCACGTCCCGCGGGGCTCACCTGAAAATATACTAGCTATTGCTGCGATGAAGAAGCTGAGTATCACTCCGGGACCGGCGATATTTCGCGCCACCATGCCAACCACCAAGTACATGCCGGTGCCGCAGCACGATCCCACGCCCAGGGACGTCAGGTCGAGCGTCGTCAGGCATTTCTGCAAAGGGCAATATTTTGTTATCACTGTCACGCGGCGTGCCGCACGGACAGAGCGGCTGAAAGGCAAGGAAAGAGCAGCAAACATTCCCAAGGCGGAGATATTTTGTTCAAGATTTGTACTGGGATTTGTTAAACTTCTATTTAAGACGTTTCTTAAGTTATTAGACAACAATTTGTAGATTAACCACAATTCAATTAGGAAGTCTTTATTAAGATAGTTCAGAATCTTTAAGGTAAAAATTTAAAGGATATCAATTTACTCATGCTTCAAATTGTTACTTTTATAAGTGAAACGACGGGAAAACTCCCCAAAAATATTATTTTTTTAAATCCAAGATGCTATTTTGGAAGAGAACTTATGCTAAACTCTACTGAATCGAAATGTTCCAAGTGTATCAATGTTAATGAGCAAGAATTGATGTTTTGGAAGTGCACAGACTTTTTGTCGTTAGTTAAATAACCCGAATCAATTCAAGTTGTTCAAAGCCAAGTTGTGATGAAATAAGCTTTGGAGGAAGTGATATTGCGAATGTTTTAGCACTTCCTAAGACTTCCGCTGAGCTGTACACCACATCCGACCCATTATCTCCCCTTAGCGGGCGTCAAGCGGCTTCCGCCGCGCTGAAAGGCAGGAAAAATAGCAGATGCTTCGCCTCACCGTAAGTTTGGGCTTTGTACTGCGCGGATCGTCTCCCTGGAGAGTCCTCAAGTCTTTTGTCCTCACAAGTTTCGAAAACAATGTGACACCAGTTCCACCGCCGGGCAAGGGTAGAGAAAATTTCATATTTGTGGATGCTGTGCTTTAAAGTTTGCCCTCACAAAGTTGCTCCTTTCGCTGTCTGTTCACGTCCTGTCGTGCGGGGGTGTGGGCGCCTTTGGGGGTCGGATGAGAGTCTGCAAAGGGGAAAAAAGTTTCTCTGCTCAAATCTCTTTCCAACTCCTCGCAATCTCTGCACACTCATTTTTATTGTGCTCAATCGCGGTGTGGCATCACAAATGGACGAAGGCGTATTTCGCAGGCAGTGCAATGTCAGAGTCTCAGTGGGTTTCCTTCCGGGACAGTTTTCGCTTGGCAGTTCTGGGTCACAGCATTGTTCGCCAAATTAGTATGGGATTCCCACGGGTTTTGAAAGTTAATTTTCAAATATTCATGCATATGAAGTAGGGAAGATGTAAAAAAACAGCAGACGTAGAGGAAAGTAGGGAAATGTGTGCCAATTTCACGCATTTCTTTTGTAAATATGGGATCATAGAATTAATTTTATGCTCAGTCGTCTTTCGTATAGACAAGAAATCGGATTATCATGCTTATATACGCTAAAAAAAATGTTTTTCCTTACTAAAAGGACACATTTTGATCAAAAATTCAATCCATGTTTCCAGATCTTGAAAATTTCTGAACTGATTTCCGTGGATTGCAGAATTTGCACGGCAAATGATAAATAATTTAGTCGACTTTTAAACCTGTCCAGCGCACTTTGCCCCACTTTCCCCTACACGAAAAAAAGGCGCTCCAATGAAAGCTCAACTTAATGCTAGCGAGTGAATGAGTTTCGATGGAACCTTTCCGTTTCTGCCAACAAAGGCAAATGATTATTCTTCAGCACGTAGGAGGAGCGCAATTGTGGGAGGATTTGGATGGTTTTGGTGTTAGGAAGAATCTCTTTGATGCCAAAGCCTGGGGCAATTTTGACCACATTTGTGGGCGGATGGCGACGAGTTCACATTATGCGAAGCACACACTTTTATGAGCATCTCAGTTGCCCTCTCACACTTTCCGCGTGCAATCTTCAACGACAATTTATGGTACAATTTCCTCTTGCAATTTTTCACCCCATCGCCAAGTTCCACCACGAATCGATTTGCTGTCGAAGGGCGCAGAGAGAAGAAATTTCAGCAGCACGCGCGATGCGACAAATGAGTGGAAATAGAATTTATCCTCCGAATTTATCCAATTGATTCCTATTTGGGGGTGATATTTAATTTTCTGCGTTGTTCACGCGCGCCCCGGGCGCGAGGGTGGAGGGAGGTAATCTCTCTTGGGGCTCTTGAGCGCTCCGCGGGCGCTGCGGAAGCGCCCCAGCCGCCCATTCGCGACGAAGAGTTGGAAATGGGAGCCAGTTGAGGTGCGTTGAAAGTCACGGGAAAGTGCAAGGAAGCGACAATTTTTTACCACTCGAGCGCCATTTTCTCGACTCGAGATGAGCCACATTGGGGAGTCACACGCACCCCTGTGAAGGGGCGCCTGGTGCGTCACCAGTGGCACATCATCTCGCGAGAGGGTGGCAAAATGGATGGGAAAAAGACACTTACTTGCGTTTTCTGCGTCCGGAGGGGGAATTTGGTGGCCGCGCGAGGCTCCCCTTCACACTGAACTGACTTCTGGGGGAGACTTTGTTCACTTTGCTCTTTGGTCCTTTCGCTGTGGAGACTCTCTCTCCGTCACAATGCCACGGGAAATGGTTGCATTTAGAGGAATGACTGCGTCCTCCACTCTTCACACGCACGCCTGATAACAAATAAATTCAATTAAACTCGAGAAGGAGTGACATATATTCTCAACACAAAAATTTATATACACGAATAAACTTCACTCTGCCACTCACAGATATTTCATTCAATAAAATGCCTTCAGCAGAGCAACAGATTCACCGAGTGTGCGCACTTCCTGGGGTGGCAGGATAACCCATCCCTATCGCCCTGCGGCCAGTCGAGGGCTCTGAGTGCGTGGGGACGATTTATGGGTGGCACGAGAAAAAGGTCACATCGCCGCAATGAGACATTCCTCAAATGCCTGCGAGAGGCAGCAGTAAAAAGTCTATTAAAAATTCTTCAACACCATTTTTCAGGCCATCTTCCACCGTTGGAGCTGAAATATCTTTTTATCCAGGGCGCTCTCAAGTGTGATTTTGGCGCGCTCACGCATTTCAGGGCAGCCAACATGGCAGAGCCCTCTAGAAATCACCAGAAAGTGGTGATTTTGCCACTAGGCGAGTCGGTACGGCAGGACTGTTTTGCAGAAGTGGGAGTGAAAAATTGCTGCGGTTGCGAAAATCATCAAATATCCAGTGAAAAAGGGTGAAAATCAGCAAAACCACATCAAGTAAGTATTCTTCAGCGCCGCGGGCAGCGTTTTGCAGCGAAATTGGTCGGGAAAGCGCGCGATGGGCGGTGAAAATGGGAAAAACAGCAACGCTTTGACAACTCATCCGGCGATGATTGTGGTGTAAATATGGCGGAGGCTGTCAATTGAGAGGGAGTGTGTTCTATTTTTGATCCTCCTGCATCTCCATCGCCACGAAATGGTGCTAATTATACAAGGGACGGTGCAGAGACTATTAGTGCTTCTTGGCAGTGACTTGCCACCTTTCGCAACTGCTTCAGTGGCGTGATATTGGGATATTGTGATTATCAGGGAGGCTCTGGAAAGATGTATTGCGGTTCAATGGTTGGCGGACTTGCAGCGGAAATCATCTTTTATCAGTATTTTTGAGGGATTTTCCTCTGTTTTGCAGTACCTGTGGAACAACACAAACAACATGACTGACTCGAAGTACTTCACTACGACGAAGAAGGGGGAGATATTTGAGCTGAAGTCAGAGCTGAACAATGATAAGAAGGAGAAGAAGAAGGAAGCTGTGAAGAAGGTAGGAATAGAGCTGAAGATTTGCCTTGTGGGATGAACTGATGAGGAGTCTTGTGTCTTAGGTAATCGCCAGTATGACTGTGGGCAAAGACGTCTCCGCGCTGTTTCCGGACGTGGTGAATTGCATGCAGACGGACAACTTGGAGCTAAAGAAGCTGGTCTATCTGTATCTAATGAACTACGCCAAATCCCAGCCGGACATGGCGATAATGGCCGTGAACACGTTTGTGAAGGTTCGTAGGAATGCACTGTGAAGTCACAATCTAAAATTAGTTAGAATCAGACACAAAAGCCACAAAAGTTCTCTAAAAACCAGCCTTCCTCTTGATAACAACACACAGAATGTAGTTATTTTTGTGTAATGACGCCAAAGGGTTGAGGAAATGTTTATGTATTTGCTTTGTTCAAATGCTCGGCAAAGGAATTGCCATCCTCTCAGCTGGTGAAGGTAAAGCTATATTGTGAAGAGTAATTCATGCAGTATGACAAAAAAAGAGATTTACTGTTGGACGAGTAAATGACAAAATGCAAGCGATAAACGCTGTGAGAATGATATCAAATCCTCAGTTGTTCAATATTTTCAGTTTAGCATTTGACCATAGAAAATTCTCACAAAAAATCACTGCTTTATCACATTTTTCTCACTCATTTGAAGGGCGCGCATTTTGCAGAAAAAAAATACCATACGATAAGCGTTCGTTTTCAGACGATAAAGAATTTATAGAGTGGTTGAAATGTTGCAGATGAAACATGCATAGAGTAACATTGATTGTGGGAGTTTTTTTCCCATCCATTCATGGCTTGAATTATTCCTTATTTATTCCATTGATTCGTGACATTCTTGATGAACATTCGATTGGCATTTTAGTGTTCTGTAGGTGATCTAGAAAGGTAGCTTTTTCTTACATTCCCCAGTTGGTTAGAAGTGATTTTTCACGTGGAATTTCTTCCCATTTCTTGCAGGATTGCGAGGACTCCAACCCACTCATTCGCGCTCTCGCCGTGCGCACGATGGGCTGCATTCGCGTGGACAAGATCACGGAATATCTCTGCGAGCCGCTGAGGAAGTGCTTGAAGGATGAGGATCCGTACGTGAGGAAGACAGCCGCCGTTTGTGTGGCAAAACTCTACGACATTTCGTCTTCAATGGTGAGTCCAGCAGCGGAATTAGAGTCTAACAGATGATTTCCAATTATGTGTGCTTCAATTTTCAGGTAGAGGATCAAGGATTCCTCGATCAGTTGAAGGATCTACTCTCAGATTCCAATCCCATGGTCGTGGCGAACGCCGTGGCGGCGCTGAGTGAGATAAACGAGGCTAGCCAGTCTGGGCAGCCGCTGGTGGAGATGAACTCCGCCACCATCAACAAGCTGCTGACGGCTCTGAATGAGTGCACCGAGTGGGGCCAGGTCTTCATCCTCGACTCCCTGGCCAACTACAGCCCAAAGGATGAGCGCGAGGCGCAGTCGATTTGCGAGAGAATCACGCCGAGACTGGCTCACGCCAATGCCGCTGTCGTGCTGAGTGCCGTGAAGGTGCTGATGAAGCTGCTGGAGATGCTGTCCAGCGACAGTGACTTCTGCGCCACGCTCACGAAGAAGCTGGCGCCTCCTCTCGTGACTCTGCTGTCATCTGAGCCAGAGGTGCAGTACGTGGCGCTGAGGAACATCAACTTGATTGTGCAAAAGCGTCCAGACATTCTCAAGCACGAGATGAAGGTGTTCTTCGTGAAGTACAACGATCCGATCTATGTGAAGCTAGAGAAGCTAGACATCATGATTCGCCTGGCGAATCAGAGCAACATCGCTCAAGTGCTGAGTGAGCTGAAGGAGTATGCGACGGAAGTGGATGTGGACTTCGTGAGGAAGGCCGTGAGGGCGATCGGAAGATGTGCTATCAAAGTGGAGCCGTCAGCTGAGCGATGCGTCTCCACACTGCTGGATCTGATTCAGACGAAGGTGAATTATGTGGTGCAGGAAGCCATTGTGGTCATCAAGGATATCTTTAGGAAGTATCCTAACAAGTATGAGAGCATCATCAGCACTCTGTGCGAGAATCTGGACACTCTGGATGAGCCGGAGGCGCGCGCATCGATGGTGTGGATCATTGGCGAGTACGCGGAGAGGATTGACAATGCCGATGAGTTGCTGGACAGCTTCTTGGAGGGATTCCAGGATGAGAATGCTCAGGTGCAGCTGCAACTCTTGACAGCTGTGGTGAAGCTTTTCCTCAAGCGTCCGGCTGACACGCAGGAGCTCGTGCAGCACGTATTGTCGCTGGCAACGCAGGACAGTGACAATCCCGACTTGAGGGATCGCGGATTTATCTACTGGCGCCTGCTCTCGACCGATCCGGCCGCAGCCAAGGAGGTTGTATTGGCTGACAAGCCTCTGATCTCCGAGGAGACAGATTTGCTGGAGCCAACGCTTCTCGATGAGCTGATTTGCCATATCTCATCACTGGCCAGTGTCTATCATAAGCCGCCGACAGCGTTCGTGGAGGGACGAAGCGCTGGAATAAGGAAGTCCCTGCCGAATCGTCAGGGATCCGGGGAGGATGGCGCTCACGCGGTGAACGAGGCAACGGTGATTCCCAATCAAGACTCTCTCATCGGGGATCTGCTGTCGATGGACATTGGCGTGCCAATGGCGCAGGCAGCTGATCCGGCGGCCAGCAATGTGGATCTTCTCGGCGGCGGTCTGGATATTTTGCTGGGCAGTGGACAGCCAGAAACCAATGCAGCCGGCGGATCGGGTCTCTTGGGAGATATCTTCGGCATCGCCGGCGGTTCGTCCACCATGATCCAGATCCCGAAGATTGTGTGGCTGCCGGCAGAAAAGGGCAAGGGACTGGAGATTCTGGGCACGTTCTCTCGCCGCGGCGGTCAGGTTTACATGGACATGACGTTCACGAACAAGGCGATGCAAGCTATGACGAGCTTCGCTATTCAACTGAACAAGAACAGCTTCGGCATCGTGCCCGGCGCTCCGCTGCAAGTGGGCCCTCTGCAGCCTTCGCAGACTCTAGATACTTCCCTGAGCATCGCCACGACTGGACCCGTGCAGCGAATGGAGCCACTGAACAATCTCCAGGTGGCAATCAAGAACAACGTGGACATCTTCTACTTCGCATGCCTCGTGCACGCAAATGTGCTGTTCTCAGAGGACGGACAGCTGGACAAGAGGGTGTTCCTGACCACTTGGAAGGAGATTCCGGCCGCCAATGAGGTGCAGTACAATTTGTCTGGCGTCCATGGCTCTGCGGATTCAATTGCCGCCAAGATGACTGCGAACAACATCTACACGATTGCCAAGAGGAATGTTGAGGGTCAGGACATGCTCTATCAGTCACTGAAGTTGACCAACAACATTTGGGTGCTGCTGGAACTGAAGCTGCAGCCCGGAAATCCCGATGCGACGCTGAGTCTCAAGACAAGATCTGTTGAGGTGTCGTCGATGATCTTCACGGCGTACGAAAGTATTATAAGATCTCAGCTGTAAGATGATTGATCGTTTCGCAAGTTTGGCTGCATTCCACCAGGGATTATTCAGTGCAGGATAAATGTTAACTACTTCTAGTGCATACTCTTGAATTCTGTGGAAGCAATAATCCACGCTATAATTAATTGAATTAATGATATAAACACGTATTTAGAGGAATCTCATGGTAGTTCATTCACATCCAAGATCGCTCTTTGGATAGCTAGGCGGAGTTTCTTGCGCTTGAAGTCGCTGCTGAGACTCCGCAACTCTGACCCCACGAAATCCCCAAAGATTTGATGGTCATCACGGGAGGTGTCCAATGAGGCGTTGCTCTTGGACGTTGGGTGGTCATCCAGGACGTCCGCAGAGCGAAAAGAAGCTCTTGGAGTTGGATCTTCGTAGCCATTGAACTGCATCGTGGGATCTCTGGACGCTTCCTCTTCATTCCGGAAGATCCCACTGCTGGGCGTCACGGAATTGACATCTTTGAACTCGATACTGGAGAAGGAAGTGTTGAGATCCAGACTTTGGTCACTCTGGAAATAGGAAAAAAAAGATAGTCAAACGATAATCTTCAAGAGCCAGAAGATTCCTTACGCATTTATCATCGAAAATCCGGCTGCTAACGTTGATGAACTTGATGGCATCGAAGAATTCCCACTTGACTTCAGAGGCTTTCCCGGTTTTCTGGAGCTTCCTCACTTCAGTGTTGTATTGCGTGCGCAAGTTGTGCAGCTTCCTCTGCACTTCCTTCCTCGACATCTTCATGCTCTTGGCCAGTTCGTCGAACGCCTTGGTCTTCAGCTCTCTGTTCCTGTACGTCTTGCAATTGGGATCCCAGAGAATTGGGGACGCATTGTACTTGCTGATCAACTGCAAGGTCTTCTTCTTATCCCACACAATCGCAGGTGCTTTCTCTGGAGACTTCTTATTCATTGTGTTTCACTGAATGTTCTGAGCTGTTATAGCGAAAAAAAATGATGAAAATCTCAGTGGGAAAGCGCGTAATTGCTGATAAAATTCAAGTAGAGAGAAAATGCTCTAGACTGACACTTCAGCCATGACATTTTGCTCTCACGGCCGCTGGTAGAGCGCTCTAGCGGTTGATTAGAGAGCTCTACTCTCATATGAATAATCCAATTTATCGCATTTTTCCTGCCTTCACAATTGATTAAAGAGTCAATTCATGCCAAGGTTTACATGGAAATTCTACTTTCATTTTCTAATTATAATTTTACTTACGTTTGTTGGGCATTTAAATATGATTTCTCACCACTCCGAGTTTTTATTCACCACACTTTCTCTAATTGAGGTTATGCGCTTTGTTTTGATGGTGTGGATTTTTGTGTGAAAATTGTTGCTGCTTATTTTCCCTATTTTCACCATCTTCTGGAGAATAAAAATGTCTGAGAGTGGAAAGAAAGCTAAGAAGTTTCCCCAACAGGTAAAATTCATAAGATACTCCTTAGTGTCTCATCGAATAAACGCTTGTTTTGTGTTGCAGAATCAACAACAGCGACTGGGGAAGAAAGTGCAGATTGCCAAGAAAGATGCGCTCAAAGACAAGCCGGAGGAGAAAAAGCCAATGATCCTGTTGAAGCCAAAAGAGAAAGTGGAAAGTGATGAGCAGGAAGCCACAGTTCCAGTTATTGCCAAGCCTCCAGTTCAAGTGGCCGTGAAGCCAGAAGCTGTGAAGGAAGAGGAACCAACTTGTCTTCCGGAGATGACGAAGCCTTGTGAGCTGATATTCTCTAATTTTGAGGTGAATAGGAAAGCTTCTGAGAATCTCAGCGAATCCAATGTCTTTTTCAAAGTTATTGGTGTGATTGGCACGAAAGGCAGCGGAAAATCTGTGATTCTTAACTTCCTGGCCCAGGAGAGATGTAAGATTTCTGATAATAGGAAGATTTTCCTGGAGAATAGAGACAGCAAAAGCTGCAGTGGACTTCAGATGTTCATCACGAGTGATCGGACAATTTTGCTGGACTTTCAGGAAGCTTTCAGCAACGAAGCTGACACGATAAAGATGATAATGTTCGCCTTGTCGCTTTGCCACGTGCTCCTGATTGTCCAGAATGACTATCTGGACATGAGCTTGATGAGGCACGTCATATTTGCCGAGATGATGAAGTTTAACACGGGAAACAGACTCTCTCCCGAAGGGCCAAAGATTATTTTCGTGAAGAATCGCACCACAGCTCAAGACATTGCGCGCGAGAGTAGGAAAATTTGGGAAAAGACTCTTGAGAAGATCTTCAGCAAGACAGAACTGAACATTTACACGGAATATCTGGAAGATTCGGCTAAGAAGGCGTCAAAGAATACCGCTAAATGCATCAAGCAGATCAATTTAATTGAATTTCCGGATCTAATGTGCAAGAACTATGTGAACTGTGTGGATCTGGACAGTGCCATTGAGCAGCTGACTTGTAGTGTCTTCAGGCAGATGAAAAATGTCTCGAGAGTCTCCCAGGCGGCATTCACGGAGAAGATGTGGTGGCAATTGGCGCTGAGTTTGGCCGAGACGCACAAAACTGAGTACTTTCTCAGGAAGTACGATCATCTCACGACTGCCATCAACTCAACGGCGGCCAGCGACGGTCATGGCAAGGATCGATACGCCCTCAATTATCACGTGGAGTCGTAGGGCGGATTACTGATAGACCGTGGCCAGAAGGGCTCTCTTGCGCTGCTCAATAGGCTTGTAGGCGTGCTGGTACACGCTGGCGAGACGCCAAATCTCCGGATAGCCGCCCTGACCAGCGCCGCCGCGCCAACAAGCGAACGGCGGCGCCAGAGTGTCGATATTGTAATTTTTCTTCGCATAGGGATCTCGCGGCTTCGGCACCTTAATGCCCTTCCTCGCCCGGGCGTGTTTATCTGAGCCGTTGGACGAGATGCTCTGGCCACAGCCACTATCCGAATCACTCCTCGTCATCTTCTTGTTCTGCTGCTGCGCCTGCTGAGCCTTCGTGTACTCACACAGTCGCATCGGACGCTGAGGCTTGGCGGAGGATCTCACTTTGGTCTCCACAAGGATCGGCGTGTGCTTGATGCACACCAGTTCACACTCATTCTGCGCTCTCTCGGCCAATTCCACGAGATTCGGAGAGCTCTTGTATGTGCGACTTAGCGGCTTAGATTGCTGCAGATCTACCGATCTGGAGACACTCTTCGGGCGACTGAGAGAGTGATCAGCTGGGACATTCATGGTCAGAGCGCTCCGGCTGCGATTTCCTCCTTCGCCACAGCAACAAGTGCGTCCTGGAATTCGTAAACGATATGTGTAAAAAAAAGTTTGATGCTGGAATAAAATTCTTTACCCAGAATGCTGGCGTTCTTTATTTCCGTCTTCTGCTTCAGCACGTCCTTGTCGAAGAAACCCTCCTCGCGCATCGTGCTAGAGAAAACTCCTCCCGAGCGGCCCGTAGCCAGAGGAGTGTTGTCGCGAGGCGTCTTGACCAGCGTGAATACCGCCGGCGCAACGGAACCATTCGAGCCGTCGATGTGCGTGGGACGCGGCGGCTCGTCTCGTGGATCACTTGGGCGATAATCCCAACAAATGGCCAAGTCCATGGGCCCCATTTTATCTTTGATTGTGATAGACGAGTGCGGCCGGTAGCCGAGAGCGGCTTTGTCCAGGGGCTGCGGTGTCACGCCGCATGTTTTGGGCCGATAAACGCGCATCTTTGTGCACTGCGTCGGGCCGGCTTTGTAGCTTTTCACGCCCACGCCTGAAAAGTGCTTCACTTTAGAAGGATTTTATGGGAATCATATTATAAACTCATTGAGTGTCTCTATGCTTTGAGTCGTTAAACTAGTTAATACAAATATTGGAATTTAGCTTGAAATGCATATTTCGATTTCGCTTTACGTTTTTCAACGGATAATAATACTATTAACACTCAATTCATTTTACAATTTCAATGTGAGTCTTGTTCATGTTTGCATTGTTTTGTGATGGTAATTTTCTTGATTTCGAAAATCCGCGATAGGAAAAATCCAGCGATAGCAGAAGATACTTAAGAGAGTGCAAAAAATTGTGAGAGGGAAATTGTCGTAACGCGCATAGTGAAATTGCCAAATCGAAATTGCGCTATATCTTGAGAATGGCTGTAAATCAATTTGAAGACATCGCGCAGCAATGATAACGACCTGCGGCGCAGAATGACTCACCTGTGGCCAGAGGAATGACGTCCAGAGCGAGTCCTGGATGGAGATCTCCGCCTGCTTGCAACTTCCTGTACGCGCAATCCATCACAGCGTCGGGTAGCGGCTGGTGCTCGAGATTCTCCTGGGCCATTTTCCTGGCCACCAGGAAATTGCAGTATGTCGCATCCATCTCGGGAGATCCTGCGCGGATCTCTTCCTCCTTCTCCTTGGCGCTCTTGGCGTCCTTCAACAGAACGCAGTTGCTGTCGTCCGCCTTGGTGGCCTCTTGGATTATGCACGGCAGCGGAGCGATGGAGTTCTTCCCACACCCACTCTCGTGATTGCTCGCCTCTGTGGGATTAGGCGACTCTGCGGCCGCGGGAAGCGATTTCCCGGCCGCGTGATCGATCGGACTGGCGGATTTCTGCGAATTTGCAATTACTAGCGGCAAATCTCTTGCGCTCGCCCACGGAAACTCACCTGTCGCGTCTGCGATTCACCCACGATTTCCGGGAGGGAGTTTCTCTTGTCGCTGGAATTGGGACACTGTCCGTTAGATTTCTTGTGCACTGTGCCTTGCGGTGCCGCGGATGAGGTGCGATTGATGAGTGCGCGCGAGTGCTTCAGCAGGTGGCCGCGGTCATTGGCAATGATTTTCGTGGAGCCCCGGCGCCGCAGTGGACGCACCACATTGTTCTTTGGCACTTCCCAATTGCACAGCGCCACGGGCCGGAATTGACACTCGAACTGAAGGATTGGCAGTGATTAATGGCGTGTTTTGCCATGAGATTTGAGGAGCATTTAGTCATATTTCATGCCGCATTCCCGAGTGAAGAGGCTAAATAAAGGGATTAGAAGGATTTACCCTACATATGTCCCTGTTTTTTAAATGCCCCCAAATCACCGGTTCTTCGTGACTGTCGAGGGGTGAACAAATGTGGAATATTCAATTAGGAAATGTTAAATATAGGATCTATATGATTTTTTTCTTTCAACCCTCTCATGATCTCAATAGACGTTGTTGGGATCTTCCTGAATAATATTACTTCTTTTTAACTGTGCAAAACTAAATAGAATATTGAGAAATGCCTGAGGAAATCATAGGTATTTCCTAAGAATTTTTTTTGCCTCTTTATTTCGATATATTTCAGAATTTCAAGTGAACTTGACACAAACAAAGCCATAAATTAATTGGCTTCTCAAAACTATTAAACTTCCCTAGTAAATCACTTATTAAACCCCTTCGTAAATGTGGATTCAGGAGGAAAATCTCTGTTTACCATCCTTTATCCCTCTATTTGACATGGGAAATCATTTCCACCACGTGTTCTTCTGCTCCTCAACTCCCGTTTTGCTGGTGTGTGCACTGAAACTAGGGGGAAACGAGTCCTCTCAGTCTCTATGGCGAAGAGGGCGAGATATCCTTGGCAGCAAATGCAGTTAAATAGCGTATTGGATTAAGGGATGACAATGAAACAAGTGTTACTTTTTTATTGATTGTCAATTAGATGAGTGTAATCCGAGAAATTGGAAATTATAATTAGGCTCGTCTAGTGGGAAATGCGCGCACGATGATCAATCTCTCCCTCGAAGGGTCACACTTGCTCAATGAAGTCCACTTTTCCGGATCATCTCACGCACTTTCGCGCGGACTCTCTGAGGACGAATTGTTCAATTTCACCCACATGCACGTGACGATAATTGTGTTAAAAATCCATTTAAGCATTTGGGGTGATGACAGCAATTGATTGAGTCTTTTCGCGCTCTCTTCACACTCTTTGCAGTGCACTTTGTGGGATGGATTCTTGTGAATAATTTAGCAAACATCTCAATCTTTTATGCTTTTCTGTGTGGACAAATTATCATATTTTCCCCATATGCACGTGCCGATGGTGGAAACCTTGTGCACATCACTGGAAGATTGATTGTGGGCTTGTCACCAGAGAAAATTGCTCCTGTCGCCATAATTACTATTTACAACCGCATCACCCCTTCGCTGAGAAGTCTCTCAAGCCCCTGACTTTCGCACTTGAACCCTTTTGCATCACTTTGTGCCACCCGAGACGCGAAAATCACTGTAATTTCGCCACGGATGATGATTTCGGTGATTACAAATGATGGGAAATGCTGATGAATTTGCACAGAACAGCCAAAAAAGTGCTTCTTCATTACCTGATTGCTGTGAAAATTTCGAGACATTGCTAAAAATGGCTTCAATACAACCAAATTATCTATGAAAAGATGAACATTTTGATACAAAACCACTTTCAGCACTGAACTATGGACTTATTTGTTAGGAAGAAAGGACAAAATAACTATAAATAATACACATAGAGAGTAATCGAATCTAAATACACATTAAATAGCATTCGCCATAGCGACCATTCCCCACTTCTTCCCTTTTCGAGGAATCTCTCTGCCTTGTTTGCCAGGAAATATTCCTCTTTTCCAAATGGCTGACAACAAAAGATTTGTTATGTCGATTGCGCGGAGAAGAATATTGAGGACAAGAACTAGAAATGCAAATTCACCTTGTCAAGGTTTTCTTCACTATTATCACGATATGAGAGAAATTGCGTATGATGAAAGTCGCCATTGGCTGAGGGTGAATCCTTTGGGGTGGGCTTTGCTCGCTCTGCCGCTGCGAATGTACCAATCGGAGGAGCGCTGCTCTCTCTTTCACCCTCAGCTCAATTTTCCTCTCGCGCGCGAAGAGATGCTGCGGACATTTCCCTGGGAAAAACTATCCTCAGTAGATGTCAGAGATTTCACGCGGAAAGTCACCCTTTTCTGTGATTCACGCTGAAAAGAAATATATCATCTCGCGGCCAAAGTCTCGAAGGGACATCAAATATTTAATTTAACTGCATATTGAGGAACGTGACAGAAATTCCTCAATTGGAGTTGAGTGCGAAATTGTGTACTTTTCCCACTATTTGCTCTCGCCTAAAGTGCTTCGGCATGGCGCGTGTTTGGTGATACAATTACGGGTGAACAAACGAAGGGTTGTGCAGGTGGCAGAGTCAAATGGTGTACGACATCGACGCTATAATTCCCACACAGAATGCAGCTCTGGCGCGGAGTACAACGGCCGCCGTGGCCATGGGAATGGAGGCCATGAATGCCGCCACAACTAGCGTCCCGGCGCGCCGCAAGGCCTACGCCGCGGACCCCGCGGCCGGCGTCCAGGCCTCAGACCTGGCGGGCTTGTCACGCGAGGAGCGGCGCCGCCGGCGTAGGGCGACGCAGAAGTACAGAACGGCGCACGCGACGCGTGAGAGGATTCGCGTGGAGGCCTTCAATGTAGCTTTCTCGGAGCTGCGGAAACTTCTGCCCACACTACCGCCTGACAAGAAGCTGTCCAAGATCGAGATCCTGAAGCTGGCCATCTGCTACATCGCCTATCTCAACCATGTGCTGGAAACATAGTGAGAGAACGTCTTCCGGGGAATTCAGTGTCCTTTTTGGCTCAACGAAACGCCGAGTTTTCAGATCATGAGCCAATAGAAAGGTTTTGCATTTAAGAGTTTTATAAACACACTTAGAACGCTTAGGATAGAGAAGAAAGGCTGAATTCTCGAGCCTCATTCGCAAAGTCAAGCTTTGGACATTTTGATTAGAGAAAAATGGGGCAGAATTAGCCAAAATGTTTCTTTGCCGGACTATAAAACGTTCTAACTAGATATACACAGAAATACATCATAATAAATAGTAATGTTGACAGAAATTATAATTTTCGCATTTCAGATTTCCCCCAATATATCGTAAACTCTACGCTATGAACACAAGACAATGCTTAAATTTCCTTTGAACATAAGCTCTAAATTACTATATTAAACTATAACTTTGAGGGAAATTCACATAATTTCAAAATCATTCTATTTCTTGACCTATATTTTGATTATTATTCTGCGGGAATGGAGGGAAAAATTGTCAGATAAGATTAAATAAAGATAATGCCGAGTGTGTGTAATCTCTCAAGGGCCAGCCAGTCTAGAATAACACTGAATTCAACAGAGAACTTTCTGAGCAGCCCCTCGATAAATCTCCCTTGCGAGGCCCCATCTGGAGAAGTGCTTTCGCCCCGCCAGAGCAATTCTTCCCTCGCATTTTCCACCTGATGTCCTCATAAACACTCTGTCGAAATCAATTGAACGGCGCATTCTTCCGAGAGCAGAATGAAAACAGTCTCTTGATGTTGTAAATTTACAATAAAAATATATATTTAAAATATTACAATCATACCTATTCATCCAATCGCCGATAGTCTAGAGATTCTCAACTCGCTCAGCGTTGTGCGTCTTTCCATTTTGCATTGACTCAGCGACACTGGGATGCATGAATTGTATGAAGCTCCAGAGATGCTGCAGAATGTTGTTGATAAAGCCGGATATCACAACGATACCCGCAATGATGGAGCACAGTCGCACGATGAACTGCACGGGATTGTCACGATCGTGACGGACGATCACTTTGAGCGCCGCCACGTCGTACTTGAAGTAGAGTCCAGGAATTCCGTGGGATCCCTTATCGTGATCTGCGCGAGGGAGGAGGAGATAAGGGTTGGAACGCATAAACATTGTAAATTCTCTGGCATTGTGATTGTCACACTAATTGAAATACTAAGACAGGCGCTCTCGCTTCACTATATAAAATCATTATTGCCGCCACACTTCTGTATGTGCATATCATTCCCTTATCAATACTCCATGATGATAAGGCCACACATGGGAAATTATGACTATTCTTCACGAGTTCCTCGACTCCTCCCGGACTCATTCTATCATTGTGGAGGGCAACAATATGTATCAGAGAGATTCGAAAGCGATTACCTGTCCTTATCGCCTTCTATATATACAAGATAAATTGCTATTATTGCTCTAATCATTCCCAACTTTTTCTCTCCACCAAGAGCTTCTCATTCAGTGTGAATTGAGACGTCACAGTGAGTGGAATTCTGTTAATTGCACAGCGCTAAATTCTGACTGTCGAGTGACAATAATTTTCTTGAGCTCTAAAAAGTCGTGGGAAAGTGCGCTGTTCTTCATCCCCGGGACGCGATGAAGAAAAACGACTCGAGTGTCTTTGGGACAGTGTTCTCGACTCCCCAGAATGACCACAGTGAGCGCCATATTGTGCAGCGGGGCGCGGAGAATTGGTGCGAGAGGCAGCAGAAGAACAAGCCGCAGAGCAACTCCGTGGCCGGAGGTAGGTTCCCTTGCCAATCTCCCCTGGCCGAGCGACTAAGAAGCATTCATCTTCATTTCATCAGGAATCTTTCTGATGCTCGCGAGTGGTCTCCACATTGGCTGGAGCATCGGCAGTCCGAATCTGCAACTTCAGGTGTGGTTCGAAAACGTTCCCGACGGCGAAATCATCCTGGCTCTGTCTTCATGGTTTATCGGAGCAGTTATAGGCAGTTTTATTGCCCTCTTCATTTTGCCAATGTGGGAGAAGAAGACAATCTACGTGCGTATTTTTTATTTCTACAATGCTAATCGTGAAGAGTGCCAGATATCTAGAAAATCGCAAAAAAGCCATAAGAGCTTTTTTATACTCTTTGACACGTATTTATGCTTAAAATGATAGCTTTTAACTTGGCAGAAAATCATTAAATGAAAATCTATTAGAATCTCATATGACAATCCCTTATGCTATGTTCATTCTGATATCAATACATATTTTTCATATAAATTTTGCAAAACGCATGACTTTCTAAAGCATAAGTAAACGATAATGAAGAACTTTGAACAAAATTCACACGATATTAGGAGTGTGAACAAAACACATTAATTTAATTGATTAAGACTTAAGACGAAATCTTAAGATATGCCACAATTTAAGCAACTTTCAATTTGATTAGAACATGATTCTTCGAGTGCACTTTTCACGATTGTCTCTGTATTTTGAAGATGCTCTTCGGTATTGAACAAATGTGCCTCTTTGCAGTACGTCGGAGCATTTATCTCTGTGATAGGCAACGCACCGCTAATTGGCTTTCCAAATGAAAGTATTGTGATAATTCTATGCCGCATTCTGGCTGGAGTATCTCACGGTTTCATCTACATAACAACCATAATTCACGCTTCAGAGAATGCCATTAAGGAGATTCGCGGGCTCATTCTCGCCTCCATCCACTTTTGTATCATCGCATCGGTCTTCACCACGTCAATCATGATGGCAATTGGTCAGGAGGCGGTCGACTCCGACGGTTACGAGCCAAACATGGTGATCGGAATCATCGGGACGGTGTATTCACTGTTGGCAGCCATGTGTGTGCCTTGTCTCACCTACGAATCCGTGGTGTTTCTGATCGAGCGCCAGCGCTACAGCGAAGCCATCAGAAACATAATAAAGCTGCGGAATGAATCCGTGGAAACGTGGGAGATCAAGAACGATTTCGACGAGATGAAGCTCATGGTTGTTGAGGATGTTCGCACGTCCAAGTCAATCTTCAAGGATGGAAACTTGCGACCGCTCTTTCTGTTGCTGCTCGTCAAGTTCCTCTTCATCCTGTCCTTCAACTACAGCCTCAACATGATCAAATTCCTGGCCGTGGACGAGATTCTCATGGGTCACTGGAGTTCAGCTTGGCTCTTCGGCATTCGCCTAACAGCCGGCACTTTCGCGCTGTGCTTCATGGACGTCTTTGGGCGCAGGATCTTCCTGGCCGTCTCAGCGGGAGGAACATCAATCAGCCTGCTGATCTATGGCTTCCTCAATCTCGGCGCCTTGGATGGAAGTTACGTGGGAATAATAGCGTCTGAAGTATTTCTGGGCCTGGGTTTGGGATCTGTGGCAGATGTCCTCTTCTCGGAGGCCTTCTCGTCCAGGAAGAAGGTCCTCTCGATGATCGTGGTGACAGTGTTTGACTATGTCATCCAAATGGCCCTCATACTCAGCTTCCTCAACGTGCCGACGCGATCTTACGAGGACGCCTTCGTCTTCACCACCGGCGGCCTCATGATCGTCATCACCATCTTCTTGTACCTTCAGCTCCCCGAGACGCGCTACATGTCTCTCAGACAGACGCGCGATGAGTTCAGGCTCGTGGGGAATGCCACGTACTCACGCCAGCAGCCGCCGCAGGGCATCACATCGGCATAGGACGAACGTAAGGACACAATCTGTGATAATTCCCTGACCCCCAATTTCAACCTTCCCCGCTAATCGATAACGCAACAATTGAGCACTTCTTGCACATGCACTTACTTATTGGTCGGGAGTTTTCCTTCACGGAGTACTGGAATGTCTTGGTGACGGAGAGCAGAGAGTGAATGTCCGTTGGCACAACTTCCAGGAAATATTGTGCCATTGTCGTGCCTAAAATGTCATCCACAAGAGTCAACTAATTTAATAAAGCCCTTTTTTTGTACTACTCACTGTCCGCGATGATCTTCTCGTCTCCCTCCAGGGGATGAACGATGCCCGGCATCATCGGCCCAAAGCTGAATCTGTTCACGCGATGCGACATATTGAGCGGTGTATCATCGAAGATGGAGCTGAGGTGAATGTGCCCCCTTGGGAAGTGAATACTCTTGCCGGCCGTGATGTGAAAGTTCCCGGAAACCTTGTTTGTCGTGAGTGTTCCGTGGATTCGACATGCATCGAAAGGCTTGTCCGGCTTCACTTCCCTCTCAGGCATTGCGGCGAAGTGTCTGGAATCGCTCTTGTACAGAATGTGCGCCAGAGAGTGATATTCCTCCCTCAAGTACGAATTGAGATGCTTAACGTACTGGAAGTGCGTTAGCTGATTCCCATCCAGTTCCCACCACGTATCCTCCTCTTCCAGACTCCCGAATGAGAACACATTTTGGTGCGTGGAGTCAAAGATATCCGCCCCGATCCGTGCACAAGGCGTTGCAACTGAAAGCCAGGAAAATATAACAATGTTTGTCAACACTTTCCGGGGATGTTTGTTTACCTGTGAGATCAATGTTTATCTGCAATTTGGTGTCCAAATCAGCGTCAGGAGCAAACTTAAAGATGAGCTTGCTCTCCAGGAAGTAGTTGATCTCCTTCCAGATCAAGTAGAAAATCACAGTGCGGCTTATGATGGACACTGTATGGAGGAAAATTCATACAACCTTTGACGGCAATGGAGACACCGTGGCAAACTTACGTGTTCCGCCGATTCTCGTGGTTTTTGTGTACTTCTCACGGATCTGCGGGAAGGCATCCAGACTCTTGACGATATCCACACGTTTTCTTTGGCGAAGCATCAATGGAAGTTAACAAATCACACGGGAAAAACATATAAATCATCCACACCGACACGGACAAGACAGCATGAATCACTCCTTTGAGGTTATGTTCAATTTTATCCAGGGAAAATTGTCAACAAATATTTAAATTCAACGGTATTTATTTCCTCTTCATCTTCTTGAATTTCCCACCTTTCGCTCCCTGTGAGCTCTTTATCCTCTTCCTCACACCCACAAATTGCTCCGTGTCGTCGTCACTTGCATCGGCATTCTTCCTCTTCCCGCCACTCTTGCGATCCTCAATCTCCTTCAGCGCAACTTTAGCTGCGCGCTGCGCTTCGCCAATCCGCTCCTGGAGCACCATCACCTCGTCCTTGTCGCACGGATACTGTTCCAGCTGCTTCCCAATCAAGTGTTCAATACGCTGATACAACTCCACGTCGTATTGCGTGACGAACGTGATTGCCTTTCCCGATCGTCCAGCACGAGCTGTTCGGCCCACACGATGGATGTAGTCCTTGCTGTGCGTGGGGATGTCGAAGTTCAGCACGACGTCCACGTGAGGAATGTCCAGACCTCTCGAAGCCACGTCAGTGGCGATCAAAATCGAGCGACTCTTCGCCTTGAACTTGTTCAGTGCCGCCAGTCGCTTGTTTTGCGACATCTGGCCATGCAGCGGCACCGCCGCCAGGCCCAGTTCTCTCAACATGAGCGCCGTCCGCAGAGTGTTGTTGCACGTGCTGCAGAAGATCATGAAACTGTTCCCCGCGAGTTCATTCAGGACGTGCACCAGATAAACATCCTTGAACTTGGCCGGGACGAAGACGTACTTCTGCTGAAGCTTGTCTACTGTCTGATACTTGCTAGATACTTCCACCTTCACAGGATCTCGTAGACAAGCTCTCTGCAATTTCCTCACTTTGCTCGTCATTGTGGCGCTGAAGAGAAATGTGCGGCGCTCTCGCGGAATTTCCTTCAATATCTTGTCCAATTCCACCTCGAAGTCCATGTTGAGGATGCGATCTGCTTCATCCATCACGAGATATTTTATCCTGTCGAGGTCAAATCCCTTCGTGTTCTCCAAATGGTCTATCAAGCGTCCGGGCGTGGCGATGATGATGTGAGGGCGCTTTGCCAGCTGCAGAGATTGCGCTGTCATGTTCATTCCGCCCACAATTACAGCCACTTTCAGCCCGATTCCGCTTCCTGCAACACACAAGATCACATCCCATTGAAATCCAGAACATTTGAAGAGAAGAAAGTATAGAGTTTTACAGGAAATTCAGTGGTAGTGACGAAGTGAGTTGTTATCTCATCATTTCTTGCATCAAAAATCTCTTATCATCATTCAAAAGTCAAGACAGATGTAATTGAGAAATCATTCCAAACTCACCCAACGCCTTAAACTGATCTCCAATCTGGTCAGCCAATTCTCGCGTTGGTGTCAGGACGAGAGCGAATAGGGATTGTGGAGTTTCCATTAGCGATTGCAGAATTGGCAAGGCGAATGCTGCAGTCTTTCCTGAGCCCGTCTCAGCTAAACCTATCACGTCTTTTCCTTGGAGCGCCAGTGGAATGGCTTCCCGCTGAATCTTGCTAGGAGACTTCCATTTCAGCTCTGCACAGGCTCCACAGAGAACATCATTCAGTCCCTGCAAATTTCAGAAGCGAAACCACGTGTATGACAAACACTCAAACATAAACAATCTCATTTCTTACCAAATCCTGCCAAGTCAGTGAAGATTCTTTACTCTCCGCATCCGCCCCATTCTCCTCCACGTCGCTAACACCATTTCCAACCCCATTCTCAAGGGATTCAACACTTTTTTCGCTGATTTCTGAGCCGCTCTCCACTTCAGAGTCAGACATTGTTAAGGTTATGTTGTACTGACATCAGCGCTTGCTGCGGACAGCACAGAAAGCAGGAGCAAAAATTCAAACTTTTTCTCATAACGACTTTTCTCACATTTTATCCAAAGCAGAGATCAAAGGCAAAATTAAAACTTTTCCCAGGAACCTGGACACAATTTTCACCTCTAAAATGCATGTTCAATGTCAACGGTCATTTATTTTCATTTCACTCTCTTCCAACACCGAAAAATTGGGGTAACAATCTTCTCTCCTTTCATTTCATTAAAGCATGAACCACTGCCTTCGCGTTGAGCGCCTTGAGGTCAGTGTAGGTCTGTCCAGTACCCACGAAGACGATCGGCTGTCCGGTGATGTAAGTCATCGATATGGCGGCGCCCACTTTGTCGTCAATTGTATCGAACTTCGTGAGCACAATGCCGTCGATGATGTGAGGATTGTCATTGGACGAGTAATCGGCCAGAGCCTGGTTGAACTTCACCAGTTGATCCACCGCCTCATTGCCCACGAGTGCCTCGCCGACGAACAGCACCAAGTCCGGCTCGTTGACTTTGATCAGCTTCGTGAGAGCGCGCATCAGAGGCTCGTTGTCCTGCATGCGACCAGCTGTGTCCACGAGCACCACATCGATGCCCGAATCCTTGGCGAAGCGGATGGCTTCCATGGCAATCCCGGCAGCGTCCTTTCCTGCAATTCAAATCCACAGCATTAGACACTCAAGCAAACAAGCATTTCTTTTCACTCTCACCATATCCTTTCTCGTAGAGCTGAACCATCTGCACTCCTCCGTGTTTCTCGGCCGGATGCAGAGCGTTGAGATGGCGAGTGTGAGTCCTCAACTGCTCCACAGCGCCCGCTCTGAACGTGTCGCAAGCGGCAATCAGGACACTCATGTTATTCTCGATGAGCCAGAAGCAAATCTTGGCCAGGTTCGTGGACTTCCCCACGCCATTCACACCGCAGAACGTCATCACGTACGGTCTCTGGCTCTTCTTCGCCTCTAGACAGTCTCGCAAGATATCCACGCGACGCTTGGGCGAGAGAATCTGCACCAGCGCCTCCGTGAGAGTCGTCTTGACCGTGGCGGCGATCGTGTCGAACGTCCCGAGGACCCTGCCCTCGAGTTTCGTGGCCACAGAATCGCAGAGCTTGCCGGAAATGTCCGCTGCCACGTTCTTCGAGATGAGGTGATCCCTCAGCTTGTCCAACGTCGGCAGCATGTCGTCCTGCGTGAGATTCTTCGAGCCCACGAGTCCGCGGAAGAGCGAGAACATCCCAGAAGGCTTCTTAGCAGTTGTCCTGGCGGTACTGACCTTCGTCTCGGTCTCGGCATCGCTGGAGGACTCCTCATAGTCCTCTTCCTCCTCACTCTCCACCTCCAGATCCTGAATGCCGCCGCGCATAGTGCCAATCATCTCGTTGTTGGCCGTGAAGTCGCTCTTCACGTCCTCGGGCTTGTCCTTGGAGCGATCCAGAGTGGCGAGGTCCTTATTGGTGCCTCCCAATTCCCACACGCGCGGCTTCTTGCCCGCCTTGTCTTGCGGCGACTTTGGTGACTTCCTACAAACAAACGAAAAGAGATTGTCTCTCGGCCGAAAGTGAAAGTGACCTCGCGCAACTTACTTGTTTTGCGGCTTGCCTTTGCCAGACAACTTCTCCGCCAGCTTCCGACGATTGGCCGCGATTACGTCCTCGTTGAGACCATTGGGACTCGCCTCCTCGGGCTGCTTCTCCTCCTTCACCTCCACAATCTTCACGGACTTCTTCGCCTGGCCGTTCTCCTTGGGCTCTCCCTTGCGCTCTATCATAGACGCCACAGTCTTCTTGGACTTCAGCGAGTCCTCGTACGAGCGCATCTGCTTCGGCAGCTTCATCTGCGCCTTGCCCCACTCCTCGGCCGCCCGCAGTACGGCTCCGTACTCCGCCTGGAAGTCGAAGAGCCGGAAATTTTTGCTGTCAGCCCGCAGTTCATTCTTGTATTTGTCCCTGAACTCCAGATGGATGTCGCTGAGGAACTTGTCCACGTAGCCCAGCTGTAAGATCTTCTGGAACGCCACCACGAAGACCAGCTCAAACTCATTGTCCAGCTTGTACTGCAGCGTGAGTCCGTTGTGGTCGAAGGCATTCTTCCCGGTGCGTTCCTGCGACGGGGAGAGACACGTGAAAAAGACGAATCCGGAAGCGAGTGGACAGAACTCACCTGAAGAATGACGCTGCGAATCAGTGCATTGACTGACGGGGCGAAAATCTCATTGGTCCCACGGAAGCACCACAGCACGATCCCACCCTTGGTGAAGATTGTGAATAAATCAAGCATGTTGGACAGGAAATCAACACAGAATCCCAGGGAATCACAAAAACACAGAACTGCTGCCCACGAAAGTACACGTCATTTGTCGTGAGGCGCTGAGAGCGCGCGTGTAGACAATGCGCTTTTTCTACCGCGTAGAAAATCAATGCGAAAACAGGAGGAGAATAATTGAATTTCCACTTGCGAACCCGCAATTAATCACTTTGATAAATATGAAGCAGATTTAGAAGAGAATGAAAATATCAATAGAAATGTTTTCTTCATTTTGATTGAAAATAAAAATACAGGAATGCGTCGTAAAATATTGAATCTCTTGCGGCTGTCAAATGTGGCCATCGGCCACTCGAAGTTGACCGAAGAGAGCAAAACCGATTGGAAGTGAGCCGAGCAGTGCGAGTTTTTTTGGAAAGACGACGTCAGACGGGCGTAGAATTTTCGGTGTGCGGATCTTGATGCAATTTCGAGGCAAATCAGGTGGAATTGTGTGAAAAAACCGTGTTCCCACTGTGGATTACACCCCCAAGTAGACGGTGAGTACGGAATTGTGTCGCTGAGCAGTGAAAAACAGGCCGGAAAGTGGATAGGAAAATTGGGGCTCCGCACAAAATTTTTAATGGCGGCGGATTTTCGCCTCCTCTCACTCGAGCGGGGCGCGTCGCGGCAGGAGAAAAACAGAAATGCCACATTTCCCAACGCTATTTTCACGCGCGTCTCGGCGCACTGGGCAGTTTGATTTTGACCGACGCCGGGCTCGCCGATCGCGATCGCCTCAGGATGCGGCATATCTTCTAGGTGTGGTTCAGCTTTTCTCCATTTTCACTGTGTGTTTGCCGCTCGCGGCCTCTTGCGAACGCACACAGAGAGACCGAGGCGGTTTTCTCGCGCGCGGCTCTCCGGGGCGGCGGCGGGTGGGTGAAAGTGGGTGTGTGAGTGGCTTCCAGCCCATCTTCCAGCTCAAGATCAACCTTCCAGTGCAAGTTCAATTCCTCAGTTCAAGAACCAAGAGTGAAACGTCTTGCGCTGGACCGGCTTCTCAGTGTCCCGGACGATTTCGGGCAGTGTTCTCCAGGCAGGGCAGTGACTGTCCGTCCGTCTTTCCCCGTTCTGGGCGTGAGTTATGTAAGAAAGTGCAGCAGATAAAAAGTGATTGATTCCACTTATCGGCCCGAACGTGATAAGGCATTGCTGGCTTTCCTGGAAAAGTACAATCTTCTGCTCGCATTGCTTTGCCACTATTTTCTATGGATAAATATTGATCCTAACGCAGGAATGACTGATAGGATTTTACAAATATTGTGTTTCTTTAACTGTTATATATTTTTTACTGTTATTATTAATGTTACTTTGAACGGTATGAGAAACTAATAAGAATATAATTTAGTATGTCTAATTTGCCTGCAATCGGAAAGTTTGTTGACATTTTCGTCCTAGGACAATATACGATTTTCTCATGAAATTCAGATGAAATGTCGTAAGACAAGTTGGATATGAGAAATTTTTGCTCTAATTTAGTTCTTTTTAGCAAAACCTTTCTTACAAGAATCGCAATCTATCAAAACTACCGTATTTCTTATCGTGATCAAATCCTACACCTTGAAGTGTTGCGACAAAGTACTGCACACTGTCTTAATTGTTATGCCCTTGTATTTTAAGTTATGATATCATCGCTTGTGAGACTTATTGATTTATCAACAGTTTCGCCTATCTCAAGTACAGATATAGAGTTGAAGTCTTCACGTCTTATTGTGACGTGAGTTTGAAAAGAAGTTATCAATAAGTGAACTTTTCAGCTTCTCTGTGTGTCAAAAACGAAATGTCTCGTGGTCAATTTAGCAATCAATTTCAAAATTGAACTCAACCCACCCACATTTGTGCCTCCTCTCCATTACTGGCCATCATCATCGTGACTACCACAAATATTTCCGATGCCCTTCTTAATTCAGAGGTTAAATAACACTGGTACAGAGAGTGAAATATTAAAATGATGTGTGTATGTCACTTCACGATTTGATGGAATATGAAAGTTTTGTGAGAGTTCTTCATGGAGAGATTTTTTTTGTGTGTTACGTTTCGATCTAAAGAAGTTATGTTGGCTATTTTTAGACGATACAATCTTTCGCATCGTCAAGGACTCTCTTCTTCGCCTCTCGCTCTAGCAATGAAGATTGATTTCTCATTAGGTCACCAGCAATTCTTCATTATCTCCTCTGATGTGTGTTTGTATATATTTTTTATGCTCTCTCGTGAAAAATCGTTTAATGATGGTTGGAAAAAAGTTGATGACATGGTTGTGAGATCGCTCAATTTAATAATTTCGAAGGCAAAATATGCTAAAGTGGCCTCTTTTTCTCCCCCTTTGTAACTTTGTCATTCTATGGCTTTGACTCTTTTAATTGAGGCATCCTCTTTTATATTTATATTTTGTACATTCATCGCGTTCGGCGCTGCACGAGATGATTGTGTGTGTGAGTGTGCAAATGAGTGGAGTTTTCATAATGAAAGTTCGGATGGTAACACAAAGTGTTCACACATTAAATATTCTTTTGACAGGGTGTTTTGAGACTGCGATGAAAACTTCTCCCATTTTTTATGCCCTCGCCTAATATCGCATCATTATGAGTGAGTCTCTTTTATCGCAATTTTTCTGGCTGATTAAAGCTAATTATGAGAGGCGGAATGTTGGATGGAAAGCAGAGAATTGACGGGGAGGAGAAGAAGAGATGTGAGAAAGAGTAGCGATAGTTACATTGGGAGTGTAAATTTGTGTATGGCAAAGAGGAACAAATAATTTGTGTTTCATTTTGTAGCTGAGAGAGATAAAGATGTTTCATAAATTACACAGAGAATTTGTATTTATTTTAGCTCCACTGCTGCAAAGCCATACAAAATATGTTGAACGTGCAAATTTTGTTGGAATAATATGCTTTTCTTCCTCTTTCTCTCATTTTGTCTTCACACTGTTTTCGGCTGGAATTAAAGACCGCGCGCGATAAGAAAATGTGAAATGTATTCGCGATTGTGGTGTTTTTTTTATCATAAACAATGATTTAGAAGCGAATTATGTAATTCTCTTGACTATGTCTCTTCGTATTTGAGTTTCTGTGGCGCGCGATATTTGAAATGAAAATACATCTTCACATGCTGAGAAGGTGGAGAGAACATGATGACCTTAAAGATGTGAACTCATCTCAAGATGATATTTGAGATGTGCGATTGTTGTAACATCAATTAGCGTGATTTTGTGAAAAGACTTTCGAATTGCCAACAGAGAGTGAAAAAAAGTCTGCTAAATCTAGATTTAAATTTGAGTCCTTTTTCAGCGTGCTCAGCACGCGAATCCTCATTGATTCTATCTTCAAGGTTTTCTCCTGGTGCAAAATTATGTCAGCCAAAATGAATCATCAGACGAGGTCAAGTGGAAAACGCAAAAGTTCATTTCCTATCATTTCCGAGAGAATGAGGAATCAGAATTTAAATTAATCAATAAGAGGGAAAATCATGGCGTTGTGGCTGGAAATTGAGTTAATATTTACACACACGATGGGTGAAAATGATGGCGTGACACCTCTTCCAAATCAATATTTAATAAGAGGAGCGCAGGAATGACAAATTTATCTAGATATCGCACTATTAACCGATGTTTATCTATAGTTTGTCTATCTATAGACTCTCCCATACATTCATGTGTGTGAATTTACTGGGCAATAAACTCAATTTTCGGTGACAGTTTTAATTAAAAATGCCACAACAGAGGCCAAAGCACTTTGCGGTCTGTTTGTGTCGTTTGTTTGAGAAGGAAAATAATATTCATTTATTGATTATGTGACACTTTTTCCGGCAGCATTCCTGTAATATCTTGGAAGTTTCTGATAAGAATCCAGTTTCTGATTGGAAGATAAAACTAAAACTGTCAAATGTTAAGATATTCAGAAGATAAACTCTTTTTTCACTTCGATAGGGAAGAAATTCTTTACTCAATACAGCATGTTGAGCTGTTCTTCTGTGAATTCAATTCAATGTTTTGATTAAGTCTCTCGCAAAATGATATTGAGACTCCTCTTAGGACTTTGAGTCTAGCTATCCACTGATTACACTATTGCTCTCAAGACGTGCTAATCTCTGGAGATGCGGAGGAGTTGGAGAGCAGAGTGAGTGTGTGGACATGAACGACACTTCCAGCAATTTCAATGATTAGAGGAAAGGAAGACAGGCGGATGGTGGTTTTATGGGAGAGTGAAGCAACTCGCACAGCACAACACTCCCTTCACTAACCCATTTAACGTGTATATAAGTTGGGGTACTTTGTACATAGCGTCCGGATGTGTCATCCTTTGCCTTCCCTTCTTCCTGGCGCTTTGCCTTCGTGCGGCTTTCGGCGGTGTTCAAGTGCGCAACTCGCCAATGTACTCTTGAAAATGAATTCCCGTGTTGAGCTTCCTCCATTTGTCCCACTCTGTTCTGTGTGTGCGCAAGCATTGAGTGTGGCGAAGAGGATGTTCTCATTCTGACTGGAGACTTGCTGAAAATACTGCCGGAGAAGAAGAGAGTGAGTCAAAAGGTCAATTGGAAGAGAATTCTGCCCACAAAGAATCAGTTTTTTCCATCAGTCTTCGCGGAAAGAAGGCTCCTTTCATTGAGTTATTTTCTCTGAATAGACATTTCCGGATAATTGATACAGTGTTAGTAGTTTCATCATGTTTGAGAGTAAAAATGTTTCAAGTGGCTTAATCTTGGCGTTCGTTTAACATTTTTCTCTCGCCTCTCCTCTTCGCCATCAGTTCCCGGGTGGTCGAGAGACAATACAGTGGATTGAAGGAAAGAAAAATTCATTTTCTGCACCCATATTTGTACAGTTGTATGTGATTTTTTGCGACTAAATGTGTGTGTGTAATGTGATTTTAATGATAAATTACCATGTAGAATGGGAGGATTCTTCAAATTGGAAATTTTACACATGTGAAATCGAAAATGGAGCTCTTCCCGGTTTTAGCCATGTTGAGCTGCAAATATTGAGTATTGGGACTGGAATTTAGTTGAATTATTCTCTGAAATGTTAGATATTAGCCAAATCTTTGCCTAACTTCGTCAAGCTGTTGTTAATCTCCTTTGATTTTGATCGTTTATCATGACAAAAGGTTTTCATCATAAGTCTGCGAAGAGAAATGCGCACCATAATTCTGTGAAAATTCATAAAACAAATCCTCAAAATATACAGAATGAGCTCCAATTTGGCATTCATTGCGAGATCTTCAGGATTTTCTTCTTTCTTCGCCTGAATAGCTCTTTCTATTCTCGCGAATTTTTTCACAAACGAATTAACGATCTGTTCATGAGAAGTAAAGAGTGTCAATTTCGTGAACTAGTTGTGAAAAGGCACAAAAATTACATTATTCAACGCTTTTGCATCCTTGGCCAATTCCTCATAAGACTCGATAACACTTTTTGACTCCATGATGTTAATTTGCGTGATTTTAACTGATTTAAGAATCGTTTTTACACTACTTTTCCCGACTTTCGGTTGACGGAGAATAAATCCTAAAAAAACAATAATATTTGCCATTGCCGCCTGCGAGAAGTGGCAAAAAACAGCGGCAAGAAATAAATTTTTCGTGAAAAATTAATTCTACGTGATTTAATGTGGCTTCCACAATCTAACAGTGACTTTTCCCTCTGTGTTATTATCATATATTTCTGTGAAATCTGCCCTGAAGAATGGCATTTAGACGTATCGTTCGTGACTGCAGAAAATTGAGCTTGAGAATGTGTCCTCCAAAGCACAAATTCACGCTAGTCTTGGATACACATATTTTTAATTCTTAACATCGTAAACTCAGAGGGAGTTTTCCAAAGGCAACATGAGGAAAACCAACAGAGTTCAGAGAGTGTGTGTTAAAAACGCACGGTTTGAGGGACGGAAAAGTGTGCTTGTACTGCAGAGAAATCAATAAATCCACAGACGCAGGACATTTTGAGAGTTCTCATGTGTGTATTTATAAAATTGTCAATGTGCTATAAATAATTATTTACCCAGTGCATTGTACTTTATCATACCAAAAATACCACGAATAGGGGTAAGTGGGGCAGCTTCAGATTCAAAATGCTGTTCCAACTTTAGGATTTTTTCTTGAAAAATCGGCTGAATATATTGAAATAATCACAACGCTCAAATAAACTCTCGTCTATTGAGCTTCAGAAAATGCCTTTCATTGGGCATTAAAACTGATCGTTTTTCCTCTAAAGGAGATTAAAAATAATATTGTAATTAATCTGAAACTGCCCCGCACGGGGATGTTTCGGATTGCTCTGGGGCAGTTTCAGATTTTCACTTATATTTACCATAAATTCCATTGTGGAATTGTAGAATCGCGAACAAATGATCACTTTGATATCTCTTCTACACACTGAAACTGTTTATTTCGCTAAAAATCGCCTTTAAAGTAATATTTTCGCGACTTTTCTGGACCCTTGCACGCACTGTCAAAATGTCTGAGCGAAAAGCAAGTTGCCCGTCATTTTTCCTGTGTCGCAACGCCACCATGCGTGAGTGGTGGCAACTTCAGTGCCACCACAAATCAAATCAGTGCAAATCAGTGTTTTTCGCTTGTATTTTCTCACTTTTCCACTAAGAAGTCGTTTAACGTGATGAAGCAATGCAGCACAGAACGGCACTTTGTGAAAAATCTTCAATATTTGCCACAAGAAAATTTCGACCGTGATGTTGCGTCAGACTGTCAGAGCGCGCTGTTGTCAGTCCGTGGCGATCCGAAACTGCCCCGTGTGCAGTGTTTGTGCATTTTCCACCACCCACTGAAAAGGCCGTGATCAGGAGGAAAAGTTCGGGCATATTTAGAATCTCTACTTAACTCTCAATAACCTTTGATTGTGTTTCACGCGAATTGTGGCTTTTTTAATGGAGAAAACACGCAATCAATTCGGCAGCAAAATTCTAGTTTGTGAGTGATTTTCAATTTTCACTTATTTTATCTAAACAGTCAAGGCAATCCTGTGCAAATTTTCGTCAATTGTAGTCCTTAAGGACTACAAACATTGTGTGAAGACCAGGAATTTATTCATGCAAAAATCTCTGAGAAAATTAAGAAATCTGAAACTGCCCCAATCTGAAGCTGCCCCATTTACCCCTAGTGTTGGGTGAGAATTTAATGTGGAAGAAGAGGATTTCCTTTTTACACCATTTGTTGTATTTGGAAGCGCGAGACAAAGGCAAAAATTTTGGCCCACAATCGATAAACACTGACCTACTTTCGTACCTTTCTTCTTATTCGGAGTATCTTTTAACTCTCAAATAATTGTGAGGGATTGAATTGCGAATTTTCCTCTCGTGCAGAAAATTTCATTGAGAAATATGCAGAAAATGGAATATTTTTCTCACAATTGAACTGTATGTTTTTCACACAAGAACTTGTCATTTTCATTTGTGTGTTTGTGGAAGAGAGAAAAAAGTCACTCTTTTTTTCTCTCTTATTCTGTAATTCATTACGCACATGACGAGAGTTTATAGTGGCTTTTTTTGTCATACAGTTGAAGAATGTTCTGAGAAAAGGTTTTGTAGCACTTGAAAGAAGTCCAATTTTAACGGTATATTTTACATACAAACGATACAAACACAATAAACTTCCGTGGATTAAAATGTTGGTCTGAAAGATTCTCTGTGTTTCTCGATGCTTTAATATTTCTCTGCTATCGGAATTGAACATAGAATTTCAATATAGAAGAAGTACACTTTATTGCAAGAAAACTGGAGACATTTGAAGTTGAAGATCATTCACACGTTTTCCTGTTTGGAGTGGTTTAACAGTACTCAGCAAAGTTCTTCACTGAGTATCAAAATTGTCACGCTTGAAGCAACAAATACAGTGAAAAAGAAATCTTTCTCATTTGCATAAAATATGATAATTCAAGAGTGGAGTGGAGTGAAGTGAATTGTTGTGAAAAGTTTGAGTTTGCAGGTGATTTTTCATTGATTTATTCATCGTGTTGTGACTTGTGACACACTGCAAAGTCTCACGCCTTTGGCTGTAAACATACATACTTCTCAATCTCATGATCACGTAATGTGGAATCAAGGCATGAATACAGATGCCGTTTTATAGCCACTATTTGATGCTTTTTTTTCATAAGAGTGAAAAAGAGATTATATTGAGAAGTTCAATAAACTATCGAGAGAAAGAATCGACGATTGACATGATAGATGAGATGAGAAGGAAGTGCGCGAAGCTTGATTATATTTTATGACTTATCTGGCTGAGAGTAAATAAACTCAATCGATCCAATTAATTGAGAACAAAATGGAAAACATTGAGTGATTACATACAAATTGCTTGTGATAAGGAAAAGTGGAAATGAAATGATTTTCAATGAAATGCAAGCAAAAAAAGAGGGAGAATTGTTCGGGTGACTTTAGCAATTGTGTGATAATCTAATTAATTGCGAATGACTGTGAAGTCTCTGTTCATAAAATAAAGTGACTCTTGATGGTGTTTTACACTCTATTTTAGCTCTATGAATATTTTTCTGCATATCTCACTGACCAATTCAATTTGATTCTAATTGGAAAAGGATGACATCATACGGAATATAACACAAACACATTACGTAATGCCTCTCATTTTATACACAATATATTCAGCCTCTCGTCATCTCTGTCTTTTTTATTTAACAACATCGAATTCAACTGCGAATTGTGGTCGAGCGGAATATTGGAGTGAATGAGTTCGTGTGATGATGTGAAGTCCTAATAAAATATCTCACTGTCTATGACAGTGAATATGCCATTATATTCTAAATATAAAGTCACTGCGATGATCATTTATGGTCCGTGTTTGGAGAGTGAGGATGAAAATGACTTGGAGGGTAATTGGTATAAGGAAAAGTTGCAATTACGATGGAGTAAACTTTTTGTTTCATTTGATCAACATCAACACGCGATTCGCAAACCTCTCCCTTCATTTTACTGTCGGATTATTAATCGGACAAGGTTTAGCAAACACTAAATATATTGGCTGATGGTGTTCTATTCTTCATGGTTATTTCACGTGTGGGTAAAAAGGGTGTCAGGTGGTGTGAAATAATCTCTATTGATTGCACAGTGACCGAGAGATTGAGTGGCAAAAAAGGTCCACGCAACAAAGGACTTATTAGTTAAGCACTGTGTTACATTTTGTACCATTTCTTTTGAAATGAAACTTGTGTATTTTGTCTTTCTTGGCGTGACCACAGAAGACAGATGTTATTCCGCTCAACTCTAATTACGATGTAATTTTAACACCTTGATTGTGTGATAAAATTTACCTATTAATGGGCCAATTAAGTAGCAATAAATGATGTTACTGCACATGAATAGGTCTGCAATATCTTGCCTGGCGCCATTTATGTGTGCCGAAGAATGTCCCGTGGATTTTCTCACTCTATTTGCCGGAGAGAGGAAGCTCAAGCAGGGAATGGGATATCGATTAATTTGTCACTATGGCTGTGCTGTATGTATAGCAGGGAGTTTTGTAGGGGAGAAAAGTCGAACGTTGTTGCTTCTCTCCAGACACCATGTCGTCGCCCTCTTTTATGCCGCACTTCCCTGAATATATATATGGCTCTAGCATGAAATCATCAGTAGAGACGAAGAAGAGAAAAAAACGCTTTCCAATGATAGAGATTCTATATGCATAGAAGGGAAAATGAGGGGAAAAACAGTGTTCTAAATATGTCAAATTGCGCATGATTCAATTTTCTACAAGGCAACGAGAATACATGTATAGAAAGTTGTGTGAAAAATGTGTTATGCTCATGAAGAGAAGTTCAATGTAAATGACCTGATGAATTGTTAAATGGATGAACTGATGTGTGTGTGCTTTTCCACCATTGCAGATTGCAGCACCGGCCTTTCGGGGTTTGCTGCCTCAGGAGTTCTAGTGTGACAACAGAGGATTTTACATAACAATGACAACAGATATTTCCGTGGTGCGCTGGGATCCCAGCCAGGGAACCGGTGGAGAGTACATTGATGAGTATGAGTACGATGGAGGAAATTCTAGCTCCCGTCTTTTCGAACGATCACGAATTAAGGCGCTGGCAGGTGAGTTTTATCTTTCGCTTGATTAAATTCATGTTTAACTTACTGAATTGAGTAACATATTTCCCCTTGTCACTTAATAGAGGAACGTGAAACCGTGCAGAAGAAGACCTTCACGAAGTGGGTGAATTCACACTTGGTGCGTGTGAATTGTCGCATTCAGGATCTCTATGTGGACATGCGAGATGGAAAGATGTTGATCCGTTTGCTGGAAGTGCTGTCCGGTGAGCGTTTGCCAAAGCCGACCAAGGGAAAGATGCGAATACACTGCTTGGAAAATGTTGACAAGGCCCTGCAATTTCTGCGTGAACAGCGTGTTCATTTGGAGAATATTGGCTCCCATGATATTGTCGATGGAAACTCCAGTTTGAATCTGGGTCTCATCTGGACGATTATCCTGAGATTCCAGGTAAGAATTGATGTGAAGGTAGATTTAGGGAATTGATTGACTGATGAAGTGATTGATGTGTTTGCAGATTCAAGACATTACGATTGAAGAGGTGGACAACAAGGAGACGAAATCCGCCAAGGATGCTCTACTGCTGTGGTGTCAAATGAAAACTGCCGGCTATCAGAATGTGAATGTGAGGAATTTCACCACTTCCTGGCGCGATGGCTTGGCATTCAATGCAATAATACACAAACATCGTCCGGATTTGATACAATTTGACAAATTGTCCAAGACCAATCCAATTCACAACTTGAACAATGCCTTCAACGTAGCCGAAGACAAGTTGGGATTGACAAAGTTGCTCGATGCTGAGGATGTGTTCGTTGAGCATCCGGATGAGAAGTCAATAATCACGTATGTTGTGACGTACTATCACTACTTCAGCAAGATGAAGCAGGAGACGGTGCAGGGCAAGCGTATTGGCAAAGTTGTGGGTATTGCCATGGACAATGAGAAGATGATTAATGACTATGAGACATTCACTAGTGATCTGCTAAAGTGGATTGAGAGCACGATTGTCCTGCTCGGCGATCGCACATTTGCCAACTCACTGTTGGGTGTGCAGCAGCAATTGGGTCAATTTGCAAATTATCGCACAGTGGAGAAGCCGCCGAAGTTTGTGGAGAAGGGCAATTTGGAGGTGCTCCTGTTCACGCTCCAGTCGAAAATGCGGGCGCACAATCAGAAGCCCTACACGCCCAGGGAGGGCAAAATGATTTCCGACATCAATAAGGCGTGGGAGCGCCTCGAGAAGGCGGAACACGAGCGAGAGTTGGCGCTGAGGGAGGAATTGATTAGGCAGGAGAAGCTTGAGCAATTGGCGGCTCGCTTCAATCGCAAGGCATCGATGAGGGAGACATGGCTGTCGGAGAATCAGCGTCTTGTGAGTCAGGACAACTTTGGCTTTGACTTGGCCGCCGTGGAGGCCGCTGCGAAGAAGCACGAGGCCATTGAGACGGACATCTTTGCGTACGAGGAGCGCGTGCAGGCCGTGGTGGCGGTGTGCGATGAACTGGAAGCGGAGCGCTATCATGATATTGAACGCATCATTGCCAGAAAGGAGAATGTGCTGAGATTGTGGAATTACTTGTTGGAATTGCTGCGAGCTCGCCGAATGCGCCTTGAATTCTCCATGCAGTTGCAGCAGAACTTCCAGGAGATGCTGTATATTCTTGACTCAATGGAGGAGATCAAGCAGCGTCTGCTCACCGATGATTACGGCAAGCACTTGATGGGTGTGGAGGACCTGCTGCAGAAGCACTCACTCGTGGAGGCGGACATCAATGTGCTGGGCGAGCGTGTGAAGGTCGTGGTGCAGAATTCACAGCGTTTCCTCGGCGAGGAGGTCGATGGCTACAAGCCGTGCGATCCTGCGATAATCGTGGACCGAGTGCAGCAACTCGAAGATGCCTATGCTGAATTAGTGCGACTGGCAGTTGAGCGTCGCTCGCGCCTTGACGAATCCCGCCAGCTCTGGCAGTTCTACTGGGACATGGCGGACGAGGAGAATTGGATCAAGGAGAAGGAGCAGATTGTCTCGACTGGAGATATTGGGCATGATTTGACAACGATTCACTTGCTGCTGTCGAAGCACAAGGCACTGGAAAGTGAGATTCACTCACACGATCCGCAGCTGATGTCAGTGGTGTCTGTGGGTGATGAATTGGTGCGCCAGGGACACTTTGGTGCCGACAGAATTAAGGATCGTCTCAAGGAGATCCTTGCGATGTGGAATCACTTGCTGGACTTAACGGCCTATCGTCGGAAGCGTCTCGAGGACGCTGTCGACTACTTCCAGATGTTTGCCGATGCCGATGATATTGACACATGGATGCTAGATACGCTGAGATTGGTGTCGTCTGAGGATGTTGGGCGTGATGAGGCGAATGTGCAGAGTTTGCTGAAGAAGCACAAGGATGTGGCGGATGAGCTGAAGAATTATGCTGATACTATTGAGCAGCTGCACAATCAAGCCAAGGCGCTGACACTGAACGAGGAGGAGCAGAAGAATGTATCTGAACGCTTGGCGGCGATTGATGCACGCTACAAGGAGCTCTTGGAGTTGTCCAAGTTGCGCAAGCAGCGTCTGCTCGATGCACTGTCACTGTACAAACTCATGTCTGAGGCTGATGGTGTTGAGCAATGGATTGGCGAAAAGGAGAAGATGCTGAAGACAATGACACCGGGCAAGGATATTGAGGATGTTGAGATCATGAAGCATCGCTATGATGGCTTCGACAAGGAGATGAATGCTAATGCTTCTCGCGTGGCAGTTGTCAATCAACTCGCCAGACAATTGCTCCACGTTGAGCATCCGAATTCCGAGGAAATTCTCGCCAGGCAGAATCATTTGAACCAAGAGTGGTCGAAGTTGCGCGATCAGGCCGAGTCGAAGCGTGATCAACTGAAGAATGCCCACGGCGTGCAGACATTCTACATTGAGTGCCGTGAGACAATCTCGTGGATTGAGGACAAGAAGAGGATTCTCAATGAGACGGACAATCTGCAGATGGACTTGACTGGTGTGATGACACTTCAGCGTCGTCTGAGTGGCATGGATCGCGACTTGGCGGCCATTCAGGCAAAACTCAATGCTCTGGAGAGTGAAGCGGCGTCAATTGAGAATGAACATCCGGAAGAGGCGGCTCTGATTCGTGAGCGCATTGCGCAGATTCAACTGATTTGGGAGCAATTGACGCACATGCTGAAGGAGAGAGACAGCAAACTCGAGGAGGCTGGAGATTTGCATCGCTTCCTGCGTGATTTGGATCATTTCCAGACGTGGTTGACCAAGACACAGACAGATGTCGCAAGTGAGGATACGCCGACGTCACTGCCGGAGGCTGAGAAGCTGCTGAATCAGCATCAGAGCATCCGCGAGGAGATTGACAACTACACGGAGGATTACAGCAAGATGATGGAATATGGCGAAGGATTGACTTCTGATCCCACACAAACGGAAGATCCGCAGTACATGTTCCTGCGTGAACGTCTAAAGGCTCTGAAGGACGGCTGGGAGGAGCTGCATCAGATGTGGGAGAATCGTCAGGTGTTGCTGTCTCAGAGTCTCGATCAGCAATTGTTCAACCGTGACGCCCGTCAGGCTGAAGTGTTGCTGAGTCAGCAGGATCACTTCCTCAGCAAGGACGACACACCGCAGAATCTGGAGCAGGCGGAGCATCAGCTGAAGCGTCATGAGGCATTCCTCACGACCATGGAGGCCAATGATGACAAGATCAACACGATTGTTCAGGTGGCGGACACTCTGGTAGAGAAAGAGCACTATGATGCCGATAAGATTCACAAGAGGGCTGATTTGATCAATCAGCGTCGTGACACGAATCGTGAGAAGGCGGTGGATCAGCACGAGAAGCTGAAGAATCAGCTGAAGTTGCACGAGTTCCTGCAGGACCTGGAAGAATTGACCGAGTGGGTGCAGGAGAAACATATCATAGCCCAGGATGAGACGTACAGAAGCACCAAGACCATTCACTCCAAGTGGACCAGACATCAGGCCTTCGAAGCGGAGATTGCAGCCAACAAGGAGCGTCTGTTTGAGGCGGAGAAAGCCGCTGAGGAGCTGATGAAAGAGAAGCCAGAGTTCCGGGAGATCATTGAGCCGAAACTGAAGGATTTGAGGAAGCAATTTGATGAGCTGGAGACGACGACCAAGAGCAAGGGTGCTGAATTGTTCGATGCTAATCGCGAGGTTCTAGTTCAACAGACATGTGATGACATTGACTCCTACATCACCGACTTGGAGAAGCAGATAATCAATACAGACACTGGAAATGACCTGACATCCGTCAATATTCTCATGCAGAAGCAACAGGTGATTCAGACGCAGATGGCCGTGAAGGCGCGTCAGGTGGAGGAGATGGATAAGCAGACGGATTATCTACAGAAGACAATTCCGACGGAGCAAGTTGAGCCGTTGGTGACGAAGAAAGTCGCGGTGTCTGAGCGATTTGAGCGCATCAAGGCGCCATTGTTGGAGCGTCAGAAGCAGTTGGAGAAGAAGAAGGAAGCCTACCAGTTCCGTCGTGATGTTGAGGACGAGAAATTGTGGATTGATGAGAAGCTTCCACTGGCCAATTCCTCGGACTTTGGCTCATCGCTCTTCAATGTCCATGTGCTGAAGAAGAAGAATCAGAGCCTCGCCACGGAGATTGACAATCACGAGCCGCGCATTCACACGATCTGCAATAATGGGCAGAAGTTGATTGACGAGGGCCATGAGGATACCGATGAGTTCAAGGAACTCATCAGTCAATTGGCAGAGAAGTGGCAGGAGTTGAAAGATGCCGTTGACACACGTCGCAGACATCTGGATAATTCGGAGAAGATTCAGCAGTACTTCTTCGACGCCGCCGAAGCGGAATCGTGGATGAGTGAGCAAGAGTTGTACATGATGGTGGAGGATCGCGGCAAGGATGAGATCAGTGCGCAGAATCTGATGAAGAAACACGACTCGCTTGAGCAATCGGTGGAGGATTATGCGGCCACGATTCGTCAGCTGGGCGAGACTGCGCGTCATCTGACAGCCGAACAGCATCCTTACGGAGACGCCGTGGCACTGAAGCAGTCGCAGCTGGACAAGTTGTACGCTGGACTCAAGGATCTGGCTGGAGAGCGTCGTGCGCGTCTGGATGAGGCTCTGCAGCTGTTCATGCTGAATCGCGAGGTGGACGATCTGGAGCAGTGGATCGCCGAGAGAGAACTCGTGGCGGTGTCGCAGGAATTGGGTCAGGACTACGATCATGTGACTCTGCTCTGGGAGCGATTCAAGGAGTTCGCTCAGGAGACAGCCGCCGTTGGTGGCGAGCGCGTGGCCAAGGCGAATGGCATTGCTGATGACTTGATCCATGCTGGGCACTCAGATGCGGCTCTGATTGCTGAGTGGAAGGACAATTTGAATGAGTCTTGGCAGGATTTGTTGGAGTTGATTGACACGCGCACTCAGATGTTGGCCGCTTCGCGTGAGCTCCACAAGTTCTTCCACGATTGCAAGGATGTTCTGGGACGGATTCTGGAGAAGCAACACGGTGTGTCTGACGAACTGGGTCGCGATGCTGGTTCCGTGTCGGCACTGCAGAGGAAGCACAATAACTTCATTCAGGATCTGATGACGCTGTACTCGCAGGTGCAACAGATTCAGGAGGAGTCGGCCAAGTTGCAGGCCAGCTATGCTGGTGACAAAGCCAAGGAGATCACAAATAGGGAGCATGAAGTGTTGGCCGCATGGGCCAACTTGCAGGGCATTTGTGAGGCGCGAAAGGGCAAATTGGCCGACACTGGGGATCTGTTCAAGTTCTTCAACATGGTGCGCACGCTGATGCTGTGGATGGAGGACGTGGTGAGGCAGATGAATACGTCTGAGAAGCCAAGAGATGTGTCCGGTGTGGAGCTGTTGATGAACAATCATCAGAGCTTGAAGGCGGAAATTGACACGCGCGAGGACAACTTTGCCGCTTGCCTGTCTCTGGGCAAGGAGCTTCTCTCCAGGAATCACTATGCCGCGCAGGACATCAAGGATCGCCTTGTTCAACTCACAAACAGTCGCAATGCACTGCTTCATCGCTGGGAGGAGCGCTGGGAGAATTTGCAATTGAGTAAGTGTGAAAATTGCTTTGTCGTGGCGGGAATTTCCGATTAATGTGATGATTTACTTTCAGTTCTGGAGGTGTACCAATTCGCTCGTGATGCTGCCGTTGCCGAAGCGTGGCTGATAGCACAAGAACCGTATCTGATGTCCACTGAACTGGGCCACACTATTGATGAGGTGGAGAATTTGATTAAGAAGCACGAGGCATTTGAGAAGTCAGCTGCTGCCCAAGAGGAGAGATTTAGTGCTTTGGAGCGATTAACTACGGTGAGTCGATCTGAATGGATTTCCCTTGGAATTGACACTGAATGTCTGCTTGGTTTTCGTTGCAGTTTGAGCTCAAGGAGATGAAGCGCCGCCAGGAGGCTGCCGAAGAGGCGGAGAGACAGCGCAAGCAGGCCGAAGCTGATGCTCGTGCTGCGCAAGAGGCCCAAGTTGAGGCCGCTCGTCAGGCTGAGGCGTCAGCCAGGGATTCAGCCGATGCACCAGGATCACCGCATTCTGGACAGCACGAAGCCGGTGAGTCAGACATATTGCTGTGTATGTTGCTGGAGATTTCACTCCGGCGCGCTGGGGATGCAAAATGACGGAGAATTTCATGCTCCTTTGTATGTTTTCTCTACTCATTTCCTTTAATCATCTCGCAAACGCATTGTTTTCTCACGTTTTTTACCACTCTTTCTGTTTGTATTCTGTCAATTCACCCATTATTATACCGATGAAATTGTGTTTTTTGGTTTTAGTCTCACTCATTGAATACAGATTTATTGTGTGGTGGAAAAGATTGGAAAGGAAGAACTAATGCAAAATTTTTCACACTATCTTTCTTACACGCTACCAATAAAAATAATCACTGAATTGTCCTAAAATGAAATTGAAACTGTAAAAACAACTGAAATGCTAAAAATTCACTGGTGACATTGATAAATGATAATAAACTACAGTAACTATGAGAGCTGCCTCGCCTGTGGCCACAGAAAGACCTATTTCGCAGACAGGTACTAAGAAAGTAGTTGGTTCACATAGTCACAGTGTTTCTCTGTTATCACTGGTTTTATTCCTTTTCCCGTTCAGCTCTTTCTCTTTCTCTGTTTTTCATTGAATATATATATTCGAATGAAAATGTGTATTAAGTGTTAAATTTATGCTAAAATAGTATAATCTGAGATAATTTAATTTTCTATGTCTTCTTCCGAAAAAAAAACAATTGAGTTTCCACGTATGAAAATCTTGTTCTAATTTCCCTTTTGCTCATATTATTGGTCACACTGTGCAAGAAGCGTGTAAATGGAATTATTATTCGGCTTTGTGGCTGCTGTTTAAGCGCTGAGAAAAAACGGTGTTTTGGTTTTTCAACCGAAAAATGAGCTCAATTGTTGAGTGATTTATGAAATTTCATGATTCTTGCACAAAGTGACGATAAATGTCTCTAGAAACGTGTTTTTTATTCCTGCTTCTGTGACTATTTTTTTATTCTCCTCTCCCTAAGAAGAAAAGGTCGAACTTTTAACACATAAATCTTGATAATTATTGTGTAAAAAAAATCTCTCTCCTGAGATGCGAGAAAAAGGTTTTGGATCTCTTGACACATCCTCACTGTCTCCCTTCCTCTGCTGCTGGTGTGTTATTTAATCATGGCAAGAGTGTACTTAATGTCACATAAGATATATTTCTGTATACATTTCTACACCCTTCGCTATAATGTATACAGAAAAATGTTGGTGTTTGTCTACATACAAAAGAGTTTTCTGTCTGTTTTTATTTCCCTCTCTCCCAAAGAATGGTTTTATTTCCGTGCTTGGAAAAAGGGAAAAAGGAGCGGGGTTGATGGCATTTCTGGGTGCTTTTAACACTTTTGCTGAGTAATATATTAATTAGTGATATCATGGCGAGAATGTGACTGTAATATATTTAGTATTCACATGTAACTTTACACAATAATTACACAAAATCTATGCAGACTTGTGTAGAGACTGAGGTTGAAGGTAAATAGATTTACCACTAAGGCATTAATTGTGTGGCTTTTCCAAGGCAAAATGTTTGAGGTAAGAGGATATTTCTTGATGTAATTCACTTCATAATGCTTGTTTTTGCTTGGCTTCGGCAAGAATTTTTATTTTTATTTAATTTGCATGACGTATTTATTTTGTTTTTATTTATTATTTTCTGTAACATTGCTATAAAACAAGGCACAGTGCATGAGAATGTAATGCATGATACAGGCAGTAATCGGAAGGATGTGAGAAGTGGCGACAATGGTGGTCAAGATATACCACCGCAAGTTGTTCCCATTGGGATTATGAAGAAAACCTCACGTATGTATAATATTGTACTCGCTTCTTATAATGTAAAACACATTATCACGACTTTAGCACATGATTTCCCCTCATTTATACAACACTCTTTATTTCTCCTTTGCACGAATACTTTTTTATATGGTCATTAGGCATGAAAAGCACGATTTTCTCAAGATTGGCGTATATATTTCTTTAGATTTATTTATTATTTACTTTCTACTAAAAGTACCAAAATTGGGTGCGGTTTTGGGTGATAATAACAGTTTATTAACCAAAATTTTTAGAGGTGAATGCTGACTATTGAAATGAAATCATAAAAATCAATAACAATAACTGTGTCTCAATTTTGCCATCAAAATCAAGAAATTAAATTGTTACGTTAGAGTTTTTGTTTCAGATATCATAATTTCAAGAATTAAATATCTTGACGAAACTTGATGGCAGAATTGAGAACACTCTCCTCATTTAGTTATATTAAATTGAATTTTTTTATTTATTTATTGCAATTTATTATTTCTCATCATTTGTTTTGTGTCTCTTTGTCCATTTTTTCATATTATTTGCGCTGTTGTGTTAAAATAACTTCCCACAAACAAATACGAACAAAAATTGCCATTCATGTGAAAAAACCACACGCACAAACATCAATCGACAGCCCGGTCTCAGCAAAGACGTGGAACGCCGGGAGCGTCGCCGAGGGGAGATCCACTGACGCCGGGCAGTGGAGGCTCCTTGAAAATTGGCCGGAGATCGCGCTCGAAGAGCCCGTTCCGTTCGTTCAGATGGAAACGTGGTTCATCGCGCACGATCGATGACGACGAAGAAGGTATTTTGTGCTGCATTTCTTATTATTTATTATTAACATTAGTAGAGATGTTTCATCATTATTATATACATATGTGCTACCATTTATTATTATGTGACTTTGTGTTTGTTGGGGAGAATAATGCAATTATGTTTGTTGTATTTGAGTAAAGAGAATCATTAGGAAAAACGTTCGTTAGAGACAAATCATGTAAGATGAAGATGAATTTTACTATGCTTTTATTTTTGTGAATGTGCATGCCAGGAATTGTATTAATGATCCATGTATCAGATGTTCCTTAGTCAGGGAGACCCAATGCCACTCTACTATGTAGATAAACACAGACAGACAGACAAAAGTGCGGGGAAAAAGTGAATCTGAAGAGGAGGAAAAGTGCCATCGAAGAAGAGAGGAAGAAAATGCGACGAATAGAAAGATCCCTTCCTTGCTTTCTATAGATGTTGACATTTTTTTTTTTCTTTGCAAGATTACTTATTGTTCTAAAATGAAATGTCATCTTTCTGGCATTGCTAATATTCCACCATGTTTCGTGTGCAGATCGTCCAAGTCCAGGAGCTGAAGATGGTGCTGTTGAAGGAAGTCTCACGAGGAAACACGAGTGGGAGAGTAACATGAAGAAGGCGTCCAATCGATCATGGGATAAAGTGAGAATCATTGCATTATTATTACCCAGCGTTAAATCTGCGAATTGAGGAAGAAGGCGGAGTTAAAATATCTTTTATGAATGCTTTCCTCCCCATTGCAGGTTTACTGTGTGTGCCGAAACGGACGATTGTCATTCTACAAGGACCAAAAGTCGGTGAAAGCTGTGCCAGAGCAGACTTTCCGTGGTGAAGCGCCACTCGAGTTAACTGGCGCCAGTGTTGATGTGGCCAGTGACTATACAAAGAAGAAGCACGTGTTCAGAGTCAAGTGAGTGTCCCATTGACGCTGTCTTTGACGTGAATTGCTCACGATGTTTATCTTGTTCTTTCACTAGATTGGCGAACGGGGCGGAATTCCTGCTGCAGGCGCACGATGACAATGAGATGCATCAGTGGGTGGCGGCTCTGAAGGCGCAATGCGACCAGGGCGCGGGTGGCGAGAGTCGCTCTCAGACTCTGCCGGCGTCACTGCAGAAGGATGAACAGAAGAAAAGATCGTTCTTTACACTAAAGAAAAAGTAAATATTGCCCATTATTCACAAGTCACCAAAACACACAAGATACATGAAAAAAGATATGCTCTCAGAGAAAAGAATGATACACGCAACATTATGGCTTTCTTCCCCAACTCTGTCTGAAGCTGAGTGGGATTTTTCCGGCATAATGTTGTTTACTTTAGTTTTCTCCTCTGTTTTTTTCTCTGTTTATCCCTTTTTCTAATGTTTCTCAAAGAGAAAGTATAATTGGCGTCTCGTGAAGAGTCTATTGCTTGATACATTTCTATTTTAGTTTCCTATACAATCTGTCTGTTCTGTATTCACGGTTGTTGTTGTGCGATAAATTGAAAAATATGTGCACCTTTTCTAAATTCTTCTTGTCTCTCTGTTATCACGACACTTTCCATTTTATACTCTCACACTTGTCATAAAGAGTCTCTAAGTAAGTGATTTTTTTGTGTAAAAACTTGCATTTAAAACTTTAACCAACACGATGAAAGAGAAAGATTCTATTCTAAAGGAAAATACTAATTGATTGAATGATTTTGGGAAATCATTCACTCTCCATTTATAAGGAAAAAAATTCTCCAATTTTAACTCTCTCTAGTGTTTTTGAATGTTTGCAAAATATCTATCCATTAAAGAAAGAAAAATCAACATAGCAGATAAAAAGCGAATTAATGAAATGAAATTGATAACTTTGCCATGTTCGAGCCACAAAAAAAACAGAATAAATTCATTGAAATAGAATTAAATAGTAAATGAAAAGAATACATTTTGTAGTTCATAAGACAAACTAATAAGATTGTTATACTCTTTGTAATAATTGTAGCGATGAGAATGACAATGGGAGAAGATGTAACTTTTCAAGCATTACCGTATTTCGAGTGTTTTTACCGAGCATAGAAAATATTAAAGAAAAAAATAGAGGAAAAGTAGTAGAAAATGGAAGCAGAAATATGTCATGGAAATCAAAAAAAATGAATCATAAACATTTGTGGTGTCTATATGAGAATATTCTCACATGAAATTGTGACAAGTTGCTTATCTGTTTCTGGTATTTGCATGCAAATCACATTTCTCGTCTCTTTAGTTAATTTGTCCAAATTTTCCCGGTGATTAGACTCCTTTTTGTCCAGTGAAATGTTGGGTTGTTTCTGTGAAATGAGGCAATTTTATGTATTCTACTCTAGAAGACTATCAATCACTATTGGCTTTACTATTTAATCCTTGTATTTATTTTATCATGTGCTTTTTGGCTTGCGAAGAAACACTTCTCTTTTATCAATCACACCATTTTTCCTTTTTCTTTCTATGGAATGTTTGGAACACAAATGACGAAGAAAAAAAATGAGAGAGAAAGTGTATTTTAGAAGAATGGAAAATATCAATTTTTCTTTTTTTTCTATTTCAGTTAAAGAAAAGAAAATTGAAAAAGCGTTCAGCAACAACGTGAAAGATTTTTGGGAAAGATATAAAATAATTATATTTTATCATTAATGATTCAACAAGATTAAGTGAATAATAAGTGGGGAAAAGAATATTAATTGATTATGAGGGATACAAACAATTGAAAAAATATAAGTTTAGGAGTTTAGAGAATAAAGAAAAAATTATAAATTGTTAAAGAAACAAAAGATGAAACTATCCTAATAGGAAAAGAGATCCCAAGTATATTTACACCAGATTTTTCCATATTGTTATTTTATCTAAACTTTGCTCTAGTATTTCTTTAATCGAAAGAAATATTTAGCTTCAGAAGTCCCCGATTATTTTTCTTTAATTTGTCTCTGATTGTCCTCGAAAAAAAAACACGAGCATGTTAGTAAATTTCCATTCAATGTAATTGTGGGTAATCTTTTAGGATGGTAAGAAATTAATTACTAATATTTTTGTAGAATTTTAAATTGAATGTTAAGGAAAGAAGATTGAGCATTAAAAAAAGTGTAATTTGTATGGAGATAAAATGCTTCTTTTCAATGGGTTTTTCGCACCATTGAAAAACTCCATTGAGAAGAGTGTAAAATTAAGATGAAAAAAAGCATCACAAGAAAAATGTCAAGCTTTTCCAAGAAAAATCCAATGAACTCCTTTTTATTGAATGTTTGCTAATGAAACAAATACTGTTTGAAACTTTTCACGATATTTTTGAGAAACTTGCTATAAGAGTGAATTTGCTGAGAAAATACTTGATTTTGTCCTTTTTATTTGCAACAATAAAAGAAAGCAAGTGAAATTGTGTGTTCGAAATATTAATGAAAAATGTCTATAAAATTAAATTATTTAGTAAGTGAAGAAAAACAGCTATTATAAATGATAATTTATATATTTTTATTCTCCCCTCAAAATATTTTAATATATTATCCTGACTAGATTAATAAAAAGTTTTATCCATGATAGAGAAAGAAAAAAAAATAATTGCAATTTTCGCTAGAGCAAAAACATCCCATTGAAGGTTTGAGAAAACAAAAATATAAAATATGCTTTGAAAAAGTAACTAAAAGCTATTCTATACACTTCGAGAAGGAAGAAATCTAGTTCGTAAGAAAGATTAAGAGAAGAAAAAACGTCATCCTACTGTGTATTATCATTATTATAAATTAATTATAAAACTGCCAGCTTCTTTGAAGATGTTCGTCAATGAGAGTAAGCTTAGCATTGTGGGCAGAAAAGAAAAAAAAGAGAAGATGATGGCATGAAACGGTTGGTAAAATTCACGAGAATGTATTTTAATTGCAAAAAGTCGTTTAGTACAAAAGAAATTTTAAAATGAAAAAAATGGAATCATAATGAGAGAGTTATTTAGTAATTCTAGGCCTGCCTTTCTATGATTTCTCACCCAAGTCGATGATCAACGCGCATTTACTTTCGCCCCTTCCAATTTCTCAATTTCTCACTGAAAAAGTCACTGGAAGAAATTGACGATGAGCAGCGAAGAGGACAAAAATTTGTATGAAAAATATTGCCGAAAGGGAGAGAAAACAAATCCAAGCAGATGTTCATTGAATCCCATGAATGTGTAACTGGAAAATAGCAAGAGTTGTCACACTGATTTGTCTCTGAACAAGAATATTATACATTATATTAAAGCTTCTTATAAAATTACATTTGGTGGTTTTATTTCAACTTTGAATCATTGGTTCATGTCTCAACTGTCGTAAGCAATCGCGAAAGATGGATTTGTATGGCATTTCATGCCTTTCATTGGAATTGCATTGCAGGGAACATTAACGATCCTCACTACCAGATGTCGCCTGCGGCGTTTCAGCTGTCAAAGGATTGTTTGCAAACAAAGTGAAGCGTCTTTCGTGCATTTAGCATTTTTTCCTCCTGATATCACTGATTTTTCGCACACTCAGCAATAGAAAACAAAAACGGTAAGCATTTTTCAGAGGAAAGTGTTAAAAGTTATCTGAAAATTATTGAAGTATGCATTTTGTAATGAATCTCGATATCTACAACATTCATTTATCATAGTTCATTAGCATTACGGTCAATGTACGCAATGAAGAGATCTTACGGATCTTACACCTATGCGAACACTTCCCGCCCTTCGCGGGACTTCAAGAGCACAGCCGAAAACCCGCTGAAGGTGGCAAAAGAAGATCAGCCGGAGCTAGAGGACCCCAATCTGGTGTACGTCATGGAACCGGAATACCTAGAGCTGGAGGAGAACTTCGAGGAGGAAGTGGAGGAAGAGGTCGTGGAGCAGGAGTTCGAACTGGAAAATGGCGAGTGCGTCCCGGAACAGGACTTCACGTCGCAATTGGCGCGCCTGGTGAAGAATAACGATTGCCCGAATGACTTCACGGACAACTTGTTAAACCTACTGCGTAAGAATGGACACGCGGATCTGCCCAGCGACAAGAAGAGCCTCGTGACGGAGCCACCGCCGCCGAGTGACGACGCGACGCTGGCCAAGATCCTGGAGAATCAGCGATTGATGATGCGCAACCAGACGCTCATCATGGAGCAGATGAAGGCGCTGGCCAGATCACACGCCACGCAGCGCATCCGACTTGCCGGGATGTCCGAGCGCTTGGACAAGGTTTTGCCTAGGAATACCAAATCCACGCTCATGTTCCCTATTAAGACACTCGACGATTTCCTGGACTTCGATGAGAGACTTTCCTACGAATCCTTCCGACTAACAGTTGTAAGTTTCATCTCAGTTTTTCAGCCAAAAATTTGTATGGCTCAATTAATTATTGTTTTGCAGTTTTCTGAACTTTCTCGAGCGATGCTGTCTGAGACTTGGCTCTTCTCACTGGTCAGCGATGATGTCCTGCATCATTACAATCTCAACGGGATCAAAAATCAAAGATCCCTTCGAGGAACAACGCTTTGGAAAGTTCTTGATGGTGAGTTTTGTCTTTGTTGTTCTTGAATTGCTCCTAATATTGATCTCTCTGTTTCAGAAAACTTCCCAGATAATGAATTTATGCAAGACGCTCATGTTCAGTCCCTGATCAGGACGTGTCACGCAAGGATAGCTTCAAGAAGACAGGTGAGGTTTTTAAGACGGAGTTTTGAAGGAATGTATTTAAAACTATGTTTTCTTTTGCAGAGATCAAGAGCTTCAGCGCTCATGAGAAGTGCTCGAAATTCAGAGATTGATGAATTAAATTCTTTGGATGACGATTGATACTAAAAGGCTGTAAGCCCCTTATTTGCTAAGGATTTTCTAGAGAATTTTTATTGCATTTCTAGAGTGGGATTTTAACACATTAATTATTCATTCCATTTTCGCACTTAAGATTATATTTATTCAACTATTAACACTGAAATGTTCTTTTAAGAATAATGTTATAAAAAGAGACCGAAATGTGAACTTTGAAATATGAAATAAATGAATAGTGAACTTTTTTCTAATACAAATAAACTTGAAAAACTAACCATTAAACATTTGATCTTACCTTCACATTTTGATTTTCGCTCCTAAAATACACTACTCACATCAAGATGGCGCTTTCTGTGTGCTCCGTTTTTGTTTACAAATACAAATTCCGCGAATTTCACTCTTGTGTATAGTGAGTGTTTTCTGCATGGAACGAAGCAAACGAAGTAAAACTCAGTAATTTTTACACTTTTCAGAATTGCAATGGAACCAGCAAGATTAAATAAATTAAACAACTGGATAAAGAGCTCAAAGTCTTTATTCTATAGAATTAAATCAATTACATACAATGTGCGATTCGAGCACAATAAAGAGATTTGCCACAAATGTTTCACTTTTCATTCTTGATCTTCTTAAAATTTCTTAGTATGAATCATCAGTAAATTCTTCCTTATATGATGACCTCGAGGCAGACATTTTAAGCATTCCTGATGACCTTGACCTCTGAAAAAGTACACAAAATCAGACAAAATTCTAACTTCTTGCACAGCTTTTGCGATCTTACCGATTTCTTTGTATGCACTCTTCCATGACACGTCCTGATGAGGGCCATAATATGTCGGTCCCGTAGGAATTCGTTATCTGGGAAGTTTTCTGCAACAGAAAAGCCAAAATTAGCCATCAGAGAAATTAATTTTGCATAAATTCACGCACCGTCAAGAATGTTCAGAAGGTTCGTTTCCTTCAGTGATCTTTTGCTTCGGGTTCCGTTGAGGTTGTAATGGTGCAGGACATCATCGCTGGCCATCGTGAAGAGCCAGTTTCCGTTCTGCATTGCCCGGGAAATTTCGGGAAACTGCAGGGCCAAGAAATTTGATTAGGAAACGAAGTTTGAAGCTGAAGAAGGTTGAAACTCACCACTTTAGCTCTGAAGTTATCGTCAACAAGTCTCTCATCGAAAGACAGGAAGTCCTTTAGGTTTTTGACGGGGAAGATGTGATTGGATTTACCCAGATCCATGGGGAACATTTTATCCAGTCGCTCGGACATTCCGGCGAGTCGGATGCGCTGCGTGGCGTGCGATCTGGCCAGCGCCTTCATCTGCTCCATGATGAGCGTCTGGTTGCGCATCATCAATCGCTGATTCTCCAGGATCTTGGCCAGCGTCGCGTCGTCACTCGGCGGCGGCGGCTCCGTCACGAGGCTCTTCTTGTCGCTGGGCAGATCCGCATGTCCGTTTTTGCGCAATAGGTTTAACAAATTATCCGTGAAGTCATTCGGGCAATCGTTATTCTTCACCAGGCGCGCCAATTGCGACGTGAAGTCCTGTTCCGGGACGCACTCGCCATTTTCCAGCTCGAACTCCTGCTCCACAACCTCTTCCTCCACTTCCTCCTCGAAGTTCTCCTCCAGCTCTAGGTATTCCGGTTCCATGACGTACACCAGATTGGAGCCCTCTCCCTCCTGATGTTCCTCCTTTGCCATCTTCAGCGGATTCTCGGCTGCACTCTTAAACTCCCGCGAAGAGCGGGAAGTGCTCGCAAATGACCTCTTCATTGTAATGCTGTCAAATGAAATCATGTGTATGAAGTTCGAGATTCATTACAAAATGCATACCTCAATATTTTTTCGGGATGTTTTTTTCTCTTTTCACCTGAGAGTGCTGTTTGATTTTATTTTATTCCGTCGATGAGTGTAGAAAACTGAGAAAATCGCTATTTTCTGCAGAACCACGAGAGCTTCACTTTTTCGTGTAAGCAATACTTTGACAGCAATAACAACTGGAAGCGACGTCTGGTGGTGAAGAGTGTTAAGAGAAAGCGCGATGTTCAAAACTGCGTGCTTTTCTGCCCTGCTATAAAATAAAATCTCTCATCTTTACAACTCAACTTACTATTTCTCAACAGCGAGGAAAATTTGCATTCATAGTAAAATTAATGCATTTATTCTCCTTCATTCAATATCATAATCTATCTCATTTTTTACGTCTCCAAGGATCTTTTTTTTGTTGTTATATTTAGCAGCGTAAATTCGACTTTTGGCGGCTCTCATTTGGCTCTTCATGAAATTTGTGAAATCCAATTCTGAAAGTGCTGCCGCTTCTGCAATTTTAGGAAAATATTCTCTGTACTTCAAATGCTTGGAGTATTAGAAGTGATGCTGAGAGACACAAACCTTTCCACACCTCGTAAAACAAGTAATCCTTGAAACCTTTTTGATCATCCTTTGCGCTAAATTTCATTCCCAGAACAATGTCGTCTGCCAGAAATTGTTTCAGTGTCAAATTTACCGCAATGTCTCTCTGCAAAGCATATAAAATGTATGTCTCAATGACAGATTCTTCACAGATGAAAACATTTCAAAACTCACAAAGTTATCTCTGTTGCTCTGCTCCTGCAAGGATTCCTCAAATTCCTCCAACTCTTCTCTGGTTTGCATGGGAAGTCTCTTATGGATCTCCCGGTGCAATTGCGTGTGGGTTTTTGTCTTCCTCATCTCGTGATAAATGTACAGAACGTGTTTGCAACAGCATTTCACATTCTTTCGCGTCGCACTGTTGTCCTTCTGCTCTCTGGAAAGTGGCTGCAAGACTTCCATCAAGTCCATCAAATCCGCTGATACTGCAGAGCCCAACTTATGCTTGTAAACGAACGACTGCAAATCTTCTCCAAGACCACAACTGAGAGATCTCTCAGGTGCTGAAGGCTCTGGATCTTCCAGATCTTCTTCTAAAGGATCAAAGTTTGCCATGGAAACTGAATCGTTATTGTCATGAAATATTTCCTCATCAGTTTCATTGAGATCCTGAGTGAAATTTCTAAAATCTCGAAAGGCTTCAGCTTTTGATCGACGATTTGACTTTTCCTTACCTGGAAAGATGAAAATATATATAAAACTTACTCTGAATCCTTAAACTAAATCTCTTTCGTCACTTTACCCGCATCAACTGAAACAATTTTATCCATTCTATCAGAAAGATCGGCGAGTCTCATCCTCTGGACGTCGTGAGATCGCGCCAGCGCCTTCATTTGCTCCATTATCAGCTTCTGATTGCCCAGGATTTTGCTCAACGCCGCATTGTGGCTCATCTTTGAGCGCGACTCAGTGATGAGACTCTTCTTGTCACTGGGCAGATCCGCGTGTCCATTCCTCCGCAGCAGATTCAAGAGATTGTCTGTGAAGTTCATGGGGACATCATTCGTCTTGACCAGTTTCGCCAGCTGCGATTTGAAGTCTGTCACTTGATATCCGGACTGCCCGGACTGACTATTCTCGAGATCATGCTCAGCAGGCGCTCCAAGGTTCTCCTCAGTGTATTGCGGTTCCGTGAGGAAAACCAAGTTGGTCTCCGTTTCCGGCTGCTCTTCCTTTATCATCTTCTGGGGATTCTCGAAGGATTCCTCCGACGAGGCGAATGCAAAAGATCTCTTCATGGCAATGAAACTAACAAGATGTTTTGTTATGAACATTCATAATAAAATGCATTGCACAATACTTTACCGGCCTGATTGCCCACTTATAATGTGGATACACTATCTGATCTTGTTCTATGCTCAGAATTAGAGCGAGAAATAATCATTTTATTGAGAAAATACAACACAAATTGAATGCTTCATTCACTTTTGTGAGCAATATTTTGACAAATGCATCAAATTATGCTCTTCATCGCCAGATGGCGGACAACGCACAGCTGTCAAGTTATCGCTTACAAGAAATTAGGCGTCTTTAGCTCGTAAATAAATGTAATTTCTTCTTAATTCATCAAGTTTCTCGAGTTTCTCGCAAACATCGTGCAGTGTAGAAGCAGCCCAGAAAGATTTTCCAGGTGAAAAGTGTAAAAACCGAGGTAAAACATCCCAGAATATGATTGAGGTATGCATTTTGTAATGAATTTCTGCAATAATCATTTCAATTGATAGGTCATTACCATGAAGAGATCTATTGCGAGCACTTCCCGCTCTTCGCGTGAATTCAGGGGCACATCCGAAAGTTCGCGGAAGAAGCTAAAGGAAGAACAGCAGGACAAAAATATGGTTTGGTTGGGAGACGCCTTGGCAGATGACGATGAAGAAGTTGAGCAGGAGCTGGAGCTAGAAAAAAGGGAGTGCGTTCCGGGGGAGAACTTCACGTCGCAGCTGGCGCGTTTGGTGAAGACGAACGACTGCCCGAACGACTTCACGGACAACTTGTTAAACTTGCTGCGGAAGAATGGACACGCGGATCTGCCCAGCGACAAGAAGAGCCTCGTGACGGAGCCGCCACCGCCGAGTGACGACCCGACGTTGACCAAAATCCTGGATAATCAGCGTCTTATACTGCGTAACCAGACGCTCATCATGGAGCAGATGAAGGCGCTGGCCAGATCGCACGCCACGCAGCGCATCCGACTCTCTGGGATGTCCGAGCGCCTGGACAAGATGGTTCCAATGGATCTCTGCAAGTCTTCCACGCATTATTTTCCTTTCAAAGTTCTCGACGATTTCGAGGACTTCGATAAGAAACTTGCGGACGAATCCTTTAGGACAAAAGTGGTGAGTTTTGATTCGGTTCTTGAAACAATAACAGTATTCATCAATTGATTTATTTGGTTCTGCAGTTTTCAGAAATTTCGCGAGCAATGCAGACCGGAACCTGGCTCTTCACGATGGCCAGCGATGATGTTCTGCATCACTACAACCTCAACGGGAACTTCAATAAGAAAAGTCTTCGCGAGACCAATCTTTTGAAGGTTCTTGAGGGTGAGTTTTATTTGCTTTTTGGGGAGCAATCTTGGTAGAAATTTCATTTTAAAATTAATTTTCTCTTCTAGAATTGTTCCCAGAAAATGAATTCCTTCGGGATCGTCACATTCAGGCGCTCATCAAGACATGCCACGCCAGGCAAAACACCAAGAATTCGGTGAGATTGCGAAAATGCAGTGAAGAGAAAGAATGTGTCTCAAAATTTTCACTTTTTTTTTTGTAGCGATCGAGAGCGAGTTTGCGAAAGACCAGAGTTAAGGAAGAAGTCATTGATGATTCCTATTGAAGGATCATAGTCAACATTCCACCATTTACAACACTAAAATCATTGATTTTCCACGCCTTTTATGAATATGATTTTGTAAGATTATTTTATTGAATGAACTCTCAATTTAAGAGACATGAAATTATGAAAATAAAAGATGTGAGTACAATTTTCAATTGCATATGATTTTCAGTGAAATTGTGGTTTTTTGTGTGGTTCAGGGTCGATTCCTTGCATGGCGGAAAACATAAAGATTATGGGGGTTATGAATTCCCCCCAAAAAACACGCATTCATACGCTTGGTTTCCTCTTTATTGCTATCTGAATTCACATGGATTGTCAAGTGTTTGATATGCATATTTTATGTGTTTTATGAATGAGAGAAAGGCAGAATGATAAATGAATAAATTTGAAAGATAAGAACTGCACGGAAACGTAAGAATGACAGTGTGATTTAGAGTGAATTTCATCCGAATCCAAGAACGCCTTTTCAGGTTCTTTACAACATCAGCGAATTGAGGAAAAACATAAGAAATATGCAACAGAAGTGGTGCGATTTTTAGAAAAAATGTCCAAACGTGAGATCAACTGGCCAAAGGACAACCAAAAACAGGAAAACAGAGGAAAATGCCTGAGGAAATAAAAGAAGTTCTCTCAATGCATAACAAGTCGATAAATAACATTTTATTTTTATAGTATGTTTTTTGTTAATTTCTTTCATGATACTTCCATCATTGTTTTGTGTTTAAATTTATTCTTGTTTTTAGACGTTGTTGTTTATCTTCTTTTTGGTATATATTTAAGATTAAGTTTTGTTTTTTTTTCTTTAAGTTTAATACCTTGCAATAAATTGCCAAGATTCTTATACCAGCACATTTTTGCTCTCAACATTTTGCACATTACTTCTTTCTTCAATTTTTTTTTCACGTGTCTTCTGATCTTACAATTCATCTGCATCTTCACATCATCTAAAATGTATAAAGAGAGATAGTATTGCATAATTCTTTACTCTTGAAATTCAAAATAATCTTCAGAGAATTTGTATTAATTTTACAAGAAATCGTATTGATACTTTTCACCTCTCAATTCTGCCATTTAATGGATTTCTTTTTAAAGTTTTTTTTTCCTTGTGCATGACTTGCATGACTCCATTAGTTTTATCATCAAAAATGCCATGCTTCTACTGTCATTTTTTCTTTCTCTTTTTCCCCCTTTATTATTAATGCTATGAAAATTATGTCTTATCAATTTGTTGCCAACGATTTTAAAGTTATCTTTCAATAAATGTTTAATGTTTATGCTGCAGGTGTTATGTTATGTGTGTGTGTCTATAAATGTGTGTTTTTGCTGTACATTCATTTTCATTATTTTTCACCACGTCGTATCTTCATATCGTATCCGTGTTTTAGCTTTCCCACAATTTCTCCTCCTTATTTATAACTCTTCCTCCGCTTTCTTTATATGAAAATATACTGGGTTTGGGCTGCCATTAGCTGCATATTTTTTTTTAATCATCGCGCGCGCAGAAATATTTCCTTCACCATCGATATTTGTTCAATGATTAAAAAACGGTTTAGAAAAATAAGTTTTGCTCTACGCTTACAAAGTTTACAATTCGCAATTAATAAGTCCAAAATGTCTTTTATATGTTTATCCAGCTCTCTTTTCACTTGCATCTGATTGTATTTTTTTTATACATATTACAATATTAACATACACATTACAATACTTAGTAATATTAGAATACGGTTCAACTCTGTGGCTTTCTTTAGCAAGATTATTATTTCTGTTTTGTGTCTCTGTAGTAAAATCTATTCATAATGACTGTTCCCATTATTACAATATAACTTCCTTTCTCTCTATTATTGGGTTATTTATGTACCTTTATGCCGACTCGTAGTTAATATTTCTATTTAGTTTATACCATTATTACATTTTACTGATTGCCATTCTAGTTTATTCATACGGTGCACTCTTACTACGCTTATAACGCCAATACAAGTGTTTGTGTATACATATTATCCTGCAGAGAAATCAGATTAATCGAAAAGAGGAGGCAAAATAATTGGATCGTTGTATTTGAAACACTGCGGTGAGATTGTGTAAATCATATTATTTATTTGTCCTTTGGAGAGAGAGTGCTTCAAATACAACCTGCAAACCTTTTTCTCACTTAAATTGTTGCGCAAATAAGATAAATCCATTTCAGAGGAAATTAGCAGGAGGAAAAGAAAGAGATAAATTCCTGAATCCCTTCACTCTGTGCAACCATTTCTCGGTGGAAAATTGTAATCCCACGGATTTTCCACACGCTCTACAATTGCATCCAGAGAAATAATACACAAAATTCCAAAGGAAATGTCAATTCAATCTCGTCTGACAATGTTAAAACTTTGTGCAAATCAAGATTAAAGTAAGAGATTGATTTTAAACACAATGTGAAAAGCATTTAAGCAATGTTTTAAGGTTTTGCTCCTTTATCAGTAAAAAGTATAATCAATCTTTCAACTTTTCAGTGACCAAACAATAATTTTTAACTGAAGAATTTTCTTTTCAACGCCAATCTGGTACATTTTCCCGGACACAAGTGTATCGCAAGCGTGAAAGAGAAAAGGACGCGAAGAAAGGTCCAATTTATACTTGCACGTAAAATGTAAATCGATTTTTTAACCATCCCCTGAGATGCTGCCAAAAAAGCTTCCTTTTTCTCTATGTATGGTTAAGGGGTGATAATTTGGATGATAGCATCTCACCGAGAAGTGGCCGTCTGAAGGGCAATTGAAGTGAAAACTTGTGGATTTGCAGAATAAGGGAAAAACCAGTCATTCAGAGTGATTGTGTTGGACACGCCAAACCCAGTAGTTATATTTATATATACTTTGTTGATGCTTCTTTAGCAATAATTTCACCCTGCAACTCTCATTAGCTCACATTACTTCGATATGCCACCGATCAAGTTTCTCTGTGTTCTTCTTTGCCTTTGTCAAACGATGAAGAAAAGAGTGTCTTATCTGAAATGCTGTCTCATGTCTTTTTGGATCACTGTAAACTCTTGTACGTGTGATTACAGAATTTGAGAAGTGACCAATTAATGGGTTGTGGAAGAGGAAATGGCGTGAAAGACGAGTGAGTGACGATATATTCCATCTCGAAGGAAATTGATTTCATTTGCAAATAAATTGCACTCAGTGGAGTGAGATTATATGCGGAATATTCCATTTCACAAGCTCAAGAAAAAATTAGGAGAGCGATTAATCATGTTAGTCGCAAAAGCCTCACTCCACCGCAACCAGCAAAACCCGACAGTTGAAGATGACTAACAAGAAATTATGAGCGCGGAAGTGTTAAATTCACTCGCAAAAACCACATTTATAATATGAACTTCGAAAAGTTGCCTCGCAAGACAGCGCGAGAAATAACAAGACAAGAATTTTCCGTTTGGATCTTTATCAACATTAGAAGGAGAAAAATTGCAACATGTACCGAAAGAGTTTTTACTCTTTGAGAAAATTCTGTAATTTAACCTGCCATCTTTCACTTTTGCGCACTCCTTCCAAAAATCATCCCACAATTTATCTTTACAAATGCCACAAATTCATTTTTATTCACATCTCCTGCTATTAAAGTTCTTCTTGTCCCGTGTTAGAACATGAAACATTTATTCGTATAAGTTCTATTATTGATTGTTACTAAGAAACTCTCTCACTCGGTCGAATTGAACTTTCCACTGTTTTCTCTCACACCTTTTCCCGGGAAATTTTCCACTCTTTTCCATTTCCTTCTGGCAGAAAACTTTTCGCCACTTTTACTGCACCGTCTTCAACTTCTTGTGTGTCTCTATTGAGAGTCAATAAAATATTTCTTCTGCTATTTAGATGAATTCCTACCTACTTTTAAGCAAACTTTTTGTCAATTTTAATTTTTACACTCAGGTTTAATTTAAACTCCGTCCATTTTCACGCCCATATTCACTTACCGTCCAATAGAAATACCTAGCAATTTTTTTTAAATATATACTTTTGTTGTTATCATTTATGCCATCTCCCACTTATTTTAACAATGCAGTCCATTTTTTCTTCTTTTTTGTATGTTTATCATTGGTTTAAAAATCCTTGTGACTCGTCTAAAAACACAGAAAAATATCTCACGCTTTCTTTTTCTTTTTAATCTTCTTCTCTATATTTTTTCTCACTTTTTTTTCTCAATAACTCCACAAACTCAGAGACACAGAAATTTTGCAATAAAACTCACTGAATTTGCATACAGTTTGTCCAATAGGTATTTTTTTATACATAAATATTTTATTTAGAGAATATATTTAGGTTTTTTTTGTAAATTTTCTAGTGCGCTCTCGCTTAGCCTCAGTAAAAGATTTTCTTTCAAGTATATGCAAAATTTATCATAACGATTAAAAGTTTTAGATTCATTTTTTGCATGTTTAATCAATAGATTGAAAATATTTCATTTTTCATTACACTTTTTTCAAATTGCGATACAATCACGCAAAAAACGCTTTACGAATGTTCTCTGTGAAGATAAAATATAACTTGAATTGTTGTCAATTGTCGTTAAAGAGTTTTTTTTATACACACGTTGTCATATTCACGAATTTTTTTTTCTTATTAGTGTCAATAGCAATAATTAGCAAATAGATATTAGATAAATGTAATGTCCATCCTTGATCTTGCAAGATTCTTCATCATCTTCTTCTCTCATTTTTAAGTAAGGGAGATTATAAAGTTAATAATTCATTTGAAATTTATGTATTTTTAAATTTGAGTAATATTCTCTTGGAATTTGGTATTGATTAGAGTTAATCTACTAGCGACACTTTTTCCTAAATCTCCACTTGTCCCAACAGAAATTTCACTTTCTCCACCTCTACAAACACTCTCAAAACCCACTTTCATTCATGGCAAAACTCCATTCGCTTGGCGTGACATACCATTGAACAATGGTTACAAGTGTTGAACTCTAAAAGATGTCTATTTCCTTGGTTAAAGAATGTTACTCTCCATATAGAAATTTTTAACGTGTTTGACAAAGAATAATTCATGTAAATACAGTGTTAAATCTCCCCAAAGAGAGGGTTGTAATGCTTTCAATTCCCCCTCTCACTCAATCTTGACTCTACAAAACTTGCTCTCTAAATCTATACGGAGAAAAATCACTATGGAAAATAAGACCTTGTAATCTCATGTCTGTTTGCATTGTGAACTCTTGTGTTTTGTCTTATTGATTTCCAAAACCTGGAATGTGTCAAGGAAAGAGAAACATTGTATTAGTGTTGTGTTACTTCCCTTCTTAGAACCAACTGCCACCACCGAATTTAGTGCTGAGTCCGCCAATGCCTTTGCCAAAGATATTTCCCACGCGGCCAACCACAATATTCTTAACATTTGAGATATTTGACAAATTCCCGTCCTCTCCGCTCAGCGTCTCCAAGATGTTCACTTTGGCCTTTGGTCGCTCGCCCTCTTCGTCGCCGTCGCCGAAGCCCCTACAAAAATAGGCCACAGACATAGTTAGGCATATATTTTCCCACTCGCAAGGCCACAAGAGCACAGGTATTGCCGAATATTAACTCCGCTTGTTTGCCATTGCTGAGAGAGATTTACTGTGTCGAAATGATCTTCGCTTCAATATGCACAAGCAATAAGACTTTCACGTGATGCACGAGAAGCAAAAGGAAAATAAAAATGACTAGCTTTTTCAGAGCAAAATATTTGATCATTATTCGTCCTTCTGGAGAGTGAGTATCCTGCTCTTCTAATAAAAATAAAAGACATGAAGGAAACGCGAAAAAACTTAATTATAAACTCACAAATCTAATAATAAGAACCAAAAGGACGAATCAATTATCTTTCAATGACAAAACTGATCATAAAATAACACTCAATTTATCATAAAATCACACTTCAGAACTGAGCGAAGCTGTGTGAAAATGCTTTTTATCCATGTTCTTATCATTTGGATGAGAATTGAAGGATCTTCCATGTGCATTTGCTTAGAACAATTAGTTGACTTTGCTTGAAAAGTCAGTTGGGAAATGTTGCAATTTTCTCCTCTCGCTGACACTCTAATTCATATAGCCTTGTGAATTCCATCACACAATCCTTCTTGCATGAGAATGCAAATGAGTTTTGTGAATGGGAAAAATACTTTGGGAATCAATATAAATTCCATGTGTGAAAATGGAATCACCTTAAATAATTGCATCAAATTCCAGAGCAAAGTCTTGGAGACCTCGTGATGTTGACATGGAAATTCGCATGTAAATATGCGGGAAGCATTGAAATAATGTATACTCTTTCAATTTAAACAAATCGCCTCCAGAGTGTGGGCGAGCTTTTGCTAAAGTTCTATATGAATAGTGCTCAGTTAGAGCAAATATTATATATTAATTAATGAAAGCTCTGTTGCCATGTGTTGGCAGAGATTGTGTGCAAGATCTTTCTCGCTCTTCTTGGAGCAAAATCAAACGCAAAAGCCTTCCAAGGCTGTTTGCCTTGCTTTCAGTTAAAATATTGAATTCACATCAATTGATGCTTGTGATGAACTTTGGCAAACTATTTACAACTTGTCCTTTCGTCATGGGTAGTGATAATGCTTTTGTGCTTCTTTTCCTGGGGGAAATAATGGACTGCACAGAAGCTAGCTTTGATGCGTTCTTTAGAAGCCTCTCTAATGGCTAAAACGGAAGCTAGAGGATAATTTATTCCTGGGAAAGACACTCACTCTGCTTCGCCGTCTGGAGCGGTCAGGGCACAGGTGGCTTCCTCAGTTTGCATGCGCTGCGACACGGTCTGATATGCCTTGGAGTTGAGTTTATCCTCCATCACGCCCTGCAGCTCGAAGTCTGAGTAGATTTTCTGCACGCGAGAGGAACAAGTGGCAAATTGGCTAATTAAAACGCCACCGAATGTCCGTGAGACACTCACCTTGACGATGTGGGCGAGGCAGGTGCACTGATAGTAGTGCAGCGAGTGATCCAGACGCTCTGACAGCCAGTTGCACAGCATGTTGATCTGCGCCGTGTACCATTGCTCGAAGATGTTGAGGATCCACAGCTCGTCGTTCACCTTGCCGCGGATCTGGTCCATGTTGTTGCGCGTGAAGTTCACATAGCCTTGGCCCAGATCCTTGCCCGAGCCCGACACATTCGTGAAGCTGAGGATGCTGCCAATCAGGCTACCCTCGTCATATCGCGAGAGCTTGGACAAGGACGCCTCCAGCACGGACATCAATTTGCTGATTATCCCCTGATTCATTGCTGCCAGCGTCTTATCAATTTGATCATCAATTTTCGCGTGATACTGATGCTGCAAAATTTTTCATTGGCAGACAGAGAGAAAAAAGTGAGCAAAATTACCAACATTATTGCCCAATTTCACTCATGCATCTCGTCACATTACATTAAAAAATCATCACTTTCCGCGATGCTCTCCTCTCCAGCATTCTTTTACTGCCACTCTTTTACTCGTGGAAAAAGTGCTTCGAACTGTTTGTGTGCACTTTGGCGAATGGCACAAGAATTCGGGTGGAAATGTTTCGATAATAAGGCAGAATTATTGCATACTCATTTCCACTGACACATATTTCAGCGATAAATTGGGGGCAAAGTGGAAAATTTGTGGCATTTTTCATGGCGCCCATCGAAGGAAGCTCTCATCAGTTAAATTCAAGAATTACAGGCAGTGTGCTCGGGCAGATTGAAATTTAATTCTGCATGATATATCCCACAATCATCCGTTGTCTGTTTTCGCTCGAGCCAGTGAACAAATAGGAAAATTTAACATTCATTTCATTTCCCAGACCCGATTTGTCAGGCCTCTCGCTGCTCCAGGCGCGCTTTTCACTGTCCTTTTGCTCATGTGCAAAGGTGAGTCATTAATAACGAATTATTGAATTTTAAATGACCAGCAAATGCACAAAAAGACTCATTTTCCTTCTATTTTTTGACTGTATAAATAATTATTACGTGAAATTTAATTAAATATCGGATTTGCATGGTTGAGATGAAAATCATTTGCTCGTTTTCATAGTAGAAGCTCCACTCAAAGCAACCCCGAAAACGCCAAATCAATAAGAGTTTCAAATCACGATAAGAACTTTTCTACACTATTTCTGTTCAAAATTCTTTTCAATTTAAATAAAAGCCAAGCTATAAATACATAAATTAAATTGCTTCTTTTCACTGGAAAGAGACACTTTAGTGGCATAATAAAATATGCAAAAGTACGGTGCAATTTCATTAAATTGATCCATTTTAATCAATTATTTTGGTAATATTAAAATTCCATGGGCCCAGAAGCGTCCTTTGTTGGCTTAGCACGTGAGCATTTGTGGCATTTTCATCAGTGAATCACACTGTAGTTAACAATTAAAATTGTGATACTATTTTGAGTGGAATTATATCACCTCTATTCAGTGAAAAAGCCCCAGACTGGCGTGGAAACACACGAACATTATTGCACTCACGATGTAATTGCAGTTTATGATCATAGCACGTAATGAAGCATTTCATTTGCCATCACAAAGAGAGTGATGAAGTTGGAAATAATACTTGTGACACGACTCCAGCCAGAGTCGAATGTCACCACCAGAGATGAGTGCAATGAGAATGAAGGTGAATTGGATGATATAACTGATGCTGACACTGGGGGAAAATGCAATGAAGATCCCCATGAACACTGCCTCCCAATTATATCGCAACGCCATGCACAATGACGCGCTCTCATTACCATTTCAGTGACTTCGAGAAGAGAAGCTACTTTGTGCTCTGGCTCTATGGAATTTTCAATGAAGTGCACTGCAGTTTCTGCACGAATGCATATATCAATGCCTCAGGCTGGATAAGTTGTGTCAGGAGGAAAAACACAAGAGCTTTAGCATTGTTATAGGAGAAGATTTTGGAAAACTTTTGAAGCTAAATAAATTTGGATGTTCTCTGGAAAGATATAATGAATTTTCACCAAAATATTTCCACAGCAACAAAGTGAGATTTTCTCAGGATAAATGAGGAAAGAAAATTGTTATATTTCTGCAAACTTCCTTGCAGAAATATCTCAAGAGTTTTGAGTTCAAAGGATAGATTAATATTGATTAAAAATAACATGAAGATAGATTGAATAAATTCATTTTCCTTTACTGTCGATTGGAAAGGCATAATATCTTCCCCTTGAAAGCCCTAAATTTTCCCATTCTCTATTCTTTGACGAAACTTTAGAAAGTACAACAGAATGTCCACAACAACTTACACAACACGTCCACGGAGTGCAAAGGAAGCTCAGAGTTTGCTCCAAGACACTCCTCGCCATTCTTCGCGCGACACATTTGCAAGAAGGTGGCAAAATGCCGCGAGAAAAGGGAATTGCGGAGTGTCTGGATAAACATGAGCGGGTGTGTGCGCATCCAACAAGTACCCTCTTGACTCACCACATCGATTCCGTCGATGGTGCACAATTTGAAGGACTGATTCTTTGCGTCGAGAATCACATTCACCATGGCGCACATCTCTGACGGCATGATGTAATCAGTTGAGATGAAGGTGACACTCTTCTTGAGCCACTGCTGGAAGGCACCCTCGGTGCGCTGAATGCACGACTCAATCATGTCGCAGGCCATCAACTTCAGGCGCTGCTCCAAGTGCTGGCGGAACTCGGCGTCCGGCCAGTGGAGGTCGCGAATGAAGGACTGCAAAGCGTCCAACTTCCAAAAAAGATCTTCTGATGTTGCACAGCCGTTGCTGATGGAGGAATCACTTTAAAGGGTTAAAATGGGTGCCTCCTGTTTTCATCATCATCACACGGAAAGGGACACAACAGCAAAAAGAATGGTGTGCAACAGATTTACCACACCAAGCAAGCCTGAGGGACTTACCCTTTACTCTCCCAGCGCTCCTTCTCGAACCCCTTGTGGATGGATTGAGCAATGGAGGACTCCATGAGGTCCACATAGCGCACCACCAGCGGCGCGAACGTGTCGCGAAGGTGCTGGTGGAAGCGGCCGTTCTTCAGGTTGTCGTCCGTCCTCAGGTAGTCGTTGAGGATCTGGAACAGCGGGAAGGAGTCCCACGTGTCCGGCGCCTGCTCCGACAGCACCCTGTCCATGTCCACGGCGAACAGTGACCAGAAGATCTCCGCATGCTCCACTAGCAGGTCCGAGAACCAGGCGAACGCCTGTCATGGACAAGGAATACAAATTGCACGCGTTAGTCACTGACGTCGCGAAACACACACACACTTTCTCACTAAAGAAGAAAGACTAAACAGAAAGGAAACAATAAAATCAGCAAGGAAGCTCTCAGCATGAAATATTTTCTCAGTATCTCAGCTCAGTTTTTATATATTTCTGTGGTGCATTGGCGATTTGTATTATCTCATGTTAATATGCTGCAGTGGTCTTTCGAGATCATTTTATTCAATGCTTTACACACACTCACAGCGGGATTTTTAGTCTTTATCATTCATGTGAAGCATATCAATCCATCAAAATTTCGTCATTAGCCAAAAAACAACATTACACAAAAAGAGAGGTACTTTTATGTACAGTTGCTAGACTTGCTACAAAATCGCACGCTTGCACTCACACAGCATAATAATGCAGTAATTCAGTAAAACGCGCTTTTTTCCTCTTTTCATAGCATCTTTTCTCAGCACTACGCCAATATGTGGTAACATAGTAACAATTTATACATGGGTAATATATTATGTACAGTTGCATGCAAAAACTCTCACTACACAAGTTTTACAGGAGACTTACTGAAGCGGAAAAATTTACAAAATTCTAGTAGCATAGATTTTCGCTGTCATTTCAGCGCGCCGCAATCGAATACTATGAACAGCAAGTATAGAAGGTAGAGCAAGAAGCATAGGTTGTGGCTTGGTTCGTGGAAAAGTGAGGCCACGCCCACTTCATGGGTAAAAATCAGCTGTGACACATTACTTTAGGTATAAATTCATTAATCAAGCGTGTGAAATCGCGAGGAAACCTGGATTTTTTATTGACAAATGAATGAATGGGCGGGGCTTGTCAGGGGGCGTGGTCTCTGAGCATTTTACCTATGAAGCAGACGCAGTATAATCATGAAACTTATTCGACAAATTGTATGTGAAATCATGCGAAGAATTCCAGTGAATCTTTCCAACTCAGAAAAAGGCACAAGAAAATACTTCAACGCCACTCGAACTATCTCTTTTTGTTCCTCACAGTTTTTCGAGGGGTGATTAAAAAGGCAAAAGCTGAACAAAAAAATTCACGTTTCTGCTACAATTTCCACTTGAGCTTTTTGTACCTATACATTTTTCACCGTGTTTCACATCCATTCATCGAATGAGTTTCATATTTTTATATACACTTTATTCATTTTTCTCTTTATTTCCACATATCACAACGAGTCTATTCTGCAGCGGTGAAAATGGAGAGGATTTTCTCACACAATTGTTTTTGTTCGGGGGAATGAAAGTAAAATGAAATGCTTAATTGAGAAAAGAGGAAAATCCATAAATATACAGAAAAGCTGTGCTTAAACAAATGTATAGCCGAAAGATGGCCAAAAATGTGAAGTATTGTTTGTTTGTCTTCAGTGAAATAACTCCAACAAAGTCAAGTTTATTTGAATAATTTTTCACAAAATGTACAGTTTGAAAGGATAAAAAGGCAAAGCGAAGAAAAAATATATGGAAATACATCAAATAAAAAAACATAAGATACTAAACAATTATTGGACAAAAATAACCAAATGAGAAAATCAATACTGTTTTACTTTTCCGGATCAAATGCATTATTTTATATACTCAAAGTTGCTCCAGAGCGCGTCAATGTAATTTAATCACATTTCCGATTCTGTCAGTCTTAACAAAGAAAGAGAATGTCGAAAGTGAATAAATTAAAAAAGGGAAATACAGAGAAACAGAAAATTTCTTTTAATTAAAAGAAAAATGTCGTTTTACAGTTGAGACTATTCATGGTTATTCGTGCTGTAAAGTAAGTTATCATTAAAAATAAAAGGAATTATGCCAGAGGAGAAGAATTGTGAGATAAAATGAATGGAACAGAGAGCGGAATGGATTTTTTCCAACACTCTTTTACATCCCTTGGAGGTGGAAGTCGTCGAGAGGATAAAATCAGGACACAAGAAAGCGGAAAACTTTCTCAAACTATATATTGAAATATCTCTCGATGCGCTTTAATTTGCACACGAAAGGAACATATAATTTGCAGCGAAACAGACGTCCTGTCTTGCGATATTAAGATAGGAGAGAGAGCAGAGGACATGTAATGTGTTGATGAATGTCGTTTTATGTTTCAATAATAAAAAAGCCAAGATAGAATATTAATCTTCTCTGTACAAAAGAAGTAATGAAAACTTTACTACGGAGAGAATCAAAAAGGACAACGTAAACATGAACGAAACTATGTCATAAAGAGGCAAAATTTGGTCAACTCTATTTTATCAACAAAATCTACCATTGATTTCTCCAAGATATTAACTTTTACTATATATGTAGCGTTTGCTGTACAGTGAGGAGCAGAATTGGTCCAAAAAGGTGATGTTAATTGTGCTGCTCACTTTACCCAAGAGCTCCTCTCGAATTTAGCGTAAAAACTTCCAAATAAAAACTCGTACAGAGAATCACTAAATCAAAATAAACTGTTTAACGAAAGGCAAAGAAATATTGCAAAAACTGTGTCAAATTGCTGCATATGAACAATGCAAAAAAGATCAAATTGCGCTCATCGCACCAGTCAAAGGACACCAGCGATTTGGTGTCCTCTTCGAACTGATCAAAAAGAACTAATACTGTCTGACTTATCACTTTCTGTATAATTTCTTTGAATACTTCGATACGTGCCGTTGGAGCCGGAAAAGTGTAGACAGCATGCGTTGGCATGCAATATCGATACGGGGTCGTGGTCGTGTTTTTCGTGTTTTTGGCCGTAGAAGTAGAAGCTGTAGAAGGAGCTGTAGTACTAGTACTAGGAGTGGCAGCGGAAGATGTGGCAGTCCCATCTGGTGGGACGGGCTGTTGCTGGTCACCAGCTGGAGCGTCAGTTTTTCGCAACTATACACGAACACAACAACACATAAATCACAACAAGATTCCATATCATCCCAAAATATTAAAAATAAAAGAGGATTCTTCTTTTCTCTCCACCTCACAATCAGCACCTTCGCGTCGAGGATTTAAAATATTTTTAAAGTCACAAATTGGCTTACATTGCGCGCACGGAGAGAGAAAAGAAGGATTTCATATGTAGTATATAATAGAAAATTCCTTTAGCATAATCATTAATGCAACAGAGTGATCATACGCACAGAAAGTCAATCTCTTCATACACTTTGTGACACAGTGAGAGTATCATGATAAGAGAGGAGACACTTTACACACCAAATTACAGCGATACACATAGTGTCGGATGTATGTTTGTTAATTCATCCACAGAAAAGAAGAAGAAAGAATACCGCTTAGAGAGAGAGAGAGAGAGATACAACCAAAGAGAAAAAACATGAAAATCAGACACCTTTCTTTGCATAGTGCGAAAATGGGGGAGGAAAATGAGGGGTGAAAATGGTACATGAGCAGAAGAAAAGGTAATTGAGGTTCTCTTTCAAACACCACCGCCAATGGTGATCTATAAACCGGACGTTTCGTCCTGAAATACGCCGTGAAATATTCATCAGTGCGGAGCTTTATCGTTTTGGCGCGGGAGGAGAAACAATTTCCGAAATCGATTAGTTGCAACACCATTAGCATACACCACCCAATGTAGTTTAGTTAAAAAGAAAGTACTGTATAACTACACTTATCATGTACTATATTCTCTCGCTCCACACTCAACGCTTAATGTCTGTGAACATTAAAAGCACTCGCTTTCGGGCCCATGTGCTCACACTCTGCGACTCTTTGTCATACGGGCGATTATTAAATCAATTCCAACGTCTCACCGAGCGATGTATATTGAAGGAATTACTTCAAACATCCCCCCAATACAGCGCCAGGCATATTTATACACCCACTCACAGTGCAAATCAATTCCCCAACCGGAAGCAAACTTCCTGACTGCTCGTCAAAGCTCCGCCACTAATGACACTACAAACACGATCGATTAATTACCATTTCATTTCAATTAATACGCAACTCCAATGCTTGCGTTGTGTCTTCAATTAAAATGTTTCAATCGCTTGCAATATACAAAGTTGCAAAGCCCGTGGCATTGCAAAGTTCCTCATTTTGCAGTTGTTGTTAATGCGCAGCTTTCCTCCACACGTACCTAAAGTTTCATATATGTATGCAGTGTGACAGGAAATTTGAAAAATCTCAAGAGTGAATGTTAGAAAAAAAAACCATAAGAACTTCTTAAGTGATTCGTGTAGTTTCTAGTCTATTCCAGAAACTGAGGACATACAAAAATCTGGCAAAACTTTTGATTTGACTGGAATTTTAAAAATTTTTCTTTGCCTGAATACCTTCAGTATACAAAACCATATGAATTTACATACTAGAAGGACAATTTTTTACAGAAGAAACTGAAAATATTGCATGACTTCTTGCTAATAATTTCACATAGTCAATTTTTCTTTTACCAAAATTTTCTCTGGAATATTATTGTATTTTTTCCAATCCTTCAGTTAGAAACTGACGAAATGTTTCCCTTTTATTAATTATTAAATGGATAAAATTCCCTACAGACAGAATCATGACATGGAATCTTTGGGTTTCTTCCTCCGGATGGCGAACCAAACGAGCATTGTTTCATACCTCTGCGACTTCCTGATATCGGAAAAAATCACCTTCAATAATCACTTTTCACGTGGAATTCTTTGTAATTCACGTTAGTTTCGTCTACAAATAGCACATTGGCGCTCAGCAGAGTGGTGGAATTTCCAATTTGGCGTGTTAAGGGAGAAAAAATCTTCATTTTCCCTCAGGTTTCAACGAGAGACAACAAATCATAATGATGAAGAAGCAGTGGTGAGAGAGAAATGAAGACATATCCAGAGGAAATGTACCCAGAGTATAGAGGTAGAATAATGCATAACGGAGAGGGTGAAGAAAAAATGCGACACAAGGAAGGTTTGTCATTCAAACACTGTCATTTCCTCTTAGGGAAATTCTTCACATACAGCATGCAGACAACACTGATATTGATCATTGATTTCTTTGGATAATAATGCCTCAGAGGAAGCACTGCTTGTATTGGTTTTGGTATATATGATCGATTTTATATTCGGTGTGTTACATTATTTATAGTTATGCCATACATGTACTGTTATTGCCCACTCTCAAAATATTCAACAACAACTCTATTCATACTGAAAAATTTAGTTTCTCCACTTATGCAATGCAAAATGGCAAAAGAGATTTATTCAAGCTCCTTCTGCACTCTTGTACTTCGCCATTGTCCATAAATTCATTATTTATTTTCCATGTACATTTATGGGAATGCTCAATTGCTCGGCATTTCCTTTGACTTTTCCTGGACTTGAGAATGAATAAATCTCACAGCACGAGGTGGAATGTCTCAACTAAGCCCACCCCCTTTCGTCTTATGGTTCAATGTCACTGGAAATTTTAATGTGATCCTGCTTGTACACCGAAATGTGATTTATCGCTGTGTGACATGGTCTTTTGGAAGGGGCACACAGATAAGTCTGTGACTTTATCGCTAATTTGTTAATTAATCATGTTTATATTGAATTAACATAATTTGGTGCAGACTCACCTCCGCGTAGTGTTCTTCATTTTGCTGCAGAAGATCCACGCACAGCTCAGCTAAATGGATTAAATCTTCCAGTTTCTTCGCCGGCGGAACAATCACTTCGCCGCGTAAATCATCTAGAAAGATTGGGTGTTTTTTTTCGGGAGAGAGAGGAGGAAAAAGAGGAAAATTTTGATGAAAAACCAATTAAGAGAGAATGCAAAATACATTATAAGCAGGAAATTTATCAATATTGTACAAAGGAAAGCCAACAAACATACTTTACACTTATCCTAGAAGGAAAGATACTGGATTAATATTCTAAGGAAGCATTTTCACATAAAAGATTTACAAGTGTGTGTCACGAGAATGTGAAGGAATTATCAACATATAATCCAGAGTTGCAGAGGTTGCAAAGAGAGGAAGCGAATATGGTACAACATTTGAGTATAGCTAAAAAAGATTTTGTGCAAAATCAATAACATGAGGCAAAAATAAGAGAATCCATATAAACACGTTATACTGTACCGATGTTCGTGATAACCCCAGTCTGTTCTGTCGTGCCTACAAATGTGTTTATAGTTTGGTTGGTTGGCCTTCTTAAAAATGCATCAAAAGCACTGTATATGATGCAGGAGTGTGTATGTTCAGATGGTGCAAGAGGTGGGGAATTGATGTTATTCTGTTCGTTTAAATGAAAGTGAGACGCAAGGAGTGCAAGGATTCAACTGAATTTCATAACTCCACTCAACCATTTTCTATTTCTGTGTCCAATCAATAACTGCAGTTTGCAATTCAATGCATTTCCGTCCTGCCACTGATACTCTCTCTTTTCCCGATGTCTCACTGTTTATCTTTCAGCCTATCTTCCCACACCCACAGCACACGAACCGTACGGTGTACCATCCTTGTCAATTCACTTTTATTTACTATTCACTCGCAACAATAACTTCCGCCACCCATCATCCCACCCACGCCCGCCCCAATGCTGTTATGACAAGGTGTAGTTGAGTCCCTCAGATGGTCACACTAATTGAATCACATCCTACACTTTGTACATCGGCAAAAAGAACACACACCGAACAGTCTACAATTATGAACAACCATCAAACATTATAGGTGTACAATCTAACACGCACGAGAAATGCAAATGAAACAGACAAGACTCTATCAGGATGGCCAACTTCCTTTTTCTCTGCACAGCGCGAATCAACAACTTGCGCCACATAATATTCACCAGAGTCATGAACAGTCGAGCGTCCTTGAACCAATTTCGATCAACAAGCTATTTGATATATGGAAATGTGGGCCCTCCATGAGCACCACTATAAATTCACAAAGCGAACTTATTGAATTTGAGCGGTCATTTGTTGTGGAATATTGCACAAAGCATGAGGAAGTGTAAGCCAATAACTTGGAGAGATTATATTGTTATTTAACCCTCATGTTTGTGAAGACTTTCATGACTTTCATTAACAGATCGAACTGGATTTAAAGAGGATTTTAGATGGAAGTTTGGAGGAAAGCTCTGTGCAATTGGCTTTAAAACATCTCTTAATTTAGAATTGATAAATCTAATGCAGATAAAACCATTGCAACTTTAAGCGACGATTCACATGGTTTTCCCCAGATTTCCTGGATTTAAAGCTTTCTTTATCCTGTGTGTTCCGATACTTTCAGTATTCATTAGTTTTCCTGCGCAATCGAGAAGAGAAAATGCGGTATTGCTCAGCTTTAATTAGTTCGCAGGTACAAAGGAAGTTGGCAATCCTCGGTACACACACACAGTAGAGTAGAGACAGAGAGAGAGTATGAAATGAAAGAGGAGGTGGAAAGTATAATGGATTACTTCACAATATCCGGTGCATCCACTTAGGCATGGCACAGTCAATACAATTACATGATATCAAAGCCACATCAGTGAGTCAGAAGGGGGACTTTTGGCTAGGGGAGAGGGGATGAAAGCCTGCAAATGTGGGGCTGTGGACGAGAGTTTACCTTCGATCTTGGCCTCGTTGGAGAGGCGTGTGTAGTTGACGAGGGCCGCGGTCTCGAGGCTCTTCTTGATCATGGCGCGCACCTCCTCGGGCGGCACCGGTGTCACAATGTCCTTCATGAGGACGCGCTCCAACAGCGAGAGCGTCGCCTTCAAGGCACCCTCCGGCCGCCCAAATGGAAAGCAGAACCGGAAATTCGTGATCTGATACTCCAGCAGCACGCGAAGGCGCTCCTTGATCTCCTGGAATTTCTCCTTCTCCACGTGAGTGATACTGCCCACGCCGTCGGGTCGATTCCCGTGCACGTGACTGGCACAGAAGGCAAATGAGTAGTGAATGAGGGTGGGATCGATCATCATATTCCGTTCGGCCCGGTCCAGTAAATCGGAGAGGTAGCACAGGTGCCGATAGCAGCCGCGCACCCCGTACCGAGCGCAGTATTCATCCAAGACGAACACTTGGCCTGGACTGAACCATCCCAGAGACGCATACGGATCGTTGAGCCTGAAGTCCAGCGTCAAGTTCTGGAGCAACGCAAACAGACTGTGATGATCGAATGTGCATGGGTCGGCGCTAATGAAGTCCTCCATGCCGTGCTTGCGCGCCTTGTCGGCGTCCCCCTGGAGCTTCGAGATCGTCGAGTTCTTGTCCTGCGTCATTGGCGGCGTGGGCTTGTGCGACTGCCCGGTGGCCCGATACATTGCCATCACCCACAGACTGCACTCATTCTCATCGTCACATGCAAACAGGATGCTGTCGCCCTCGCGCACGGCATTGAAAAAGTACCTGCCACCCTCCAGGTCCACACCCACCATCAGATTGGCTGCAACCGATCGGGCTGAATTACGTGTGTAGCACGGATATCTATCTATGTTAGCAATCAGCTCAACTCACCACTTGCCGCCTCGATGTAGTCCACAGTGTACGCGTCCAGCTGCATCATCTCGGACGGCTCCGACTTCTTCTCCTTGTAGCTGCACATGGCGAACGTGTACTGGGACACCTGCACCAGCACGAAGTAGCGCTTCTTCCATTTCTTCCACACTGACTTACCGATTGCAAACAAGTGGCTGCACACAATTGGACAACAATTAGTCACTCGCCAATTTCTCACCCCGGAATTCCCAGCTCAGAGAAAAATAATGCGCACAACTCCGGGCAGAGAGCTCAACTTTCCCACCCAAGAACTTTATTACCATCTCTCGAATGTGACCCCGTATCATCTTGTCTCCCTTCGTCCAACTTCTAGGGATTCCTCATGTGAAAGTGCTCAAGGGGGAGATATTGTAATCTGAACATGGTGTACAACTAAGTGGAAGTGTTCAAACATTTGCTATTCTCCTTTCTTAGAAGATGCTTCAGAAATGAGTTAAAGCTTATCTCTGAATTCTTCACATTACTTTTTTACTTAGAACAATTTATTCTTTCTAAGAAAGTTGGAAATACTTTATTATTTTCCTTAAGAATTCACTAACAATTCCTTAAGAAATCCTGAAAGATATAATAATTCATAATTTCAATTTCTCCAGTGATTTCTTTCTAAAATTCTCTTATGCACTTCAAAAACTATTTAATAATTCTTCTTAAGGAATTTAAAAAAAAAAACAAGGGGAACTGTCAGGAAAGTGTGTACAAGTTCTTAAGAATATTATCTCTCCCTTGATGTTTACAAGTTTCACATGAGTTTGCATGGTGGCTATTTTTGAGTTGTACATAAAGTACCCCTAATAAAGTTGGATGGTATAAATAAAAGACTTGTTATATTTAGCACACGCCCACGCAGAAGAGGAAGAAGCTCCACTTTGGCCGTTGAAACTTCAGTTATGAAGGCACAAAAAATTATTAACCCTTCACTTTGCCCTTCAATCGACGGATCATTTTTCTCTGAGTGTCGGCACATGACTTCATTTCTGGGGACATTCGATCATGAGGCACAATTTGCACTGTGACCCATGTCACTGTAATTTAACTCATTGACTCCTGCTGTCCTTCTGCTCGCTCGCATCCAGTTCAATCCGACGGAACAGTGTACAAAGTGGCGTATGGAAAATTGAAGTGTTGAAAGATTGCAATGCACACAAGGTTGAGTGGTAAATTGTTATAATATCATGGATATAATAGCTAATAATTAAAAACTCGTGAATTTGCTGTCTAACATTGTGGCTGAGAAAGCAAGCTACTTTTCTATATTAAAATTGTTTATGCAAAAGCTAAGAATATTGAGTAATATGGAAAAAAGAGAGAGAAAATTATTGAGCAAAAAGTGTTTCACAATATTCATGATTAACCGCTGTAATCTGCAATATTAAAATTCATCAATGTCTTTCATAAATGGAAAATCATATGAAAATTTATTCAGGAAATTTCACTGCAAAAACCCCGTTCACCACGGATGATGTGGCATGTGAAAGAGTGGAAAATCCCCTTGGTGAAAATTTTGAAATGGCGTTTATAAGAGCAAAAAAGGCCACTCTTTCAAAGTGTAAATGATTTTACGTCACGCGGCAGGAGTCAAATGGTTAAGAGAGAAGGTTCGGACGAAGGACGGGAGATTTCCCAAAAGCGCATTGTTAGTCTGGACATCACAATGGACTCACTAATAACATAATTACTCTGGGGCGAGAGAGGACGTGCAGGAGGCGAGGATGAGGGCATTAAATAAATTAATTGATCCCACACTCGAGGCTCACAGTCGCTGGGTTGCCCAGGAAAACTGCCCCCTCATGACCATCTCTCTCTCTCTCGTGTCAGCAGCGCGCCATCGAACGCTACGACTCGGCAATGTTGACATATACAGACACACGAGCGTCAGTCGCGATATTAAAAGTGATAAAGTGGAAAATATACGACGCATATAAATTAGTTAGGAGCCATCGTCAATTTTCGCGATAAATCCTTAACGGTGAAATTGGCAGTTTTTGCGCCCCGCGTATGATTGCGTCCCTCCTTTCTCCGCGCACTGTCGAAGACAAATTTGCATATCAATCTGCATCAGTGAGCAGAGATCACCAACTGTCGTACATCGAGTCACTCCAACACCAATCCGCGCCCACGCTTTAGCCTCGATACCCACTCTTTATCCCGCGGGAAATTTATCTCTCAATTTCCCCCCGCCCAATTACACGCCAACGTAAAAACAAATCCACCTTCGGAGTTCGAAGGCAGCTGGGGAAAAAAACCCTTCTCAATTCTGAACAGGTAAAGCATGTTTTCAGATAAAGTCTAATTGACCCTGAAAAACCCTCGAATGTTCAAAATTAAACCATATCTCACAACTTCAGAGTTTCTGGCGACATCAAATGGCAATTTTCCCGTAGCTTATGCGTTGGCTGAAGCCTTTTCAACTCTCGAAAGCGCAATAAAAGTGATTTTGCAATCTGATGCCTTTTCAAAGAATCTTCCGCACTTGAGAAAAACTCTCACAGAATTTCTTCGGGATTTCTAGACGGCATTGTGTTCCATTTGATAATGACCTTTTCAAATTGCAATACGATTTTTCCATCTAAAGATTCAGTTTTGATAGTATTTTAATATAGAAACACGCAGCTAATTGCAGTGAAAAATATTTGTTCAACTTCCGTTTTTTTTTCAGATTTAAATCAGAATCTGTCGAATTGCTAGCCCACTGAGGTGTGAAATTAAAGCGAAAAGCTGTCGCTTAGGGTACATCATAGGTGTTTTGGAATTAAGGATGCAAATAGCGACCGTTTTCCAACTATCGACAGATACATTCTCAATATTGTCACCATCAGGAAGGTGTATAATGTGAAATGTGAGCTTTAGACGTTAGTGAAAATTCCCTGCCACCACTTTGGCGCACCGGAGAAATGGCTCCGAATGATTGGCAAAACACTCAAATAGCATTAATGGTAAAGTGTGTGGAACGCAAATATTATCACAAATAGTATCGAATGGCCCCAGAATTGCTTTTGTCACCGCAATTTTCCGCCTCAAGTGTCGACCAAATGCGACGGCACACGCGTGCAAAATACGTGGAAGTGCGGGATCAAATTTAAATCATAACACACTTTATCCCATCAAGTCACGGGGAATTCGATATGGCATGATGATGGCCTTATCACGTGATATGTTAATGTATAAAAATAGACACCAATTGAATGGAGATTGTCCACTTTATGAGTTTAACGTCGCTGCTGCTGTACAAACACTATTATGAGGCGAGATTACCGATGCGATCCGAGGGGGAGATATTGAGCAATGCGCGAAGAGTGTGGAGTCAACTCAGAGTTGATTTTATCGCAGACAGAGGATAAAAATCTTGTAAGTCATAAAATAAACTTAATAAACACTACACGGGAACATTGTATGTACATTCTTTTATGAGAGTATTTAAGGGAAGGTTATGAAATTCCACTATGATTGAATTGTGGAGCATCCTTGATATGTATTATATAGAAAGTTATTGACAGCAAGCTTTCGAAACTTTCCAATTGCACTCGAAGTTTCTCAAGGAGCACCACATTTGGCGTTGTGAATGTTTAACACGACATTTGCAGAGAAAATTCGGTTAGTTCCCTTCAATTTCAATTGAGAATATTGCAACGTGTGACCATTTCGTTGGGCAATAATACTGACAATCCTCGTAAAAGATAGACTTGATGGCTTCCTGGCCCATCCGTTTTATTGTCTTTTGTCATCCGTGAAAGAAGAACGCGTCCATTGCATTTCCATAAATTGCAAAAGGACCAGAACCCACCGTTTGGCATCTCGTGAAATTTATGATCTCTAATGTTGGGCACACAGTCGTAAATTGCCAGCGTGTCCAAATAGTCTCTCGCTGTGCGACTTTCCATACAATCAACTCTGCGTTGACGCACAAGGAGGAAGACAAGGATTGCGGTTTGTGGAGCGAGAAATGTGATATGGAAGGACAGAACTCACCCACAGTGTTTCATATTGAGTGGTTTATCCATGCGACAGGCGATTTTGATGCGCAAATCCTGGTCGGGCAGATTCTTCGGCACGGTCATCCTGTGCCATTCCGGTGATTTGGAGGAGAGCGGTGTGGGCCTCAGGATTACCTTACCTAATTCCTTGTCCTCCAGCGCCAACATTCCCGGATTCTCTGTGTACAGCTTCACCTTGACGGCCGGCAGAGGGTGAGTGGTGGAGAAGTCACCCTGCGTGTCCCACCTAATGTCCGTTGCAGCAACATATCATCACAATTTCCATGTCAGATTAGGTTGATATTGCAAAAACACACATTAATATCACTCTGACGCTAACAAGGAACACACAGAGATAGAGAGAAACTTGAGGATAGATCCAGTGAGAGAATGAGAAGAGCTTTTGGGGAGAGAGAGTTATCGAGACACAGGGGAGACTAAAGAGATATGAACACACGCTGAGGAGGGAAAGAAGTGAAATAAAGAACAGCATTATGGACAATTATGATAGTAAGTGCTCTCACATGGGCTTGGACGCTTCCGCCTGGTCCGTCTGCAATTTCTCACTCTCCACTTCCATAGTGCAGTAGACAATCCGATTGGGAGCCAAGGACTTGAGGCCCTTCACCTCCATCACGACGACTTCCAGTTGAAATGTGAGCACCACATCCATCTTCGTTAGCTGTGTGTCTCCATCGGCAGAGTCGCCCTCCAATTTGGCCAGCGATCCCTGTGACCTGAGTATCATTTTTCTAGATGTGTACGTCACGAAATTGCAGTTATCCCACAACAAAAGTAATGTGTGTGTTGGGCAAAAATGCATTGATGATCAGGTTTGTCAAGGTTCAATTAAGAGCAGAGAACACAAGAGTATGGCAAAAACAGGCATGGCCAAATACGAAAAGTTGTCGATAAATCGTATGTTCATTCCATTGTGATATATATCAATTGCATCATTTACCTGTGATTGTAGCGCTTCAGCTTCTGTAGACCGTATTTGGAATCCATTGAGCCCTTCGACACCGGCAGCGACTCGAGATTTGCCATCAGCAGGTTTATCGATGATTTCAACTCTTCGATGTACAGCGACTCCATTTCTTTCAGCACAAACTTTGGCATCAACTTCCGATTGCGCTCCATCTCGGACACACGCTGCATCCGTCCATCGAGCTCTCGCCTTATGGCCGCCGCCTGTTCATCCGCAGAGTCCAGCTGCCGAAGAAAGGGAAGCGTCATCGCATTGCTACAGGATTATGCCATTAAAGTGGAAACCCAATCGATTCTGTGGCATTGCCACTCTCGCGGAGCACCCAAGCGGGCTGAAGAGCAATAACATAAAACCACCGTTAATGCCTCCCACATAAACACCGCGACGGGGGAAGAAGGACAAGTTTCTCTAATATGGATTGCGGATTTGTCAACCAGCCGCCCTCCCATTGCGCCTCACCCACTGCGAACATTAAATCTCACTCTACAATCCACCCATTTAAACTCCATCGGCCTCTTTGGCGCCAAGGGGGAGATATTGAGGCCTCTGAAAGATTTCTCAATACTATTTGAGGCTTTGATCGACGAAGATTTGAAAAACAGCCAATTTTGAGACATTTTTGAAGCGCCTGTATTCTGTATTCAAAGTGAGGAAAAACCAGGAAATGACCTGGGAAATGGTGCACAAATTTTACACTTACTATCTCCCCCTTGTTTGGCACAAGAATGAGAGCGAGTGCTCATGCCATTGTCAGGGGAGAGACTTAAATCACCGAAAGAACACGATTTTGGCGCAAAACGAAATCAATAAAGGAGGTTTGCAAGTCACCCCGATTATATTTCAATCTCAGCCAACAATATTAAGCATGATTATGTTGCGCCAGAGAATTTATTGGTGTCATTTTTACTACCACTTCACACACTATATGAACAATGTGGAAATTGGCCATTTATCAGTTGTGTGAAGAGATTTCGTAACGAAAGGTCAAGTGCTAAATATCACAGCACGATGGAAGTGATTTTGGTATTCTCGATGAAACTGCGGGAGAAGAATTAATATCAAGTTATGCAAGAGATATCTTCTCAAGCACAGTTTCCCCTTTCCACAGCTATAAATTGCTAATTCTCTAGCGAGTGTGAATCGAGGCGATAGAATTTTTCCCATGATTTCTCCATTTTTCGTCTCTGAGTTAATCACATTGCAGAGAATTGAAATGTGCAGCAATAATACATTTTTCTATGATATTCTCAATGAAAATGGCTGCTAAAAAGCATGACACAATTTTGATAATTGATTGGTCCTGAATTTAATCACAAGTGATTTAAAAAAAAAATCATACGTAAATTTGAGTGTGAATATGCGAAAAGGCCAGAAAAGGTAAAACTATTTGCCAGACACAAAATCTAGCGAATTTCTCGACAGATTTTTTCTCTTGTAAAGATCTGAACTTTTGGGTCTGTTACAGATTCAAGAAGTTTCAACTTAACTTTCAAACTGAGAAATATATTAACCAAATGGGAGAATTTTGTCCCTCAAACCTGGAGTTCGAAGGCATCAGTGTCCTAAATTGGGAATCTATTGAACACAGATTGATATATTTGATTTTGACCCCACAAAGCTTAAGATTTATCGCTTTTGATGGCATTTTGGATGAGAGACTGGCAAAAATTAGCCAAAAGTCCATCCAATGAAGGTCATCATTGAATTGAAAACATCAATTACGCCACTTAATTTCCCAAATGACAATTTAGGCAGTGAATTCCGTGAATTATTCATAAATCACGTCGTTTAGTGAAATTTTGTGGCCGATGGCGTCATATTGTGGGGAGAATACGAGGTATCTCAAATAGTGCAGGCGACTGAAATTTCTACCCTTTCTACCCGTTGGCTCGGAAATAGTTTGTATGAGTTTCCCATAGATAAGCACACACACATATGGTTAGAGGCTTCAAGTGGCAAAAAATAACCTTTTCAGGAGAAAGTCTCCCATTCTGCACGGCGAAACTTTCATAGCGCAAATAAGTTTCACACAGGATGAATATAAAAGTTCAACCTCACAGATAAGACGCGAGGTGGAGTGGAGGGGAAAAAGGCACGAGATGAGAATACATATTGTGTATCCTCCACTTCTGTTTGCCCTATGCCACCTCGCACTTTCAATGGGAAGACGGACTGCAAGTGTGTGTGCTAAAGGGCACCCATATAAAGGTGAAGTGAGAGAGATTTATAGCGATTCCAACAATTCCCAATCCATCATGTCTTCTGTGACTCACCATTAGTGCATTGAAGAGGATTTGATGCTCGAACTTCTTCACGCCGAGAATCTGCTGAAACATGTCGTAGAGCTGCTCCTTTGACAGAATCAACTCACTGTTGAGCGGTTGCTGCATTCTCGTGGGGCGCTTCGTGTCCTCATCGCCAGTGCCCTTCAGGATGCAATCGAACTTTGCCATCCACGATGTCAGGACGGTCTCCTTGCTCAGCCCATCGATTTCCGGCAGTGAACGCACACGCTTCTCAATATTATTTCGGAACACCTCGCGAAAGTCATGCTGCGAGCATGCACCCGATTGCACCATCTTTTGAACACGCTCCGACTTCAAGAAGACATCGTGGTAACTTTGTACAGCATTCTGGAATGCCTCGTCGGCCATTATCTGCGTCTCACCCTTCATGAATGCCACAAAGCGCGCAGTTATTGTCTCCAATTGATGCTTCGTGATCTTTATCTGGCGCCTTGTCATATCTGTCGGTTGCTTCGCGTTGAAGGGATATGCAATACATCGTGACACGAACACGTACAGTTGAATGCGTCGCTTTCTCTCCTCCTCCTCACGTTCGTGGCGTTCCTGTTGAAGACACGAGCAGAAATATGGTGTGCTTCAGAGTGTGTTGCTCAAACTCATTAAATCATAAGTGGAATTTTCGCATGTTATCTCCACAAATTTAATTGTAATATTCAATTCACATTCAATACAATATTTGTGACTTGTTGAAATCCAGTTCCACGCTATTTACTGTGCGGGCTCAGGAAAGGGGGATTGATGATGTTGCTCCAACTTGCAAATATGCAAATTTCGATGGCCCCCCAACCGCCTTGGCAAAATACCGCAAAATACACACCGAATTCCATGAATATCGATTGAAATAATTCAATTTGCCAGAAAAGGCTTCTCACGCTCACTGACTGTCCCAGCCCATCTTCAATCCACCGCAAAACGTTAATAATTCACCAACGACCAGGCTGACCCGCACACAAGCAAAATAACTCCGGATTACATATCCATGCCCTTTGCGATAGAACTTTTGCTATATATAGAGTCTGCGGCTAATTTCCCTACACTTTTTGTTTACTCCGCCTGTTTGTATTTGTCGCTCAGCCACTCCATGCCCATGAGTTACAAGTGAATAGCATTATGAAGGCATGTACAGTGGAATTTATGTGGGGCCTTTGCTGTGTCTCTCCCAAACTTTTAATCAGTTTATACGCTGTTGGTAAAGTGACAACGCAACACTGTTGTTCAGAGAACATTCAAAATTTTCCAGCTTAGCACTGTTATGCGCCACTGTCATATACATTACATAAGCACACGCTGGCTTCGAGAAGGACCTCTGTGATGGTTCGTTAAAAAATATAGGATGGGCATGAGCAGCCATAGAGAAATAGCCCCATACCATCGCCTATTCACGAGAGAGTGTCGCCCTACCTGTTCTCATCGCATTTTCCGCACTTTCCAATTCAAAATCACACTCACAACATGTGACACCCGCCCTTTCAATGTTGGATGCAAATGAGAGAAAAACACGGTGAGCGGAAAATTAAGCTAAATATAACAATAGCCATGATATGTGAAATTAAATCAATTTCCCTCGCATGCAACCCGAATCAATAATCTCAAATCGCATGATAAAACCGCACACATTTCCGTGCGTCTCCTACACACAAAATCAACCCTCGATATTCTCACATTAGTCCCATTTCATAATTATATTTACCACTCGCCCAGGGAAGTTGTTTACAATATCATACTTTCAAACTCTCCGTGTTGTGTTCGACAGCGGAACGTGTGTCCGCAGATACTTTTGGAAAACACATTTCTCATCGCCCCTCAGCGCGCTGCACCCAACGAATTGTGGGTGGAAAAACTTGACCAGACATTGAGGAGGTTTACAGAGTGAATGTATTTTTCAAGCACATTGTACATAATGTATTGCAAAAGAGTGTGCTAAAGTTCTGCATGTGTCGAGTTCGTTATATCTCAAGTTCACGGAGATTGAACTATTCCTCGCATCAATTTCATTTATTATGGCAATTGATACTTTCCACCTTGTGCCAGGCAAAGTGAGAAGCAACTTGAAGGGGAAATTATTTTTCACGTCCCATCCGCCCGAGGCGTTATTACTTCCACTCTGTTTCGTCTAAACTTCCAAATGAAGCTTATTAGTGGGCGGAGCTTGCGCCAGGGTGGAGTTTATAAACAATACAGTCCAAATGCGGAGATAATAAGGTGAATTTCCTTCTTATTTGGATTTTTCCATTGTCACAGTCTTCAGAATTCAACAATTTGTATTTTCCAATATTTATACAGTCAAGGTGAAGGCAGAGTACATTTCAACCACTAGAAAATGCACTATTTATCTGTGATTATAGGTTGTCTGAGTCAATCACTAGTTACATTTTACATAACCACTTCACGTGTCATTTGAATATCATACAGAGAAATCAATATGTAGCTTAATTGCGTGAAAATAAAACTTTAACTTGGGACATCTTCTGAATATTTCAGCGCAGTAACACCGCATGTTATCATGTATGATAAGTGATAAAAGTGTGCATTCTGAAGGCATCACTCCCACAAGTATGAATTTTTCAGACAACAGCAGCAGCCATCAGCATTATGGTGTGCTTTGAGAGGCGAAAGAGAGGTGCTTAAATATTAAACCACCATAGTAGAAATGACTGCGAGCCTCTGGATATTACACTGAAGGTATGATTCTCATACTCACAGCAATATCAGCTTCGTTCCGTTCGCTGACGACTGACGGGGATGGGGACTGCGGCCTGGCCAGGGAACTCGTCCTAGAAGACGGTCCCATGCTCTGATTCAGCGTCTCCTGGCTGGCTGCGCTCGATGCAGATGGCGAGAGCGTTCTGCGGAAGATGGAGAAATGAATAAATTGTCCACAGTCGCACTCTACTTCTCAACCACTATGAAGCATTTACCCGGAAGTTCTGTGCATTATTTCTTCATCTTGACTGTATGTTCCATGACAAGAGTGCATATGCATGAGGCATGAAAAGTTTTCACGAACTTATAGAGTGACTTTCTCAGACACAAGCTCTATTGTTCACTCAAAGCATTAATCAAATCAATTAAGAAATTTCTGCATAGGAAAGTGATGAAAGCACAGCAGAAATTCAACTTGGAGGCGAGGAAAAAGGGATGATTCAAAAGCAAAAAGCCATTGATATCAATAACGTTATGTGAACTTCCCTTGCAAGAGTGAAATATATGAGTAATAATGTCTAGTAGATACTGTTCCTTTTCACTGAATTATGTACACATTGTGGCATAATAGAATTTTCTTTGATGCACAACAAATTCAATTTCCTCCTTACGATATATTTATCGAAATGGGACACATGCATTTGGCACATTATTCAATTTTCCACACCATGCGCGCTCGAAGGTGTGCTCTTCCGATTATATTGAAAATGTCATTGCGGTGCGAGGAAGAGGAAATAAAATCCCACAAATTGAACACATAAGAACAAGAAACTCCTTGAGAATCTCACTGAATTGATAAAATTAACAACGAAATTTTTATGAACGAACTTTCTTCAAATTTCATGAATAATAAACACCCAATTACTTGTCATGGAAAATTTCACAACTTCTTCCCATTATTGTTGTGCCGAAAGAAAATTTTTATTGATTGGAAGTATGAGGATATTTTTCAGCGGAGCAGAGAAACCCAACATTAATGTTCTTTCTTCTCTTCTGCCAGAGCGTGACGAATGAAAATTGAGAGTTTGCGGAAAAGTATCACTTACTACAGCGTTAATGGGTGACGAGAAGTGGGATGCGAATGGTTTAATCTTTATTAAGGTGAGGAAGAGTGATGGTTGACTGTTTGTAAATTCAATTTACTGCGTGCATTTTCTAGAAAATGTTATTTAAAAATAACTTCCTGCAGGCAATCTTATATTTTTCCAAGGAAAACATTTCTTGGTTTTCATAAGACATTTTTCAATTCCGTTCATTGTTTTATTGGAGTTGAAATACATAATCTAAACATTTGTTTTCTCAGGAATATAGACACAATGCTGTTTCCCTTCTCTTGAGCTGCCATGCTATAAAAAGTTCAATATTTTCATGTTCTCTGCGTATAAGCTTTCCATAGAATTCCGACTTGAGTTACAGAATCCGAAGTCTATTCAGCATTGTATAGTTTTAATCTCATATTTGTTTATGACAACTCACATGAAAAGCATTCCTATTCAATGGTTTTGTTTGTCAGATAGAGAGAGGGCTTTTTCTTTCAACATCAGGGTAATGCGGGGGCACGTTTGGAGACGGACAGTTTCTGAGATAAAACCATTAAGTCATTAACATTCGCAGAAATGCTAGAAATGTCTTATATTTCACCCTTTTCACTTATATGTATCTTAAAGTGAATTCTGGCGTAATTTTGTTAGCATGACAATGTCTTGTGACATTTTCATTGATTCTCATAAGATATTTGCATGGTTTAGTGGACAATGTCATGTGAAAAGTGCGTGACTTGTCTGTTGATTTATTTTATCGAGCTTATTCAGATAAATCCGATAAATCTCTAGATAAAAAGTTCGGAAATTTCTCTGCTCCGCTCTCCCCTAATGAGCTTTATACTTATGCAAAGATTATGATATGTTATGTGGTTATTGACTATAATACATTCGGCGTGTCACAACGCCTCCGACCATTGGCAGGTCATTGGAATGTGGGAGAAACGAGGGCAGACTCACCTTGGCATCGACGATGAGGGCACATCAAGGCTCCCAGAAGTGTCACTGCCGGCGTGGGACAGATGGCCGCTGTGGCCGTGATGGGTATCTTTAGAGGCACCGTGGCCATGGTGGACGGGCGTCGCCGAGCCGCCGGAAATCGCGCTGCCACCATGAAGCAACTCCTGCGGCTGCTTGGCACTGCTGCTGGAGCCGTGACGTTTCAGACCGCCCGGTGCACCGATGTGGGCGCCGTGCTTCGCCGGCGGATGGTGCTTCAGCGTCTGATGAGATCCCTTGCCGCCTCCCGTCTGCTCCTCATCACTCTCCTCCTCCGACGAGCTGGGATCGATCATGCTGCCGCGCTCACACTCCTGCCCACGTCACTATTCTCACCAACGCTGTGCCTCTGTCTCTCAGGACTTGACTCTCGACGAAGGCCTTCCGGTGCAGTCAATTCCACCGGGGAATCCGTCAATTCACTCCGCAAGTTCACCGTTCAGTGCAGAAATACTTTCCTCCCTTTATCATACACACGCGGAAATATCCTCACATGCGGCAATTGCTAGTCCAATGGCACTTTCTGGTCTGAAAAAAAGGGAACAATGAAAGAGAGATGAATGAGTGAATGCCTAAATTCCACACGGAGAGTATGCGAAAAGTGGGTGGTCTGAGAAAATCACGAACAATTTTCAATTCCTTGGCGCGAGCAGTCCCACTTCCGCCGCCCCCCTTTCACCCACACATCGCACATGCGAAAATGCTAATGAGCAAGAAATGACAACGGCAAAGATGCCGAGAAGATAAAAGGAACAGGAAATAATCTACATATTTACACCCATAGTATAAAAATATTTTGGGTTTTTGCCATCAAAAGGCACAATTGTTCTATTTTTGAACACTTTCTCACACAATTCCCTCTCATAATTTTCTCCAGTCCCTGCTCTGCCATTTCCTCTCTTTTTCTTCCTTGTAATGCCACTTTTATCGAATGGGATAAAAATAATTGCAATAAATTTGTCTTGCGGAAGAATGCTTTCGCGGAAGTGAGACGAGAAAAGCCACAAGAAGAAAAGCACTTTGCTGAAATTGCTGAAGGAAAACTATGTGAAATATGCTCAAAATTGTAATGCGCATTTTCTACACAGAGAACTTTAATGAAAGGATATAATTGAATTGAGAGGATTTATGTAAATTGAATTTATTAAAATTTAACGAGGTAACGAGTGGACAACACTAGATTTTAATGCGTTATTTCCGGAATGTTTATGTGTTTTCGCTGCAGACGACTAATAAACATGAAATTCAAAAGTAAACTCGTATATTAGCATTCTCGGAAAGGTGACAGAGCACATCTGCTCCCTAATCACCCAACAATGAAGCAATATCGCGAGCTTATCGGATGGAAAAGCTAATGAAGCTCAATACCAAATCCATCGAGTGCAAATTTGTCACTGAATTTATGGACTCATGGCTAAATTCATCATTTTTCTCCCCCAAAGTATTTTCCACCATCACCGCTTGTCAACGGGAAAATGCTCTGCCAAAGTTTCAACTTCTCGTATGACGCTTTAATAAAGTTTTCACGATGGAAAAACAAGCGTTGTAAAAATTTTTGATAGATGACTTCAGCTGGAGCAATTTGCAATTCCCCTTGAAAAGCCACTTTGTCAAGTGAAATTCAATTATATGTGATATTTTCTTGATTTATCAGATCTGAAATGATGGATTTACAATTTTCACGTGAAGCTTTCCCCGTGGTTTTCAGAGAATTTCTCCAAACTATTTGCCAAATTGCAGCAAAATTTTCTCAGAGTCAGAGAAGGTAATTAAATTACAGCAACATTAATTTTTCACATCACTAATTGCCTTTTCATTGATCTGCACAACACAAAGATTAGAACAAAATTCATCTCCGAGTCAGAGTTAATTTTCTTTAAAATTGCTTTTGCGTCACAAATCACAACAGAAGAGTCCATTCACCAGAAAAGCTCCACAATTCTTGCGCAGTCCTTTATGCTAATTGAATGTTTGTTGCAGCCAACACGAGTAATAATTGCCACTTCATACACAAATTGTGGTAATGGCGAAAATGAGTAAAAAGTAGCAAAAGTGCAGTTATTGGAAGAATACTGTAAACTGTATTTTTCTCACTTCACGCTTTAACATGGAGACAATTAAGACTCATTGCTGGGTTTCTGGAAATGTGGAGCATTGAAAACTATGGAAAAAGCAGAAATTAGGAAAATGAAAAATACACTTTTCATATTTCAGCTCTCAATTGCATAGTTTTATCCCATTTTGAAGTCCGTAGTTTGAAAGTTTTAATAAAATTATCCTAGCGATATTAATTTCTTCTTGTTCAACTTTTTACAAACGGGCTGAAATTTAAAAACATTTCGTTAACAATCCTGTAGCAGACTTTTAACCCTTCAGCTGTTTGTGGAGTTTTTCCGGAACTTATACAGCGTGTTTTAACTATTTTGGTTTTTGTGGCTGCAATTTTGCACCAAAGATTTTTAAGTGTTTTATAATAAACTGTTTTTTCTTAGAATGAGTGCTTTGAGTAAATAATGAACCGAAGACATCCATAGTTCGTTAAGATTAGAGTATTTTAAGAATATATCTCATTATTTCTCGATTATTCTAACTTTTTGGTTCATCTGATTAGTTATTGAATTATATAGCGTTAAATTGAGTTATCTTGATAATTTCTTGTTAATTTCCTAATCTCAAATTTAATGTGAGTGTTTGAGAAATCACAGCAATTTTTCAAAAGTGAATTTGAATATACAAGATGCGAAGTAATTGCATTTCTCTCGGGGTCATTCTGTGCCACGCACAACGCACGCAAACGACAGAACAGTTGTATTCCTGCCAAGGAAACAATGTGTTTTGCGTTTCAGAGGCACATCGTGCGATATGCAAAGTACGTGTCGCACACACTCCACATGAATTGACTTTGGCGAGCACTTTTCTGTGTCGCACCCCAATACACATCGACACAGGCCGTGAGTTGACCTACTTGGGCGCCCCATTCAGCAGTTCAGCCCTCGGCGTCGCGCCCAACATGCCCAAAATCGTGCTGTGCGTCGACGAAGAGTCATCTCATATGCCAGCAAATTGTTGGCAACTCCGCTCTGAGGTGGCACACCAATTAATTCTGACAACCAACTGAAATAATGAAATTCTCGTTTCCTCCACTGCAGAAGTCTTCTCAGCATGACAAGAAGCACACATTTCGGAATTATAATTGAACATTTGCTTGAAATCCATCTCTATCCGCGGTTAAGCTGTGCGCTTTTCCGCACGACATTTGGGGGCGCAATTTCAGTTGGAAAAGCGCACTCAACCGCACTTTTCTCATTTTGGACCGCCACAGTGTCCGAATGAGGGTGAAAATTGAGATTCTCGGAATTGCAAGAGTAAATAAAATTGTCTGTCGCACGACGAGAGACGCAAAGGTAGAAAGGCCATGTAATTTTTCATGTATGTTTGCACATCGAGTAAACCAGAAAGTCGCAGAACATTTGCAATTTTCGTTCAACACTACTTAATCCGAAGACGTGATAAGTATCCACAAATAGTGGGAGGAATTCTCAGCTTATATACGCAAGGGATATTTATACCACTGCATGTAATGTATGGGGAATACATAAAGGGCTCAAGTGTACTCAGGGAAATTATCCAACACGAGAAACAGAGGGTTTGAGGCAAGTGAAATAAATAAAAATATGGGGGAAATTACAGGCTTCGGAGCAGTAAAGGCAAGTTGTAGCGTTTATTCCAAATGATCACTCTCCAGGTTTGTTACCGTGAAAGGGTTTAGTTTAATAAATTTTCAAATATAACACACTCTCTCTCTCTGGCCTCTGACTTCACCTCACGAAGATCAATAATTTCATACATTCATCTTGAGTACATTGAGCCCCAATGGAATGAGATTATATATAATTTCATGATGTTTTCATAATAATTTTCCATGTCCCCTCAATTCCACTCGATATAGCACTTTTCAAACTCACACACAACACGCATTTGACGATTTCACAAATGGACTTTCGTGCCACTGCGTGGCTCATTCTTATTTCCACTCCCACCCTCTCATTCACAACGCCTCCGCGCCAGAGAACAACCCTCGAGGCTCACCTCACAAGCCTGAGCATCATACTGTGAGTGATGGAATGAAAATTCGCTGGAACCACACGAATATGCCTCAGTGATAGTGATTTTTCATTGAGGCGGAAAAATTGACTTGTGCATTTTTCATTTTGCCCAGCGAATGCGCGCCATCCGCGAAAATCCACCCCAATCCACCATTTCCCATCCCCCGAAGCAGTGTTTTGCAGTGTTATTTCTCCTTGCCAATTCAACGCCATGTGCAGAAAAGCGAGTGTCTTCCCTTTTCACCGTTCATGAATTGTACTTCACGAGGCCTATTCAAGGGGTGCTCGCTTTGCAACCCTCTAATGCACACAGAGCGACTCAATGACTGCAACTGGGGCGCCGTGCAGTGCTTTTTGGGGGTCACACAAGAGGGACAGTGATGTGAGAAATGCGGAAAAAAGCTCACCCCTAAACATCATCAGCAATTGTGTATCGCGTCTGGCCACTCTTGTGCGCCATTTTATTATGCGTTGCGGGAGAAATTTTCCACGAGCTCTGCAAACCCCTGAAATCCTTCTGCACTGCACTGCAGGACACGCACTTGAGCACACTCGGGGGACTCTTAGCACTGAAATGTCGCCTCCCTTTCGCACTCCAGGGCCCCGAAAGTGGCACTGACAATTGTGTCAAATCACTTTTGCACGTCTCTGCAGGGGAAAAAAGGTTGAAACATGAGAGAAGTGTGTGAGAAAATTGGAAATTTCCCGACTATGGTTGACAATTGTGCGGAAAATTGGATCTAGCAATCGGCCCAGAAGCACTCTGTCTCTTTTTCCTTGGCTTTGTGAGGGACTTTTGGTGTTTCAAGGGGGAGAGCAAAGTGGCAAAATGATAAGACTTACACAACACACACACCGAGTGGAAAACTTTCCGTGTCGTACCACAGCGACGGAATTGCGTGAACTGAACGATGGAAATTTTGCAATTGAGCAAATGGTGGTGTGGTGAAGTGGAGCACTGTTGGGATCTGACATAATCTGTGGGGCTTTTTGGGTGCTTTTCCATCGGCGCATTGAGCAACTGCGTCGATTGTCATTCACTAAAAATTTCCTGCTGACGAAGCTTTTTTCTCCATCGACTGGGAAACTCAACGAAAGCTTCCCCTCTTTTAGAGCTTCCCTAACTTTCGGCAAAGTCCCTGCTTTTCTCTCCACAGCAGAGCTGTCCACCTACTTTTGCATCGAGCTTTTGAGCATTATATGTGAATAGCTAATATGTGCTGCACTTCAGTGTAATTCAAAATAGAACTGAAAAAAACATTCGCGGAGATTAAAATGTACCTTCTGATAACTTCAAAATTATGCAACTTTCATAAAACTTTTCAATCTCCGGTCGCTTATCTTCATGAGCTTTTGACGGCTTCATCAAAGTGCTTATCTTAAGTACACTTCTTGCTGGATGAAGTTGGAGTTAAAGAGTCCCATTGATGGCTCTCTAATGATTCAATATATCGATTGTTCGTCTCCTGGGACTGTCACAATCGCATGCGTGTGGAAAAGCACACGCGGCGAAGGGCTTGCGCTGGAAATTACCACATGATACACACTTTGCCCATTTCACCGGCGGCTAAGCCTTATCACGGCGGACGGGATCACTTTAAATAAGAGAAAGTGTCTGTCACATCAAATGGGTGGATTTGTAATCGGTGTTAGCCGGAACTGAGTCATTTGACTGACATAGTCCTTCCGGGAAAATCATCTGCATAAGCCTCCGTGCCGACATTCCAGTCACGTGCATGGCGTAATGGCTCGGGCAGAAGAGAGGGTGTATTATGGCTTTCGGTGATACGGTGAAAAAGGTCCATTTCGGTATATTTTCAGTGTCATTGAAAGAATGCCCAAATACGCCCTCCTGAGGCGCTCAACGCATTGTTTGTCACACAATGTCTCCCCAATGATGTCTATTTTATTTGATTTAATGCAAGAAAACACTTTCCATGTATCGTCATATATTTCGTCCCAAACTCCTCAGCGAACACACTTGAACTTGAGAGGAGCTTTGAGTGTGTGCTTCAGTCGCAATCTATCTCACTCATGGAAACTCAACACGTATATATTACGCAATAATACAATTACGGCTAAATTGAAGCGCGGAATAAAATATTAATATGTTTCATAATACATTTAATTCTATCAGCAAATCATTAATAATTAAAAAGCCGCTAGGCAGTAAATTTTGGTACACAATTTAATTAAACAACATTTGTATGTGATTGAGAGAAAATTATTCACATTGGCGTGGTGGAAATCCATATGTTACACACTCTTGTTCTACGATATGAAAGGTACATAATGCGAAATCGAGAAACTAAGTGTGGCGGAATGCTCATGCCACAGATAACCTATATGTTTCTTCTTTCTTTCCTTCTCACATTTGTATTAGGCTCCGAAAATCCCAACTACAAGTAAACAGGCTTAGCAAAGATGCCTTGAAACATCTTTTAAACTGCAGTGTCACTCGCAAAGAGAATTATATTTCTTATGGAAGTTACTGTAGCTAAAACTTTCTATAGCTTAATACACTCCTCCATGCTGAGTTGATCTACGTTGTTAATGAATTTAGCATTCACACCGCAGAAAATGGGGAAAATTGTCGAGTGCAAATTGAAAATTTTAAGCCATCTAATTCTCTCTGCCACTTGTGTCGTCTAAATTGTGCTGATTTAGATGAAATTCAGCAAATAAGATGGTTCAATTGCTCTGGTAATTTCTCCCCTTCACCCCCAAAGTGCTGTAAAACTGTGTGGCTGGTGCTGAATGGATAGTTGAAAGAGCGCTCATCCCAAAAAATAATTCCGCATTATATTAGGTGTTGAATTTTAATGAGAAAATGTAATTAAATTGAGAATTTGGGACAGAATAATACTATTTTCATGAAGGATTGGGCGCTTCGGGAGGTGGGAAAGGGAGAGCAACAGATTTCTGCACGGCGCGAGGACATCCCTGGCGATATATACCATGCATATATTTTCATATATATCAAAAGTTTAAATACAATTTTGAAAAGCTTGTTTACACAGCCATTCTATCTCACGGAGAGCTTTTGTCATTTCGCATACGCGCCCAAAAACCACGAGGAGAGCAGAGTGGAACAGGGACGAGGTGATGTTGTGAATGGAGAAGAGGGAGACGCCATTTCACACTCCATTTTCCTATCCATTTTCCACCCCATACAGCTGTCTCTATCGCCGCTTTTCCGACGTGCCCCACCAGCAAAAGCTCGCCTCACATGAGCTCAAATCTCTCTCGCAGATTTCTCCCTCTCGTCAGTCTGATAGTGACCGCTGAGAGCATCGGAAGGAGCTGCGCTTCACGCACACCATTAGCATTCTATCATGCTTCAGTAGAGTGGTTTACCAGCATCATTCTTCCACGAGAATCGGTGGGTGATGAACGTATCGCGCAAAGAGGACAATGGATTAATTTTTGCCACCAGCCCACCCACTCTCATCCGTTCACTCATCATATTGGGCGAAATTGGGAATTTCACGTAATTTCCTCTTGTCAGAAAAGTGGGATTTCCACTCCTCCCGCGCAAAGAGTCGACTTGATGAGAAACACTGGTGAAATTATTCGTATTTTCCACGCTACGTGGTTTCATCAGCAGCATTCATGTGAAAATGCCAATCAATCTCCAATGCTTGTGAAGTTGAACTGAGTTTGAAGGTACACACATAAAAAAAAATTAGTGAATATGTGTTTTGTGTGAAAATTTTCGTGCTCTATGTGTACATAGTGGAAAAGCAATTAATCCCAGAAGCACATCAAACCGCACAAAGGCCATTCTCATCCTCAAAGCCTGAGCGCCACCCACGCAAAAACCGCACACGGCATCAACGCCCAGCGCTGTGGATTTTTGTTGCATCTCCAGCACTATTTCCCACCGAATGCAAATCGATTTTATATCGCCATCGAACGCCCAATATTCACACATTCATTACGCCGCGCTCCCGCTCTGTGGGTCCAAAAGGGAGGCAGGAATTGCAAGTGTCTTCCCGGCAAAAACATATCGCATGAGTGAATTTTAACACACACCCTGAAATAGGACGAAAATTTAAAACTCTGTGTTCTGGCAGAAACTCCAGACAATGATAGCATTAGTCACAGCGTCCCTGGAGGACATAAACTGCATATATTATCCAACTGTGCTGGCTGGAAAGTGCCACCTAAATGGACGATAAATTAAATCAAATCGACACCCAGTGAACGTAGATTGGAGAACAACAGAAGAAAAAAAAAGTTCTGCGCGAGGAAAAAACAATTTCATATTTAACTTGATAATAAAAATGATAACTGGTGAAGTTTCCTCGCTGTCTGCGAAGGCAGGACGACGACAGGCAGACAGCAATTTTGATGGAGATGCTGCCGGTGAGATAGACACCATCACAGAGGCGGCATTTGTGAAAAGTACCTCCGGAAACACGAATCATATGGTCACGAAGATGAGGGGCAATTTCGCGAACACACAGAGACTATTAATCTTATCCCTCTGGTTGTTAGTTGTTTGCGGTAAGTTTAATTATTAATACAGAGTTTCTTTTCCTATATCATCTCGTGCGCCTATAATACTCGGCGGACCATTTCGAGATAAATAATGCCATTTATTAGATCTGCCAAACATCTCCTCTGCCGATAGCTATAGATTGTACATGATTGTTCTCAACACGCGCCGTTACAAGACGAAAAAATGTGCCCGTAGGAGAGGAATTGAAAAGAGAATTCCAACACTGTTTTTCCCCAGCGCCATTCCCAAACACATCCGATAAGCATTAAACCCTGTGTCACTTGGGGGATGCTTATGTGGCAAAAGTGCCAAGGGGAGAAATTCATAATTCCCCATTGTTACTCCCGAAAGCCCGCATATGTGGGGTGAAAGAGCGCGGCATAGTCTGTTACAGAAATCGACCATTCTGCAACTCTTTTGTATAGTTTGCAAAAAGAATAGTGGATTGAGAAATATATGTATTTCTAATACCAAATCCTTCTCACAGATATATCGTTTAACTCTCAGACGTCACTGAATCTTTCTCTCTCGCGTTAAACATCAAATTTCTGTCTTTATCTGCTCAGATAAATACACATTTCCCAACGAAATGCGGTAAAATAATTTATGGAATTACGTGCGAACATCAAAATGTAACGATAAAATTGAATAGTCCCAATTAATTTATCCTCCTTGTGTAGTGTTATGAAATTCCATCATAACTTTCCCAACAAGGTTTATCAATAAAAGCTCTTACGATGTTAGCGTCATAGTTTTATTTCACTGCAAGAGAGATTCTGAATTCCATTGCAAGCATTTTCATGCAGCTTTAAATATTCCTGCAATTTTAATAAGTAAAGAAATTATGCATACCATTCGTAATATCTTTAGGAAAAGCTTAGAATGATTAAAATACATTCCCTTCATTGTTGTATGAGATGCAATTTACTATGGCTTCAAAGAGAAGAAAGTCACATCACTGTTGAATGAATATTCACATTTGCAACCTGCGACGAAGTAAAATCCTTACATGAGACTTTTCACAACTCACAATTGAATGACTCGCATCTTCTGAAGCCTTAACTTCAGTTTGATATTTCGCGCAGAACTTAGTGAAAAGCTCGCTGTTGTCCTTTATTTTTGCCCACTCATACATTAATTGTGTATTGAGGACCGAAATTTTTATTAAAGCTTCAAAGTTCGCGTCATTAAGAGGAAAAGTCCCTTCGTTAATTAAAGCAAGTTACCGCCTTTCAAGGTGGGGAGAAATCCACTGGGATTTGTGGGTGAGAAAAGCGATATATAGCTCAAGATTTGTACATATGTAGCTGGGTTTCGGTGGAAACATAAAGTGCTTCTTCGGATTATATTTATCTCCTTTTGTGGTGAGGTGCGAGCTTTGGATATATAATGTAATAAAGCG